CCTTCAGACAAGTCTACCTAAAACTAAATATTGTTGATAATGCTGTACTGCAGATTGCCAAACAAATACTACAGAGACTCAGCCCCTTCACACACTTTCAATCGTGAAGAAGAAAAGCAATACAGAATAGTGTGCTGTTTTTTTTTTAACTTCCCGAAAGTTTTCTTTAACACTCGAAACAGAGCTCAACAATGCTCAGCAAGAACCTTAGAACTGCCCCTGCCACATATCAAACCTGGAACCAGTCTCCGTGCAGCAGGCATCGGGTCCTTTTCCTTTGGAGTAAAGGCCCCTTTATAAATTCTACAAGCAGGACGGCTCCTAAATTCACATACATAGAAACACTGGCCCACGTAACAGAGAGAGCAGGGCAGCTCCATCAAGCATCCATTCCACATACAAGCTGATAGCACCATGCGCTGAACATGCTTTCCTCTGCCATACTTTCGAGAGGAGCTGCATATTAACAGAGATAAAAACAGCCAACTTCAGTATCATTTTTTCCCCTAGTCATGTTAGTTGATTACAGCTCCCACCTGTAGTTCTCTTACTGTTAAATCTGTACTGTGTCTGTACAAGCAAAGAGAAGCTGCAACTCTCAAAGTGAAAGGGGTTCATTAACTGGGGCCACACAGAGAGTGCCAGCGCCACGACAACTGAACACCGCACAAGTAACACATCTGGTCACCACAGAGTGGAAAAAAAACGCAAGTTCTTACAAAGCAAGACATGAATGTGTAAGACAGATAACCTCCAGCTTTACTTGTAAGCACAGGAATTTGAGCTACTGATTTCACACTTTTACAAATAACTCTGTACTGTGAAATTCATTATAATACCTCTCAATAAAAATGGCTTCAGAACAAATGTGCGACATGTGAAATCTGGTATTTGAGATAAAGTACTTTCAGGGGCCTGATGGATTATTACTTAAAAGATGCAACACAAATCCTGAAAGACCTTAAAAATGTGAAAAGGCTGAAAAAGATTTTGATAATGCTTTATGTGAAGGCTTCTGCATAACGGCTTCAGAATCCCCTCATACAGGAACATGCAAATGATGTACATGTATATAAGAGGTCATGCTGAAAAGAGAAGAGAGAAAACACAACGTTTTGGCTGAGAAGCCTTCCTCAGATATGAGCGAAGGCTTCTCAGCTGAAACGTTGCGTTTTCTCTCTTCTCTTTTCAGCATGGAACAAACCTATTACTTGTACTGTACCTTTACAGACTACGCAAGCTGACGCAGCTACCCACCTGAACTGCTAAAAGAGGTCATGACATGTCTTAGCATTGTTTCTTGCTTTTAGTATAATGAGATGCTAAAATGAATGTCATGACCTCTTATGCATGTTTGTCCATGTTCCTGTAAAACACTATACATGTGATCATAAGACCTTGTGTAACAGTTATGAAGGGGTTAATAAGCCATTATGCACCAACATTCGAATAAAACATTACCAAGATTTCGATTTCTAACGTTTGTCCTGTCCTTTCGTATTTCTGAGACACTGTGCCAAACGAAGCACTCCAGCTTCAGAGAAAGAACAAAGGTCCTTGGGTTCCTATTTTGTTTCCTGCTGCAGCTGTTCAGTGCTCCAGCGAGTCAAGCTAATGCTGAATGTGTTTCTTTCTTCTCTGGGGCTGCAGCCAGCTTCCTAGTTTTATTAGTGGCTCTCAGGAGTGGTGCTCAGGATTACATGTGCATCTCCAGTTTCTGTCTGGAATGGAGGTACTTCTGGATTTCAAATGGGATAATACTGGCAGGTTTTTATCAGAGCCCTTCACAAGCCAGTACTCTCTGTAGGAGGCACACATGATAAACGGCTGTGGCCTGCACTGAATAACAGGCTGAATGTTGAGCAAAGATCCAGCTCAAATAAGTAAATTTCAAAAACGTATTGTTTATTTGGCTAGACCAGGAGACACTCAGAAGAATCCATACACTGCAGGAGGTATTTTGTCAGTTGGAGAAAGAAAAGCTGATAACCCCTCAGTACAGTACCTTCTGTGACAATCCACACTGATAAAAAACTGCGTTCTCTACAGTGCATGTCAACCAGAGGCCTCAGAACTGAATCAAACTGCCAGCAGCTACTCTTTACAGTAATTAGCTGCAAAGCCTGACCTGACAGTGGAACAGATCAGACTTCATTCTGGTGATACTGGGACAGGATTTAACTCTTTTCATTGTGAAATATATGCAAATCCAATCAACGGGATAACTGTATTAAATGTTTGAATTACACTTCTTTTCACTGGTCTAAGCACTTGCAGGGTGATTTTAGATAGACCTTAATAACTCTATATTCTTTAGAATGTTGGTAGAGGTTGCTTCTATATAGAAAGACAAGAAGGTCGTCAGTTAAGTCATGCAAAATTAGAACACAAACACAAAACTTAGAAATGAGAGGAGGCCATTCAGTGTTTGGCAGTTTATTACCTTAGTGAAACTAAACTAAGAACATAAGACAGCTTGCAAAAGAGGAAGCCAAAACATAACCACTGCTTTGTGTAGCTGGACGTCTACAAATTGAAAACCAATGTTCAATTGTCAATTCTGGAGTGATGTTTAAGGTTAGTTAAGGTCCTTATTAAGGCAGAATATTACCTTCATGTGGCTTCTTTTCAATCTTAATTTAACTGACCTTCTGTATGCAACTCTACTTACTATTATCTATCTACTTTACTGTCTGATTTAATGACCGCACAAAAGGCTTCAGAATATAACACAAGTGTTAAAATAAAGTATTAAAAAGAAGCCGAAATCCTTTGTAGAACATGAGTTAACATACTTATCACTGTTGGCCTTACTGGTGAAGTTTTGACTGGCATGTGGTAAAACTGACTTGGTCATTTGGATCTTTCACAGTTTAATAAGTATGCAAATATAAACACAACACAAAACACAAGAAAAATTAAAAACAAGAGAAAAACCATTGGGGGCATTCAAATATCTGTTTTCAGTAGCTAACTGACCCAGGGTTTCATCCATGAAGGAAGCAGGGTATCAATTTCAACAATATTGGTGGGCCACTTGTTTCAAACTCCTAAAAGCATTTGTGTAAAGAAGTGCCTACTGTCCTAGTTTTACATGTTCTTTCATGGGTATTGAACAAGTGTAAAATGTCAGTGGTTCTGTAAGCCACAGTATGTTTATACTGTATGCAAGTGACTTGCCACCTGTAGGTACTGCAGACCTACTGTATCAGATTTTGTTGATGCGGTCATTCCATAAAGGAACGTTTTCCATAAAGGCAGTCAGGTCGAGTGGATCAGCACTACTTTTCTCAGCCTAAGTTCACAACCCTACATCTGCCCTAACTTTTGTCAATGTTCATAAGCACTCACAGAAATGAGCAGTATCAATCTCAAGTAATGTACAATAACATGCAAACAGGCCATCAAATGACCCATGACCCAGTGATCATTGCTTTTGTACATTCGATTTATTTGTGAAATCAAGCTACAGTACTTTTATTAAAAACCACTGCAAACTTCAAAATAGGAAATGTATTACCTTTATGCATGACCTTAACAAATAACACTTTTAAATCAGATAGGCAACATGAAAGAAGCACATAGCCAAAAATTATCAGTATAACATGCCTGTGATTTTTGAGAAATTTAGTGTTGTTTACACAACTGAGTGAATTATAACATCAACACATACACTATTGTTCATCATGCAGTTGCATATGAAAAGATGATGACAAAGCACAATTCCTCACTTCTATAACACAATGATCCTAAACACATTTCCCCAAGATGTTTGAGCTGAGTTTCAAATGACTTCCATGTAAGATATGTGAACAAGAATCACTTGTGTAGTAAACAAACACATATGTGTGTGAAAAAGCTCAATAAACACATTTTGTGTTCCAATAAATTTGGACATAACAATTTTACAAATTGATCCTGGAATTAGATAACTGCTGAATTACAAAGCAGTAATGGAAAAAACCTGCAGGCACTTATAGCACAAACAGGTACTGATGCACTACAAAGCAGATGCCTGCATATATGCAGTACATCATTTTAACTTCACATCCCTGTCCAGGCTCATGGGCTGAAAATAAACAAATAAGCATAAAATATCCAGCACTTGGTTAGCTGTAAGAGTCAAAGCCTCAGAAAGCCTTAAAAAGATCACATCTCTTCAACTGACATATTATTCATCAACAAAATTGTGTCTTAAAAACAAGAAGAGAAAGTAGAGTTCTGCAGTATATGTATATACAGTAGTCTTTATCCCATACGCCTGACAGTTTAATTTCTTAGGAGTTCTTTATTTAAAGCTGTACTCATTAATATCTCAGTAGAAACTGTGTCTTCAGAAACCTCTCAAGATTGCACACTATGAGATGAGACATTGTCATGGATCCAGTGCCCAAAACCTCACCAATGGGCATTCCAGCATTGTGCAAAGTTTCCTTTCCACTCACATTCATCTTGGAGTTGGTTATTGGCAGGCATGTAGTTCCTTTTTAACCAATTGCCCAGTTCCCCTGGCCCAATATCAGTCTGTCATCTGGTCGAGCCACTCATACTGTAGTTCTAGGTCAACTCTTGTCTTCCATTTCTAAATCATAGGACCTTCAATGTAACAGGGCATTGTATCTGTCTCAGCCACAAGATGTCCTGAGTAAATCCTTACAAATGAGGAACCTCATTCCAAAGTTTGGACCACAGTTTAAATTCTCCTCCAAGAGGGTAAGCTTGTGGGTCTCTGTGAAGAGTAGCAAGTTAAAAGTGACAACTGCACCTGGCATTATTTCTGCTGCTGAATCCCTGACTCAATGACTCAGTTGTTCCATTTACAAAGTCACTACTCTGAATTTTCAAAAACTGCACTGCTGGTAAGAACAAATCAGACACCTTGAAGACACAGGTATTTTCTTCATTCTGCTCTGTACAAAAACTACAAAGCTAGTCTCCAAAATCAAAGGGAAACAATCACAAACAATCCTACTGAAAAATGGAGGAGAAATGTGCATTACCTGGTCCGCTGTATTGTCTCAGCAGACCCACTGTTGAAAAGCACTGACTTTATTTTTACACACTACACGACTTGAGGTGAAAATCACCCTCTCTATTCCGGGATGCGCCTGCCTCCGAGGTACCACTGGATAACCACTGCAATAACAATAACAGTAACAGTATCACAGTACGTTCTGCTAGTCTAGGTGAATCGCTGAACCTGCTTATACAGTGATTACAAACTAAAGAAAGCTATGAGTAAATATATCATGCTTTTTTTCCCCATAGGGTGTTTTGTAACATTTGTTACTGGTGGGTGATAAATCGTCTCACCGCCCAACATTTCAGACTGCTGCAACACCGAAGAGGAAGTTGGAGGATTCATACAACCGTTGTGTGACTACACAGCTACTTGCGCTTTGATCGTGTTATTAACATATGCTGTACAAAACTCGGTAGGCAGCTATTTTTAAAGTGCATTTCATGATTACTACTTTGTACCTTGAAACCAACTAAAACACAGTTAGAAAAGGGACAAGGAGCGCTTTTAATATCTGTAGCTAGCTGGCGTTAAACGTATTTATTATATTACTTTAAAAAGCGTACTCATTGCTCAAGGTCCAGGATCATTCATGATCTGTAATGTTTTGCGGATGTACTGTATACCGTCTAATCAGAGCGAGACACCGACTCGTGTCCCTGCTTGCACCGGCGCACCCTGCCCTCGCCCAATTTAGCAAGATTGCAAACAAAACCACCACAAGAAAAAAAAAAATCTCACCTAAAACCAGGTAACGTTAATCTGCGACACTGCGTCAAACAGATGTTAAATATAATTAAGATTAACAACGTAAGTAACAAACAGGAAAAATGGTGAAAGAAGAGCCCAGTTGTGTCTAGCCGAAGGACAATTTGTACTTTTAAGCGACAAAAGTGGAAAGAGGTCCGCACACACTTATACGAAACTGTAAAATATAATTAACAACTCGAAGAAATCTCGGAGAGTTTCATTCCCCTAGCTAGGCTGCACTTGCTGCTGAGCTCAGCCTTGTTAATGCTGCCCTGTAACGCCCCGGTGTGTTCAGTCAACGTGCAGCAAAGTTTCAAGACCAAGAACTTGTGCGAAGTCCCAAATGGTAGCAGTTAGCTTCAAAGAGATTTTTATCCAGTACCTTCCCCGTACTGTGTTACAGTATCGCCGTTCCCCTTTCACTCACCTTTGTCTGTGTATCTGGGTCTCCGTCCGGCTGACAGTTAACAGCTCCTCCGCGGCTGACGGTCTCAGAGCAGTTTGACTTCCGCCTCAGCCTGTGCTCCTCTCTGCGCCCTGCAGGAGGAGTGGCATCTCAGCTCAGGGGCCGGACCCTGCCGGACGCAGAACCCGGTGCCGGAGCTGCACGGAAATATATTTTCTGTTGTCTGCAGTTGCATATTTCTGACAGAAAGTAGATGGTCTGCATATCAAATAGATACGTTTAAATGTCAGAAGGGTTGACAACAATATAACTCATGGGACAGGAAAATATACTTAAACTTCACATGAGATATAAAAATAAACAGTTCTTATGGGAGACTGGGGATTAAATACTGAAACAGAAATGTACTGTGTCCCCTACATCCCACCTGAAAATAACTTTTTTTAAATAAAATAACAATTATTTTTTAGAATTTATATAATGTATTTTACAATATCACCCTGAGTAAAGTACTGTATCTTCAAGCACTTCTCCCAGGATTTGAACCCACAGCCCTCTGGCCTACAGCCCTGGCTTCTACACCCTATTGCTCTCTTGTACTTAAACATTGACAATTTCAAATCTTAGTCACCAACAATAAAAAGGAGCCTTTGTAAGTTCTAACATATTTTGTTTGATGCTATTTCAGTCACACTCACTTCTTTCACAAATTGAGGCACATTGTAAATCAAACCTCCTCCCCTTAGTCAGTCACAAATTATAAACTCAGCACTTCAATGTGGATTTCTGCTTGACAGAGGCTTCTTGTTCCTTCCCAGTGGAAACCTGCCATTAAAACAGAGTTTGTTATTTGCTGTTTGTGGGCATGTCAAAGCTTTTGATTTAATCCATGCCTAACATTTTTTGTGGAACAAAAAAAAAACTCTTATGCTTCTGCAAAATAGTTTTCAGCAGGGGCTCGACTAAACCATAGTCTCTGGTCTCAAAACAATTTCCTTTTCCTTCTTCAGGTACCTACAGGGCTCCTATGCCTGCAGACTGGAGTCAGTGACAGAAATCTAGATTCTCTCCCATTATGTCTCTGGAGAGACATGATATAATGTACACATTTATGCACTATTAGAATCCTAGTTCGAACTGTGAATAATCTGCACTGTAACCCAGTGCACAAACTGTGTTAAGAAAGCTACTGTATTCAAGTGTTTCTTTCTGCCCTTCAGACTTCTTTGTGTAGAGCAGAAGTGACTTTAGGAAGATTAAACCAGACTTTTTAAAAATGTGCAAGTCATCAGAAAGAGAGCAATAAAAAGAACAGATACATTTCTATAGAAACTTATACAATATATCTGTAATGTCCAAATTTAGCCGAGAATGTTCAAATCAAGTATCAATAAATGCTATACCTATGAAACGCATAAAGCCTACAAGACATTTTAAAAACAACAGTATGTAACATGATTTTTTCCCCTTTGCAACTCTCCACAGGTATCAGGAGTACCCAGGCAAATTGCCCATTACTGAGCTGAAATCGGTCAAAATATACATGGACCTCAGGCCCACAATTCATCAAAGGCGCCCCTCCCAAGAGCTGGGACAAAGCTGACGCAGTCCATGCTGCAGTGCCAGCTCCTGAGAAGGGGAGATGTGAATCCCAGCCAGAGCAATTCCTCCATGGGTTTCCCTTAGGGGGAATGAGTTAATGATCAGGGGTGTGTCCAGTGCTAAAATGCGGCAGTCATTTTTGGAGCTCACGGCTTGGTCTAACAAAAGAATGCAGTTAGTAAGGGCTGTGTTTCCATAACCCTTCCTTTTATAGTAAGGTCTGCACTATCTGACTTCTTCTCACAGACCTTTAAAATGCCTGGGCAGTTCCTGAAGTCCAACAGCCATTACCAATTTATCCAGGGGTTTCCAACATCCTGTGTTATTTTTGTGAATAAGTAGGTGCCACTGCATCCAAATTGCTCCAGTGGCAGAAAATGTGCAAATATAAGATTGAGGATACAAACAAGAAGAACACGCCAGATAGAAGTCAGATCCAGGAGCAGCTCCGCGAGAACAGGACAGACAGTGAGACGAAGTGGGGGACAGTGTTTGTCACGCATCCTTTCATTCAAACCATAGCTGAAAATGGATTTCACAGAGCAGAATTTTATACATTCGAATACCTCTGTGCTGTGGTTTGGTAGACTCCATCTGTATCAAGGTGATTTATTCTCTCTGTACTTCAAATATCGTTCTCTGTAATACAATTTTTTCCCCTATCTTGCTCTTGATGTTGTTAATTCAACAAAAAACAGAGCAAAAGATTCCTAAATTTTGATGTCATAGATCACTCACCATTTGGTCCATTTAGCTTGTTTAGCTACCAGCTGCTAAATGATTTGGAGATTTCATCTACAGTAGCTGTTTCATGAAAAGGGTCAGGATATTGGCTTCAACAACATAGTTGGTCTGTTTGTTGCACAATCTCACAACACTTTGTGTAAAGACGAGCCTCCTGTTCTGAGTTTTAAATACACTTTCCATTCCACTAAACACTTCTGTAAACACTGTTCCTGGGGTTTCTGGCTAATGATTTTTCTCAGCTCCTCTTTATAGATCTCCTGTCACCGAGGACTTAATGCTCTGTGCTTCATTTCACCAGTTAATTCAAACTGACATGCCCTGCTCAGATGAAATCAGGGCTGAGCTTTGACATGAGCCCATGCTGTTGCACACAGCATGCCCATTATCACTGACCTGGCAGAAGAGCACTCTGGTTTGAATCAGACAGGAAAGACATGGCCAGAGTTTGTTCAGAAGAGGACATCTCTTAGTCAAAAGGCCTGTCTTGTGCGAGAATGAAAAATAAGAAGAATGTTTCAAATGAAGGAATGCATCATCAGTGTCCAAATCCTGTTCTCAATGCAAGGATAGAAAGAAGCAACACTCAACTACCATAAATGCTGCATAAGCAAAAGAAGTCTAATTGGACCGCAACTTTTTGTAGTGTGTTAAGATTACCAGTGCAAGAGTATGACAGCAGCACTGGCTGAGTATACTGTAAGTATATGAGGAAACAATCTAACCCAGATATGCTTTTTTATTTCATTAGCAGCACCTTTGTTTCATTTGTCAGAAATGCGAAGATGAAAAGCACTAATCTTTTGGCGCCATTAAGTCTTATTAGACAGGAAAAGTATATGGTTACTGTGGCTAATGCTAACATCTGGGACTGATGAAATAACAAATTTAAAACACATTACATTGCGTTCTTGGATTATACAGATTATACAAGTATATTTCAAAAGACACTGCACCTGTACGAGGCAGCATATTAAAGTAAGAGGAACATGAGACAGATTCACCTTTCGGTCAGACCTTAAATTGGCAGCCCCCAAGTGAGCAAAGTCCACATTAGAGAGTGACTGAGCTGCTGACATGCTGCCGAGCTCGTTGCAGTGTTAACTCCATGGCCTTAATGAGTGTGGGCTGCAGACTGCTCTCAGTCCTGTGAATCCACAGATGCTCCAAGTCAAAACCGGGTGCTCATGCAGTGCTGTGAGATGCTTATTCCACAAACACGCTTCCCTGTGTAAGAGGAAGAAAGCTGGGGCCAAGCAGCCTTTCCCATAGGCAATCTCAGCCGGGACCCCATCAACTCAGCCTCACGCTCCAATCCTGAGGGAACAGGGGCCTTTCTTCAGATTTCATGCTATTAACAAACCCTAAATACGGAATTAAACAGCCTCCTGTTTGTTCTGTCACATCACCAGGGAGAATAACAACAAGTTCAGCATGTTTATTTATCTTGAAAATAATTACAGGATGATTTTTTCATGGGTAGAAGATGTAGGTGTCCGTCAGCATTAGCTGTTAATGCATACTTAATCTAATTGTTGTTAAAATGTGTTCCAAACTCTTCAAATCAAATGAATAAAAAAATGGCCTGAATTAAATTATCTTTAAGGAAAACACCTGATTGACAAAATCACTGCTTGAACATACTGTAATTGTTGCTTTGCACCAGTCCACAGAAAGGCAAATCGTCTTTTTCTAAAATCTAAAAGTATTTGCACCAGATGCTTTTCTAATATTTTGTAGTGTTGAAATTGAAAACATTAGCAATAGGATTACTATTAGACTTCCTATCGTAGTCTTTAGTTTATCAACAAGGGGAGATGTGACAGATGTAATCAATCACCCATAAAACGCTGGTTTATTATTGTTTGATTACATTCTTGATAGTTGCAATGAGAATAAAGAAATCTGTGTTCTTTAACAAACCTTTACCTGAGAGGACGTGTGAACTTGTTTCCTAATTTTCTTTATCATCACATGATGGAACTGCTCTTAAAAAGAGAGTGCATCTCAAGAATTCTCCTTGCAAGGCCAAAGGCAGGTGCTGAAGGCAAAAATATAGCTTCTCTGTCCATTCCAACCGTTGAACATATCATTTCACAAAAACGGAAAGTGTCCACAGAATGTTATTGTAGATTTGCATTGGTTGGATTTTATTTAAAAGGAATATCGCACTGTACATTTGAATAAATGACCCTCATGTTTTCTGGATGTTTGTGCACACATCAAAAATCCATAAATATTTCTGTTCAATAATGTTTTGTCCCTTTGTCATATGAGATGGAAACAAATCTGCGAGCCCCTGTACCATACATTCAATAGAACGTGCTGACAAAACTATCTCACAAGGTCAGAACAGTGGCTTCCCCAATATATGGCCACAGTATTAGTTTTCCTACCTGCACATACTGTAATCTGCATAGCAGCTGTTGCTTTCCCCTCTCACAAGCTGAGTAGGTGAAACTCCCCTGTGCTTCCTCTCACCCTCCTGACAGGGGACCTAGCTGTGGAAGTTTCTTAAATTACTTTTTAAAAATAAAATGCATAGCGTTATGTAGAGTAGATGATAGTGCTGTGCATTCACGAGCCAGTTGCCCTTACATCAGGGACAAACTATTTGGTTTCGTGATAAGCTGTTTGGTTTCGTTGAGAGCATTAGTAGTGATGTAATAGTTTCTCCATGACCATGGAGGTGTTGCTGTACGCAGGAGCGCAGAGGTACAGTAGCTTTTGTGAGTTCCTTTAAAAGAACAATTACTGTAGAAGTGCTTTTTACAATACTTACACAATGGCCCTCATACCTACAGTATGGTGTAGTAAAGCCAGATGAGGTTGCCAGTTCCTAGATTTTAAATTGTTAGACATCTATAGACATCTATTCCACTTCATGGAGAAGGAAAATCTGAAACCATTCCAAAATATCTGTGTTCCTGCTCAATTGGCTCTATTTATCAGTGGAGTGGGTATTTTTAAAAATCTATGATCCTTAAGAGATACACTCTTCCAATTTCTTATTCTTGAATTTTTTTTAACTGGATGCCATTTTTGAACAGGACTTCCATTTCTACGCTCCTGAGGAAGGATGGTATCATGGTTCTTGATTTAACCCAAACACAGGACCAGTCACTGTCTTACATACACCCACTGCTGCTATTACAAAGCCAGTCTGACAAAGAGCAAGGATGGAATTAAACCCAATCTCTTTTTACAATAAAGTCTAATTTCCACTTGTCTCTGGGAGCAGGCTGAAACAGACATGAACTACACTGGGCTCGTTTTCCTAAGCCCCAGAGCCATATCAAAACATTCTGAATTGAAATTTAAACCAAGTCTTTACAACAGGATGAGAAATTAATTTTTACAAGAGCTGTTCTTATCCAGTCCCTCCAGGGAAGGATGTTAGAAAATTAGGGAAAGCCAGTTGCAGCCTGTGGTATTGTGTGCAGGATGGGAAACTGCTTCTCTTTAGCATTGTATTATTAAGGGCACTGAGTGAGAGAATCTGACCTGGGTCACTGAATCCCTAGGTGTACAGTACACTCTGCCCATGTAGAAAAATGCTTGGCAACACAATTAAATGCTTTGTTTCTTTTTGATTAATTCATGAGGTTTCTTCCTATAAAAATGCTATTTTAACTTAATCACACTTCTCATGTTTCTAATGTTTAATGGTGGTGGCTTTGCACAAACTTTAATTTTACAGTCCAAAAATCCGAGTTCCTTTAGCCAAACAACAATATACCAGTTAGTCAGTAAAAAGGACAGTGATTTTAGGAATGCGAGTGTTTTATTTTTGTTTCTGTGTTGCATGTTGGTAATATTTTCTTTTAAACGCAAAGCAAAAAAAATGCTGTGCATATTTGCTGATAGGACAGCTATTAAGAAAACAATTTACCAAGCTGGATAGAATGAGTTACTGTACAGCTGTGTGGAGACAGTGTTGCTTAGCTGGAGTAAATACTTTGCGAACCAGTTAGTGTAACGCTCTCACGAGCTGCAGGAGGAAGGTCAGCTGACGGCCGATCTTAAATAAGAAACAGTGCCGAGTCGCTCTTGACACGCTGAAGATACGCCTTCTAAATAAAAAAAAACAAGGGGATAAAAAAGTAAAACAAGATCTGCTTTAAGAAAAAATAATCTTTTTTTAAATAAAACGTTCAGTTGCAAATATTATGCCAGTAATCTGCTGATGATAGCTTCCTGGAGGCAATATGAGAGCTTTTCTTTCCGGAGTGTGAAAGATAATTTGACCAGATTCGAGGGCCTGGTCGGAGCTCCAGGAATTAGCAAAACCCAATACACTTCTTTAATTGAGCTAGATATTCTCTATGGCTAGCAAAGCTACGAAATGTATTTTAAATCAAAACGTAATCAACCTGGAGACATTCTTAAACATCTTTAACAATGACATTCTGGATTCTTTAATATTTAACTAAATGACCAGTACCTGAACGCGGTACTAATTGCCGTAGGTAACACACACTATACTGTACAGAATGTAATCTAGTCCCTTTTTAAATTACCATGTGACTCTGGAACATATAGAGTATGTCCTTTACTGTAACTTGGAGTTTACAAAGTAAAACTGGCATCTTACTTTGTTGAAAAAATCGAACAAGACGTTTACAGGTACCTTAGTGCACTTCATATTTACATTTTAAGACAGAGTATTGCAGTTTATAGATCTACACTGTTAACACAAGCAAGGCTTCAAATAATTACTGTTTATCTCGTCTCTCGTGACACTCAGGACCGTAAACCCTGTATTGCGCAGTCTACTAGTGTCATCTAGCGGTCACAAACTATAATGACTACTCACTGTTCCTATGTTGGGATTGAGCTAAGGAACAATATATCTTATCTCTGTCTAACGCGGAAACGCTAACTCATGCAGCTGTCTTTTACAGATTTGACTATTGTAATGTAGTGCTTACCAGTTTATACAAACACGAGTTTAACATGTTGTAATAAAAAGAAACAAAAGAAAAGAATAGGTGAATCTATCAAGGAACATCTTGACATCTTGATATGTGTCTGGTGTCTGTTGGTGTTTTACCTTTCCCTTAACAGAAGGCAGATGAGGCAAAACACAGGCCCAAGACTTTGATCAGAGCATAAGTGTTTTATTAGGACAAAGGTGCCAAGTCAGTTGGCCTGGTTCTCCCATTCCTGTTCGAAAGAGAAGGAATGTGACTTTGTCAGTGTTCTCATCAGCTGTCAAAGTGAATGCATTTTGGGTTATATTTTACATAACTTACAATAGACTAGCCCAGATTTGTGTTCCCAAGGCTCATATACTGTATAAGCCTCAGTGGCCTACGGTCCATATCCTGCCTCATGTCAGCTGTCGCCTCGCATTAAGTATGCGATTATGCTGGTGATGTGTGAGTAAGTGCTGTAAATACAAAATAGGAAATGCAGAGTATTTTTAAAAGTTCCTGAGACCCCTTGATTAAAGAAAGCAGTCAATAAGGACACATACAGTGTAATTTAAACAGATGCAGACCTACAATCAGGTTCTGTGACAAGCAGTGATCCTACTAAGATACTGTTAGTCAACAAGCCCATACTTTGGAGTTTTGAGGTCCTCCAGTGCATAGGGACACTGGTCTGATACCCACGAGAGTCACTCCTCAGCCTCATATTGGACAGTTCAATGTCACAAAGCGTTCTATCAGGGCCCTATGCAGTCAACATGATCTGGAGGGAAGTGAAGAAAACACAGGGAAAGAGGCATGCTAGGGGCTGGAAGGAAAACAGGGGGCGTGTCCATGGTGCGCTAGTGTTCGGGGGAGGTGTGGCCGAGGCCAACAGTCCAAGGGAGCCCGCGGCAAATCCATGAATGAAAAAACCGGAGCGGGATCCGGCGGAGGCACGGGGGAATAAAAAGACCCAGACCCAGATGGTCAGGACGCCGTTGTGAAGCCGATGCTGTCAAGTCGCTCCCGGACTCGCGGGTAGGCGGGATCCGGGCGTCCATATTCCAAACCTGAGCCCCGATAGGCAGGAACGTCTGGTTCATATAACACGGGGGGCTGGAACCGGAGGCAGGTGCGGGAGCTGAGTATAAACAAGGTAGGGCTGGAGGGTCCTTAAGAGGAGGGGTTTACGATCGTGACACAGCCAGGCTATGGCGGAATCTACAGACTCTGAAGGATCCCAATGACGAGACAATGAGAGAGGAATGTAAGGAAACAGAGACAGTCGGTGTCACAGAATCTCTCAATTGCTCTGTTAAGGCTTTCAGCAGCAAAACCTCTGTTCTCTCGCATGATTTTATTTCTTATCTGGCATCACCTGTAGTGCTATAAAAACTCTGAAATGTCAATACCATTATGTGTTATATAGGCCGTTTTGCAGTATATAAACGCCATCTGCCACTTCCTTTATGATACAGAAACACCTGTTCAATTAATGCTCAATTGATTTAAGGAGGGCTGACAAACTTCAATGCACATGAAATGCAGGTGTGTTGGCCATTGTACTCCTTATAGGGCACTGACTTCACCTCTAGTATGTCTGTTAAAGCACAGACATCAACCACTTAAAAAAATCTAGAAATAAATTGCTGCTGAGACTGAAAACATGAGATAAACTCTACTTTATGATTAACATTGTACAATCTTAATTTAACACATAAGCAAAATATTTTAACTCTGAAAGGAGAATCATCTATTTCTTCCTTTTAAATTCTGCGCAAACAATGATTGTCGTTACATTCTGTAATTTGCAATATATAATGTAACTGATAGAGTATGTAGAGGATGTTTGCATGTTAAAACTGAAAATACATACAGGAATTCATTTAAAAGGCAAATTAATGATTTGTACCAATACTATACAATGTAACACACCTCAATGTTCAGGACATATTTACTTTGAAGAAGTACGACAGATCAAATGAATAAGAAAACACACAAAAAAAACTGCTTTCAAGTTGCCATTAATGTTCCCTGGACCAAATGCTCACTAGCTCAAATTGCAAAGAGAAGTTAAACAAATCAACAAAGTTATCAGGTGAGCTTAAATAAATTAAAACATTTCTTAAAGCACATTGTTCTCAATGACTACTAAGCATACATGGCATTCTAAACCCCATTCTATCACACAGTTCCTGGACTATTGCAGCCATAAGCCTATTGTTCTGACAGTTGGGACAGCATTGTTCCAGGATTATTGTCATTCTTTGTTTTTTTACCTGAATAAAATATATGTTTATATAGTCCACAAATGTCATGATCTAACCCTCTGGTACACAGACACCTAAAACAACAACATCAACACCAACAGCGTCAGCTTGCTCAATGGATAGCCTGAGTAAATAAAAAATGAATTAATCTCTTCATTAATATAGTATATATGCTCACCACATAAGAATAATGCATTTACAAGTAGTCGGTCCTCCAGAAGTGGTTTCAGGCTAAACAATTTTCAGTCCTGGACCAGGAAAGACCAAATAATTGTAATTATGGAGAAAATGTGCCTGGACAAAACTAATAAAGAGCATATTGGCTTTTACCGACAGATCCTGAAGTCACACTGAATAATGTTAGTGTCACGAAGCGTTATTTCAGGGCCCTATGCAGACAACACAATCCTGGGATCCTGGGAGGAGTGAGGAAAACACGGGGGAAAAAGCATGCAAAGAGGCTGGAAGGAAAACAGGGGGGCGTGTCCATGGTGCGCTGGTGTTCGGGGGAGGTGTGGCCGAGGCCAACAGTCCAAAGGAGTCAGAGGTAAATCTATGAGTGTAGCAAAAGTCCAAGACCAGGTAATCCATCCTGACAGACGAACAGAGTTAAAAACCAGAGAGCGGGATCCGGCGGAGGGACTGGGGAATAAAAGGGGGGTCACAGGACCAGACACTCCCTAATCCCGGACTCAGACGGTCAGGACACCGTGATGAAGCCTGTGCCATCGAGTCCGCTGGACTCACGGATAGGTGGGCTTCCGGGCATCCATCTTCCAAAGCTTAGCCCAGATTGGCAGGAACGCCTGGCTTTTGTAGGACGGGGGCAGGAACCGGAGGTAGGTGCAGGAAATCAAGAATAAAACTAGGAAGGGCTGGAGCGTCCTTAAGAGGAGGGGTTTGGTTTAAGAGCATGACAGTTAGTGATTTGTACAAGGAGTGTGACTATCCACAGCCCTAAGGTCAGTGATTCATTTTTTCTTGCCCCAAAAATTGTCACTCATACCTCAAATGTTAAAAATGCACATTTTTTACATTTCTGTCAAAATGTTGTATGTGCTAATCTGATAATAAGAGAAGAGGAGGCCATCTATTCACACCGCCACACCTGTGGCACCATGAGGCTGTACAGTTCATTATGATGAGACATGACTGCTTGTCTTAGGGGTCTGCAGAAACAGGGGTCATCGACATGAGTCTTGTCACCTAGTGAGAAAAAGGTGGTGCAAGTGTGATGGGTGCCACTCTGCCCCATGCTGGGACCCAACTTCTCATGGGCACCCCTGGCTTCAGAACCCTACAGAACGACAGTGTGAAACCCAGACATTGCCCCCCCAGACAACATGAACCCCAGACCTTGCCTCCTCAAATCCTCAGAGCCCCAAACAGTGTAAACCCCAGACAGTGCCCATCCTCGGACAGCTCTGAACCCCAGACAGCGGCAAATTCCACCCCACCAGTGCAGGGAGTTCAGCTCTGTCTATGCCCAGACGCCACTGAACCCTGTTACACAAGAACATTTTTCTTTTCTAGATTAAACAGAAAAAAACAAAGAACTGTGCCATGTCTTTAGGAAAGGAATTTTTCAGTAGTGTCCAAGAGCTATGTGTAGCAGTTTAAAGTCTGAAGGTCCAGTAAGATACTCCTGTTCTCCTGTGTCAAGGAGCTTGTCTTTTTCCCTTCCAATACCGTATCTTCCAGGAGACTTGTCTCTGATGTAGGACTAATGACAATGCGAGGAACAGATGTGTTGACAAAAGGGTCCAGGCCCATTTTTGACAAACTCAACCCATTTTCTCCTGTTGTAGTGTCTGAGCTGTTGTGAGTCTCACTTTTGGTCACCAGGAGAGGATATGAGGCCGAGTTTAAAGATCCTGACACCAGCTCCTGCTCAAAGATGCTCAAGGGCTTCCCCACGGAGAGTTTCTCCTGAAACACCAGAACAGAAGCACAACAACAGAAAAGATGCATAAAAAATTTTAAAAGTGTAATTTCACATTATATTGAATTCTGTTTGTGGAATAATGATGTTAAGTATGTTTTTTCATAAAACTATAACTGACAAAAAATATCATGATAACATAGAGAAAAAAAATCATTTGATTTCCAGAAAGGATCTCAAAGTGTGAGGGCTTTAGTACCACAGCCAGCCATGCTGTTGTTAAATTAATTAATGACTGCAGACCTTCCCAGTAGACTGCACACACAGCTCATTTAATTGAATAGGATCTCAAAAATTTGCATACCAATCAGCCTGAACATTTGTCACAGAATCAATCTTAAAGAATCCTATTTTGCTCACTGTAAATGTGGTTCCTACCCTCTGCCACCCTGACAGAGAATCTCAGCAATACTTTCTGAACAAACCCAGACAAACATTCAGGCTGTATCACAAGCAGGGTAAGTGCAACATGTGACCCATGAAAAAATCATGATGTCTAAAGTAGTTGAGTAGACCTTTTTCCATTTGACTTTATTCTTAACAAGAAATCATACTTGCATCATTAGAAAAGTGCACATTATTCCATGCAAATGGGATCATACCTTTTCTTCTACAACTGTTGTGCAGCTTTTTGATTTCCTCCGAAGCAGCAGCTGGTTCCCATCCCTTTCCTTAGATAGGTTGGAAAAAGACCTGCTTTTGCAGGCGTGTGTCTTTTGGGGAACTGGGTCCAGCAGCACATCACTCCAGACCTGCAGTCCAATGTTACAGAAGCATGATCAACAGCTCCTTGTACAGCACAGAGGCCCTGCACTATAATCGCAAGGAATAATGAGAGCACCTTCACACATACTGTATTGATTAAATCAGATTTAAACTTTTTTGGTGAAACAATGTGTGATGTTTTGCCGTATACCTCTGAAAGCAATCAATATATTGCAGTATACTACAATACCACAATATTATCTGCTGAAAAGATCCCTTGCCACCACAAGATGTTAATCAAACAGGATGCACAACTAAAATAAATTAATTGATAAAAAAAAACATCTCACAGTTGTTCCTTTTTATAGAATCATATCGATCACTTATTACTACTTATTATTTCCCATTACTGCAGGGTATAATAAGGTCAATTTTTTAAATTTACAAACAAAAAAAGACTGAGTCAGGTCCTGGGAAACATGCTTTTTTCCACAGAGTGATGTTATATTTAACAAAATGAAAAGAGAGGAAGACTGCAGTTCTACTGTATATATATGAGAATATCTTGCCCAGATAAGTTTTGAAAAGATGCTTCTTCCCTTCAGAATGAAACAACGTGAACATATCTATTGCCTTAGAGGACATGATACAGAGATTATTTGTAACACTACTGGCCAATGTGTCTGATGCAAATAAATAATAATAAAGAAGGAAAATACAAGCCTTTTGTAGCCTGGTTATTATACATATTCAAAGTGGGGTACAACATTAAATTACAAATTGTAAATGACAAAAATTACTGTTATTCGTGAGGGTCACCGTCCACCCAAGAAAAAAAACTGATTTGGTTTCCAAAAGTTGCGATGGACTGTCGTCAGAGCGTATCCCTCCTTGGTCCATCTCTTGCCAGGATAGGATCCAGCGCCCTGTGAGCTGTACTGGATAATATGGTGTAGAAAACAGATGAAAAAAACTCACGGTGTCTCCCGAAGACATCGTCGACACTCGTCTGAGTTTGTTCCTCGACACAGTAGACTGCCGGCTGCGGACAGACTCTCTGAAAGACGATTCGCTTGTGGAAACTGACACGCACTCTTTCCGCGGTGGTCGTACCAGAAACCCCAGGCAGGGAACAGTCTCCCCTAGGGTTCTCCTGCAGAGAGGACATGAGGGCAGATTCAGCGATACATACAGTACTGTATACCTCCAGTCTGAGAAAAGGGAAATAAATGAGCATAGTCACCTGTACTTAGAGTGGATGATTGCGTAAATTAACGGGTTGTAGATGGCAGATGCTTTTGCGATCACAGCAGGTACAGCTTTTGAATATGGATTTAAGATGTTAGCATACCTGAAACAAAGCAAAGAAGTGATACATCACTGACTCCAAACTGAAATCCAAGTCGGAGCTGAGTAAATTTCAGTGAAATCTGCGTTTATTTATATTGTGCAGAAAATAAATGGTCATATTTTGCAACAAAACTGTCACCTTAGGCCAGTTTGTTATGTTTTATGATGAGCAGAACACTGCTCATAAATATAAGATAGCATACAGAAAAAAAATACAGGGTTGTCCAACAGCAATTTTGCACTTTACCAATTTCAACTACAGTTGTGGTTTTCTAAGCTAAAGCCATCATAGTAGTAGCACTGCATGTATTGTCTTCAGATCCAGGCAACACACTATTGTACTGGAGTGTATAGGATTTTCAATTACTTTGTTATAAATCTTAGCCAAAACACATAATTGATCTATTTTTTCAATAGTTAAATTTCATACAGGTTAATGTACCTACAGTACTTCTGAAAATCCACAATTCGGACACTCCAGGACACCCAATCAGCTCAGCATACACGCACTCGGATCTCAGCCTTCCTGGATAACCTTATGAGACCACTAGTTGAAGGACTTCCTTCATATATTAAGAACACTAATCATGCTCTAAAATTTTGAAGTTTCCATTTTCAGGGCCCAGAGGCCCAAATTGTTTCATTTTCACCATGGACATCAGATTCTTTTACACTATCATTCCCTACAATGACAGTCTTACAGCCCTCAAGCAAACACTGAACTAACGTACAGTGCTTCATCCACAAACCCATACTCTTCACACAAACCCTTCCACTTGAACTTTCTTTTGTGACTGCCCCATCGTCTCATATTGCTGACCACCTAAGCTGAGCGACTTTCTTGTTCACAGTTCCCTCAAGCACCCACAGCAACCATCCACAAAAACTTTTCCCTGCAACAGAACCAGTTGCATCACCTGCAAATATATATCCAATACAACACACGTTCAAGAATCCTCTGCACAGTTCTGAGTCACCTTGAGACATTATCTAACAACCTAATTTACTGCATTTTATGCAGAAAATGCCCAGCTATTGGTGAGACAGGAAGAAGACTGGTGGACCATTTCAGTGATCATATCAGAGCCTTGGGGATCAAAGATCTCTCCAAGCTGGTATTTCCCCATTTCATTCCTCGTGACCATGATCTTTCTGATATCTCTGTCTGCATCCTCTCATAGGAGTTTCAGAAATGCAGAAAAATATCCAAAACCACAATTATTCCCTCACACCTGAAGAAGGAACCTTTAACTGTTCCTTTGCAGCCAATACATGCTGACTCAGCTCCCTACTCAAAACCCTGAAAATTAGTAAATACCGAAGGTACACTTAATAGATTTTGCAAAGCAGGTTGATGTTAATCATATTGTCACGCCCTCTGCAGCCAGGGGGCGCTCCTTCTCTGTCCTGTCCCTAGTTTCCGGTCTGCTGTCCTTCCTGTCCCTCTCTTTCCCTTGGGCTATATATTTCCGGGTCTTGCACTCTGTCCTCGCTCAGCATTGATGTTCGGATGTCCTGAGACCTGCCTAGCACCAGGGCGCCCCACGTCCGCTCCCTGAGGGCATAGGTTTCTATACGGCATTCCTGAACTCTTTGCACTAATGAGCCCGGGCCTTTTTCCCGTCTCGCCGCTACGCATATGGGTCTTTTTCCGCTCTCCTGCTCCCCACGGTTAGTCCCTTTGGACGTCCGTGACACATATTCCAAGCAATTGGAAGAGAGCCATCATTGCTGTGTGACAGAGCACAGTAATGATTTGGGATGCCTTCTTCATGCAATTTAAAATAATGTTCTGATGTTACACCAGGCTTCTGTGTCTTGTTTATGGAAATATTTGCCTTCTTCATCCTGGGACACAGATTACATATTGGAGGATTATCCTCTATGTCCCAATTTTAAGTCTGCTTTTAATGCAAGATTTTAAAATGTATTTTGTCATTTTAATATATTGGCCATGAGTTCTACAAGGTAGCTATATTCCTGCTTGATCCTTTAGCATTTTTATTGACCTCTAAGTGTGATGTGATGGGCAGTGACATACTGTATCACATGCTAGATTATCTTCTCCATTTTAACACACTCTGTCATGTTTCATTTGCTTACAGGAGAGTGTTAGAAGTTGCCTGCCAAACAGAAATGTTTCCTTTTATTAATCTTTCTCCTTCAAGATTATAACACTTCTTAAACATGTGGAGATCTTAATTCCTTGATGTGCCTCAGCAAAACAGTAATCTTAGATGTGAGATGTGAGATTATGTGTGGGAGTGATATGATCATTAAATGGAGTTCAAAACCTCTGTTATATTTGAAGAGTTGTTTCATGAACCCAGGTACAGCCGTTGTCTGCCAGCAGGTCAGGTGGAGGAGCGAGAAATTATTTCACCTAATGAATTAAGGGGTGACTGTAGGAGGGCCAGATTATGCAAATCCAAACTAGAACTGAAACAAGACACTAGCTTGCTTCTTTTACCAGGCTACCTACTGTATTTTGATCAATACAATAGTATGACCATACTGTATGTTAGGACCTCAGTGTAAAATGTAAAATCTAATTTGCAGAACGGCACTTCCTACAGCATGGTGTTGCTACATGAGGGCATTGGTATAGCTGAGTTAGTCACGTGTGCAGTCACAGGCCCCGGGAATGTACAGTAGTTTTAGGTGTAAATAATAATAATTATTTTTGTAGAATAATAAAGCCAAACTTTCAAAATGTAAATTAATCCAATGCAATACAATAACACAAGAGATCCAAGCCTTGACATTAATTTAAAGGAGACAGGGAAATTGTTTTGTTTTGCTTTTTTCACATAGTCATGTGAGTTTTAGGCAAAGGTCAGTGGGTATACAGTACATACAATACTGTACATGTACTACATCTACCCCTGATAACAAGTGACATTCTTACTCAAGCCAGAGGGTTTACTCTGACACACTGCTCTAGATCATGGCAACCACAGTGGATCTGAGCATTCTGGAGAAGAGCAAACGTCATTACAAGAAAACACAGAACTGCTGCTGTGTGATTAGTGAATGTATCACTTTGAGTTGCAAATTGTCTGGGAAATGACTGTGCACAAATAATTAATTTTTAATGTTGTTGTTATTGCACTGCAAGTTTTGGGGTCATCACAGAGTGTGGCATGTCCTGAGTCCATACTGTAACTCTTTCTGTACTGTTAAGACTCACAGACCAGAGGTAAATGTGCAGTTTCCTCAGCACAGTAATATTTCCCTTCAGAAGTGACAAGAAAAGCATTGGGACGGACCCGGAGTACTCATGCACGTCCAGATTGCTAGAGTAGACCCCGAGTAGTTGAATAGATCTAGAGGACTAGAGAAAGCTCAAAGGGCTAGACCAGACTCAGACAAAAGCCAATGGTTATACATACATGTACAGTACTACATCTAATCCTTATGACAAGTTACACTCTCGCTCTAGCAAGAGGACCCATGTAGACCCAGAGGATTAGAGTAGACCCAGAGGAGTAGAGCACACCCAGAGAAGGAGAGTAGACTCAAGGAACTAGAGTAGACTCAGGACTTAAACTTAAACAGGACTCATGTAGACCCAGGGGAAGTGAGCAGACTCAGAGGAGTAGAGTAGACCCAGAGGACCAGAACAGACCTAGAGGAGTAGAGTAGATCCATAGGACTAGCAGACCCAGAGGAGTAGAGTAAACTCAGAGAAATGGAATAGACTCAAGAGTAGAGTAGCTTTGGGACTAGAGCAGACCCAGAGAACTAGAGCAGATCCAGAGCACTAGAGTAGACTCAGAAGGAGTAGAGAGGCTCAGATGACTAGAACAGACACAGGGGACACTTAGCCCAGGAGTTCCCAAATCCTAGTCTGGGAGGTGCACACACTTGCTAGTTTTCATTCCAGCTGAGCTTAATTACTTAATCAAAGCTACTTGGGTATGACATTTACAAGTTTTCTCTTCCCAAACGGTTGGAATTTTGTATCACTTATGAAATGCAAAAATTAAAAGGCAACCTCCAATATGTTTAAAAGCTGATTGTAGTCTTGTGGTGTCTGCAATCAGCTTTCTCTGTAGTGTATTTTTAATTCTCAGACCTTCTGTGGGTATACCTCAGCTTGTTTCAAGCACATCAGTACACAACGAAACCTCCTAGTGTCATTAGTGTGAAAAAAGGACCATTACCCTGCCCAGGCGATGAGTGTGACGCAGGCGTAGGGGCTCCAGGAGAGCACAAACACAATGATGACCACAAAGGCGATTTTAGCCAGTTTCCACTCATTCCTCACGGACTGCTGGATCAGGGCAGACTTTTTCGTGTGGGTCCTGAGTTTTTCCACATCTCTAAATGAATAAGAAAATGTGCAGAAAGGAAAAAATGATGAATATCCCACACATAAGCACACAAAAGAAATTTAAAGTGATATCGCTTCTGAGGCTTTGTCACCATTTCAAGGCCTCTTTACCTGGAAGTAAAATCCCTTCTGGTGAAGACACATCCCCCAAACCTCCTCTTTCAAAACAACAATAATGTTCTTTTCTCTATACTGACCTCCTTATCTTTGCCAAGCAGTAAGTAATTACTTATGCAGATAATACTCATTTTACACTGCGATTTGAGAGAAATCACACATTTCTTTAGTTCTATATTTGGTCACGTCTACAAAACCTTTTTTAAGATAAAACTACAGTGAGACTCAACTACAGTTATTACTATCAAAATAATACATTTTCCCTATTGTCTCCCTCTGTTTATTTTTAAGAAAATTGCAGCATGTCATCCCAGTAAAAATACAGGGTCAGATACGGTCATTTTTCAAATCAAGCTTGCACAATGGATATGCAATTTCTGTGAACATCTGGACACAATTTTAAAGTTCAATTGCTTTACAGACAAGAGACAAGAAAGATTGTCTATGAAACACAAATCCCTTCAGAGACTTTATTATTTGTTTTTTTAATACAATATTTTTCTCATCTTCCTTATTGTATCTATTCAAATGTTTTGTTTTTCTACTTTATTGTAAAAACAACATAACATAAGTTTGATTTTTTACGAATAAACCAACGCTTAAATTGCAGTTACTTCAATATTGAATGTGCCAGAAGCGTGATTATGTTCCATTTGAAAAAAAATCTATTTTATAAAATTGCTTCCTTTAAGTTTCAAATATGGGATTTCTTTAGTCTTGGACTTTAGATTTCTTTTTTTGGTTTACACTCCAGCACTCTTAATTAAAAATAAGCATATTATTGGTGCTCACATACAGTAAGTTATTAAATCTATTACAGATATAAAGTGACACCATAATAATAATTCAAAGTAATACAATAAACATTAAATGATGAAGGTGTTAAAATAAAATCTTTGTCTTTGTGTTGTTAAAACCTGTTCTGATATAAGATGCAATACCAAACATCTGGACAATGTGACATTTTTACTCTCAAGTAAGTCAAGAATGACTCAAATGACTCAAAAAGAATGTTTTCAAACACTACCTCTGAGATGGGAGGGAGTAGAATTAATTTTGCAGTTTAAAATTGTAGGTTTTGTGAACCTAGAAACATCACAAAAGCTCTTTAGTGAACTACATGAACTATTTTGCTCTTCCACTGCATCAACAAAAAAATTGTTGTTACAAGATTCATGATTACTTCAAATGGCAGGAAGCCATTTGGGCTCTCTGATTTATTTGGTGGTCTGAAGGTTATTGATTCAAGGTTTATATCCAGCTGTTTTTTTAACAAAGCCAGGTATCAGCTTGGACAAAATGGATAGCTTATTCAATACTCCCACCACCACCCCTGGGTAGAGAAGTCTCTCCAGGTGTCCTTTTTAACCACACTTCCCTGTAGTTTCCACTTGTATCTTCTGGTTCTCAGTGAAGCAACTATCCCAACATTACAGAATCGAGACAGTTTGTGAACAACATGTTAACTGTATAAATACACAAAAATAATCAAATATATTTGTACATGATCATTGACTTGATTGATTTATTTACTTGCAGATTGACTTGAGCTGCATCTGTAGTTACAGGGGTTAACACACACCAGTTTTTATCCATTAGCTATATAAATAAAAAAGCAGTCCATACTGTATAATTAGCTTTAACAATAATAGATTGAACTGATTGACTTGCCTATGATGGCAACTCAGATCCAGTCCTTTCATCTGTCTAAACAATTCATGTGAAAGATCAGAAGTCTTTTGAAAAAACAACAACATTTGTCAAGTCCAATTGCTTCACAATCACATCACGTTTAAATTTGTCGTCCATCTGTGTTTTCCTACCCAGAAATCCTTGTGGTATACAGGAATAGCATAAAAGGGAATATTTAGGCTGCGATCCAAATAATTTATTTTGACGCACTTTCTCATTCAATGTTTTATTTGATTAAATAAATGGACGAAAAGCACTCTGACAAACAATAACACACTTATATATGGTGAATAGAATAGAATCTGTGCAGCTGAGGAAAACACAAGCTGTTATGAAAATCAAAAGAGGGTTGTACATGTTTGAAGAAAGGGACATCCACCCGATACCATATACTCAGTATTTAAATGTGCTGCCTTTTACTTTATTTTATACTGTAAGCGCCACACATGACCATAAAGAGTGCACAGCACACAAAGGTCTTCATAATGATTTAGGAGTGCGTGTTTTACTGGGGGCAAATTGTCATCGATTGTGCACGTTAGCACAAGCTAAGGTTTTAGTTAGTACGAGCAGTAATGGCTGAAACGTTCTGCATCCAGTGCAGTTAGTTCTTTGCAGCTTTGCTTTAAGGACTCAAAGTAATGTTCTAACAATTATTTGGTGCCACTTTTTCATGAACCCAAGATGGCTGATTCGTACACATCCAGAAAAAATCTGCCCGTTCCTGATAAGGGTGTTGGCAACCTGAAGCTTATCATGGAAACACAGGGCACAATGTTGGATGACACCCTGGATGCTAGTCCATTGCATGGTATACACACTGACAAAACGGAGACACCAATGAGTCAGCCTGTCTTTGTGGGGCAAGGGGATACTGTGGTAACTAGAAAAACCCACACAGTCATGAGGGGAACATGCAAATTCCACTTTGACAGATGTAGATTCGAACCCATGACCCATAACCTATGACAGCAGCTCAAGCTGCCACACCTACACATACATATGAATGTCTTCTAAAAAATTATGCAACAGTTAAATATTAAATATTAAAACATTAATACTCTTGAAAGTATGGTAATAATTTTTGCTATTATTGCTGACAGGCAAAAATTGTGGTTTTTGATAATCTGTACGATATGTTTATGGATTATGATTTTTTTATTTTAATGGAAAAACACTAATAAAACATGTAAAATGTGAATTTTAAAGAACAAAGCATGGAAGAAAATCCCTTGTCATAGAAAAATCTTCTAAAATTGTTTCCCCCGAGTTAAGGGGCATTACTGAGACATTCTTCTGAGAAAGAATTCATTTAAAAAATATTTCTCAGAATTCCAAATTAGTTTTGCAGAAGAAAATAAAAAGGTATGTGAGAGACTGGGGAAATGGTGACAGCGAAAGTCCCTAGCAATGTAGCGCTCTTTATTTATTTATTTTGAGGAAAAATAAATAAGAGAGAAAAAAAGTTTGTCTTCTTCCTCTGTGGCCATCAGGATCTCAGTTGCTTTTTGAGGTTTTAAGGCTTTTTTTTCTCTGGCTGTAGATTCTTGGTGGACACCTTTCCTCACCTTGGCTCAGCTTACACACCCTGCTGAAGAGAACTTGTGCTTTCATAGAAAGAATTACGACTGTCATCTTTCAAGGTCATAACTAGCAGCAACTGTGGTCTCCCAGGCGAATAATAGCTGACACCCTCACAAGGTGCTAGTGTGCAGTGCTGCCATGACACCATAAACATTTTAAGATTGACATATGTGGTGCATCTTTCTTACCTGCTGGTGCTCCGAATTGCTATGAACATGAACACGTAGCAATAGGAAATGATAAGCAGTGGGATGAAGAACACAAAGCAGCAGAGCATCAGGGTGTAGCTTCTGTTTGAGGGAGTAGCTGTGACATAGTCCCATGTGCATGAGGTCATCAGCCCTTCTGGGATGTATGAACCTGCAAAATAAATGGCCCATTATAGAAAAGCTCATCAGATACAGATGTTGAAATTGCTCTGGTCCTAAAGAATAAAGAAGGCGAGGTGTGAAACCTGGATTGTCATATAGTTTTTAGTTCTGCTAAGTCTGTTTAAAGAAAATCACCAAAATACAAGCTTCAACACATTCGGAGGCCATAATTCCACACTTGTAAGTCAAGGTGTGTTACACTTTGATCACTAAAAAGATCACTTAAAAATGTAGGTAGTGGTGGTATGTGTACTCTATACAGGGCACTGGACCTGTTGTCCAGAGGAACCCACAGTCGGGTTCCTGGAGAAAGGGTGGCTCAGGGCAGTGGACAGCTCCCTGGAGTTGCCAAGGATGCAGACGGGGGAGTTGAAGGACAGGAACATCTGACCTCCAAGGCCTAGCAGAATATTCATTAACAGAACGGTCCCTCAAAAGGGCACCAGGAGCTGGGCTGATTCAAGGTACACACCCTCAAGGGGGTTTTACCAGGGAGGAGGCCAAGCGTGCTCTATCAGAGCATTCTCTTGGAACGCTCTCTTCTGGTAAAGAGCTGGCCAGGATGGACCTCAGGTTCCCCCTAGAATGGGCTGAGGGAAGTCATCTGGAGAGGCTGGGTCAGAAATGGAGTCCCAGCCTCTGGTCCCCTCTCAGCACAGCCATGGGCCGAGCTCCCCGTGAGCCCTAGAGAACTGGAAATCAGGAATAGGACTGGCTCCGCTGGGACAGAGGGTGTCTCACGAGGTGAAGTGTTATACTTGTCAATGCCAGATCGCCGAGGAGAGGCACAGCAGGGTTAGGATACCCCAAAGCACATGCTGCCATGAGAGTTCTCCGCAACTGCACTCTGACAACTGCCACTGCAACATCACAGCAGGGCGAGTGTAAAACATGCATCTGGCATACAATGGTCCCACCACCTTTACACATACTATATGTTACTGTATCAATTATATGACAGAATGGTCGAGGAAATTTGAAATATTTTTACAATTAACTAAAATATTTTTCCAAAATGTGCCAAGGTTGAATAGATATACACTATGGAATGTGTATATACAGTATATCTACAGTTAACATATTTTGAGGGGATAAAAAGAGATCGGGATCGGGAGTAACATTTGTTATGTTTTCCATTATCCATTCCATTCCATTATCTTAGTTAAAAAGTTTACAAGATGTTTACAAGAACATCCAGTTTACAAATTAGAGGAGGCCATCTGAAACATCTAGAAAAGACTGATTCAGGATTGCCTAGCTTAAAACATTTCCCTTGTGTGAAGTACCACAATTGTGTATCCTGTACACACAGAACGCCTTCAGAAAATTCTTATTTGCTAAAATTTATTAAGGTATTTTAAACAGTGGGCTCTCATGTTATTACACTCACCTTGTCTCCCGCATTAAATGCATTATCCCAATCATAGACTATCCCAATCATAACCAAGTATCTGGTTAATTCACCACTCTCCAATGTCAAAATCAGCTCTCGTCTGTGATTATCTGTGTCGGGCCCCGCATGACAGCACTAGAACACTGGATTTGGCAGTGTTTCTGTCCATCCTGTTTTGTTCTTAATGTTGGGTTCCATAACTATTAACTCTGTGTACATTTTAATATGACCAAGCTTCATCAGATGTTAAAATACTTCTGCAATCAGCAGCTGTCTGCAATGATAGAACCTCTGAAGTAATTAAGAGGGTTCTTAATTTGAACTTGATTACTGTGCCCCTAGAAACAGAAAACTGGAAGGTAGAACTTGCTTCCTGTTAACATCCTGGAATCATGCTCAATGGCAGAGAGGGACAGAAAGAATGAGCTGTTGACAACCATGGCAACGCGAACCAAGTACATGGTAAAAATGCGGAAAATCAAGGAGAATATTAAAATAACATATTCAGACTAATTTACCATGCTGATCTTTCATAAGAGGAGCAACACTTGGAAGCACTGGAAGCACTGGAGAAGAGCACAAGGGGAAAATTGCTCACTCCACTTACTCCATCCAACCAGAGGCGCCAGGCTCCATGCAAGTGAGTACAGCCACACTAGGAGGATGACCAGTGATGTGCGTCTTTTAGATGTCCACTGGATGGACTGCAGAGGCTTTGTGATCACCAGATACCGGTCAATGGATATTGCCAGCAGTGTAATCATGGAGGTGATTCCAAAAAGTGCACCACAGAAGGCGTACAGTTTACACCCTGAATAGAATATGAGAAGGGACATGACAACAAAAAAATGATAAACATACAGTATATATCTTACAAGGAATAATCTTCAGGTTTATTGTGTGCATGTGGTGCCAAATGAGTATTAATAAGCTCTTGTGGTCTCTCATGCTCAGAGAGAAGAGACTCTAAGAGTCTCTAAGGGAAAAATGAAAGAGGCTCTAATTCCACTTTTTGGATATAAAGTCAAAGTCAGCACCTGGGACACCTGTTTCACCCTTAATAGGGGTAAAATAGTCTTGTAGTCTCTACACACATTTTCACAAGTGTTGTGAAATACAAAAAAAATAACATTGCATCCATCCACACACATATACTGTATATACTGTGTATACATGTACAGCACATATTGATCCTGCCCCTGTGGAAGTGGCTGTTCTGCCTTCAGGGGACAACTACTGTACAGCAGCCCTGTCATGAGATTACTCAAATATACATTTATACCAAACCTGACACTGATGTGGCCGTCTCTATTCTATCTAATTGCATCTCTGACATAAAAACTTGGATGACTCAAAATTTCCTTCATCTTAACTGTGACAAGACTGAAGTCATGTTTATTGGCACCCCCCATCAACTTTGTAAAGCCAATGCTGTAACCCTATCTGTAGATGGTTCTGTATTTGAGCTTCAGTCTAAATTGAAAAACCTTGGGGTGATATTCAATTCTGGCTTAACATTCGACCCACATGTGCAGCATACTGTCAAAACATCTTTTTTTCACCTCAGAAATATCGCTAGACTACACCCTATGTTATCACTAACTGTGGATGTAAAGCTGATCAACACATTTGTGTTCCCCCGAATTGACTACTGTAATGCTCTACCTGTTGGAGTATCTAAATATATATATTGAACAAACTGCAGTATGTCCAAACTTTGGCAGCCAGAATCCTGACCAGGAGCAGTGCACTTGACCACATTACATCCTGGAGTCCTTGCACTGGCTTCCTGTCAAATTCCCTGTGGACTTTAAAATCCTCATGCTCACCTATAAGGCTCTGCATGGCTTGGCAACTCAGTACCTGGCTGAACTATTATCGGCCTACTCTCCACCTCGTAACCTTCGCTCTTCTAATTCTGCTCTCCTAACTGTTCCCCAAGCAAGGATATCAGAAAGTCACCTCTAAACTCCTTCAAATCCAGACTCAAAACCTTCTTCTTTAGAAGAGCCTATGCTTATATTTACTGGTTCCATTCTATATCCCTCAGCTCCTACTATACTTAGTACCACCATCCACAGTCTCCTCTATTTTAATTGTGCTTTATTTATTGTTGTTGTCATTCTGTAAAGCACTTTGAGAATCCACCTTTAAAGGCGCTATATAAAATAAAGTTGTTTTTTATTATTACTATTATTATTATTAGAGAGAAACCAATGTCCTGCTTTAAGAAAATGTCCTGGGACTTCACTGTTTATTATCAGTTTTTACCTTTAGCTTTAAAATACACCTTGAACAGGATCATGGTATTTAATTCTAGTGGTTATATGATGGATATAGTAATATCCATGTCTTATTTAAATAGATACAGATACAGTGTATATATAGACAAGTACCAGCGAGTTACAAGAAAGGAATATCCAGAGATTCTGTGGCATTTCCTAATCTACACTCATGGTGTATAACATCACTAAACCCATCAATGTAATTTTATTGAAATAACATGTCTATGTGCTTAACGTTAAAAATGACCTTTAAACTCAGAAAAGCTTTTTTTCTTATCTCTTGAACATGTTAGTATCACTAATCAACAGTGTATTAAAGCACAGTGCTCACAAAGATTATCTGTTAAATTATCATTTCTGAGTCACAGAACACAAGTTCTTTCCAGATCAGTGAGCGAGTTGAGCTGAAATGATGGAAAGGGATCCAACTGATTTAATCAATACTAACTGCAAATTATCATATGCCTGTGGTGGCTCCCATCTGTGACGATGGAGAGGAAACAGGCCTTTGTCATCTGACATTGCACCTAAATAACTTCACCAATAATAAAATTGAATGTTTAGTTACGGACTGTTAGAAACCACTATGACTAAAATAAATTCATTCATCAACACTGATTTTTAAATTAGGACTTTCATAGCCATGTGCAATATACTGTATACAGTTGGACTCTGATTTCAATCATCCCTGCATGCACCACCCACCATTCCAGGACAGCTCCCCCTGGTGGGCTGTTGGTTGTGGATAAATAGGATTCTTAGGAAGCAGCAGCATTTTCAGCCTTTTATTCCTGCTTTTACTTATCAGAACCTTACAATGATTGTTTTTGTGAGCGTTATTTAAATGCAGAGATTTAATTTAAGAGCATTACAACGCTCAACAGAAATGTTTAGCTGAACTCTGCGGTCTCCTGTTATTTAACCTGCTGCTAACTGTTCCTGTAGTCTTTACATTAGCAAATGTGCACATGAAGTACTAACCAAACATAAGAAGGTTTTTCCCTTTCAATATTTTATAAGTAGCACTATAATTACCATAATGAAACAACTCATTCTCACACCTGTTATTAGGGGGCAATTTTTTTTTTCGCTTTCAGTGTGACAATTTCTGCACTCCTGACAGGCAAGAACAGGCATGCCTGTTGTAAGTGATGACGTATACAAGATATACTGTACAAGCTTGGTGGAAACAGTCTCAGCCTGACCCAGGAAACATATTTTATCTGTCTGAACCCATGACCTTGGCTACTTATAAAAACAAGGTATCATGCAGATACAGTGCTGTTACATGATTTGTAACTTGCAGCCTATGACTTATGATTGTTTATGAGCTGCTTACCCATTACCCACGGCCTGCGGACCTGCTTCCTGATTTTTTAAATTGCATGTGACAATTATGTCCTTGTCCTTTGGCTAGATGATGCTGGAGAATACTTTAGAAATGATTGGGGGATTTTATTTGAAGAGTCCACGGGCAATCGTTTCCTTTAAAATAATAATAATAATAATAATTAATAATTGCTTACATGTATATAGCGCTTTTCTGGACACTCCACTCAAAGCGCTTTACAGGTAATGGGGACTCCCCTCCACCACCACCAATGTGCAGCCCCACCTGGATGATGCGATGGCAGCCGTAGTGCGCCAGAACGCTCCCCACACATCAGCTATTAGTGGGGAGGAGAGCAGAGTAACAAAGCCAATTCATAGATGGGGATTATTAGGAGGCCATGATTGGTAAGTGCCAATGGGAAATTTGGCCAGGATGCCAGGGTTACACCCCTACTCTCTTCGAGAAACGCCCTGGGATTTTTAATGACCACAGAGAGTCAGGACCTCCGTTTTACGTCTCATCCGAAGGACGGCACCTGTTTACAGTATACTGTCCCCGTCACTATACTGGGGCATTAGGACCCACATAGACTGCAGGGTGAGCACCCCCTGCTGGCCCCACTTACACCTCTTCCAGCAGCAACCTTAGTTTTGAGTCCCTCTTTAACACATCCTATCAAGTCTCATTCACAATGTCAAGAAACAGTACAAAAATTACATTTTCTTCTCCTGCCTTTTATTTATCACTGTTTAGGTACTTCATGATGTACTATAATTTCCAATAATGATAGAAACATAAAAATACATAGAGAGAATAAAGGCTCAGGTATTAAATGTGTAGAACTGCCAAAGTCCAACTGAGATGAAAATGTAAAACTGTTACCCAGTTCACCAAACACCCACTCCTTGTTTAGGCAGTTGACAAAGAAAATGGGTGACTGCGAAATGGACATCAGGAAATCACTTATAGCAAGGTTCATGATGAAGTAATTGGGAGGCGTCCTCAGTTTCTTATCACTGCAACAGAAAAAAAGAGTTTTCAGCATTAATGTTTTGGTGGACTTTCTTGGGGTAATAACTAAGGAAGATTTGTGTTTCTGATTTGGTGTGATTGTGATTATATCCCTGCACTGAAAAGACATACAGGTATCATACTGAACAGAACCTTAAGAATTAAGAATTCTAAAGAATTAAGGCTCGAGGCATCATTGCACAAGTTCACAATTCATAACAATTGTTTATTTGATTGATACATTTCAGTAAATACATTTGAAGCATTACATTTCTTCTTTAAACAATTTGTGTTTACTTAAAAATCCACAATGTTTCAGATCGTAGTTTGTTCAGAAAGTCCATGTTCTTTTTCACTGCACCAAAATGTTCCTTTTTGAAAGTGCATATTGATATTCAATCTCAGCCTGTAAATTGGGGTTATTAGCAAAACATCTTCTTCTGTGTCAGCTGCAACTGTCTTTCAAATGCATTTGAATACCCAGGTTTGTGTTTTACAAAAATCCAAACAATCTATTTTATTTTAACAAGATTCAACATGGAAAACTAACTCCTGGAGATTCAACATATGAAGTTAGTAATAGGACATCAGAAGGACCACAGATGAGAGGGGGATGTTTGGCCCATATACTGTCACGTGGCTCTGTTTCAATACAGTGCTGTGGTACTACTGGCTGTACTGGTACCAAACCTTAGCATGTATTTTCCCCGGGAAAGGGGCCATTTGGATCAGCCAATCAGACCCATATGAACACAAAGAGAATAGGCAGATCATGGTCCTGCTCTGGAATTGAATTCTGTAACTTGGAGCTGAGAGGCAGTAGTGTTAAGTATTATGACATTGTGCTGCCCTAAACAGATAATCTTATTAGTTTTCTTTTGCTGTTTGCTGGGTCACGCGAAAAAGGGATCAGCAAAAATTGAAAGGAATGTCTATGTTATAGTGTTGGCTTTTTGATTATATGTTACAGATTATCTGGAAAATATGTAAATGTATTAAAATAACTGTCCAATTAAAACATTTACTAGCTTGTCAGGTAGTAATAAACAAACCAGTTATTTTGTAAAGTTACTGTCAAAGCCTGCTCATCTGTAAAATCTCCAGTAAATTTGTGTGTTGGGACTCACAGTATGTCAGAAAACACTTGTTACACACCAGGTGCATATCTGGCAATGTGCTCAAGTTATATATATGATATCTGAAAATACTAAACACATAAAATAACCATAGACCAGTAACTACAGTAAATGTATTGTTATTAACAGAGATTTAAACGGAAGTTTAGGAGGAGATCAACCCCTAACCTTGTCCATTTCTGCTTTCACATGTATAAATATCACTCTGCATACTTGTTTGGTCTGAGGAAGTCTCAACTGCTGAAATGGAGGATGTTTTTTTCTACTTTTCAGAATGGAATGAGCCTTTACTTGCTCCTGAAGTTTTCAACATTCAGTGAACAAGGTCGTGTGCTGAGTTTGATTATATGGTAAACCCTAAAGATTTAGGACTTCCAGCCAGACATACTGTATGAAACCAAAAAATGCATTTATTTTTAAGAAAATGATCCAAAAAAATGATGAATAATCATGGCACATCCTCATTGATTAAAATGTTACTACTATACAAATTATGCATTGTATAATCACATTCACTATAAAACATCAGTGCTTTCTCTTTTAAAAGCAAGAAAAACATGCTGTAGTATGTGCAAACTAAGCTAATTTCTCATATTTAGATCCTTTTTACCTTTAGATTTGAAGACTATGATACCTAAATGTCAGTTTCACAGTACTTACAATACTACAAATCACTCCTTTCATTTACTTCATTAGCTAGAGAATAGCACAAAGGTTGTGATTTCCAAGAAAAAACACAGAATGACACATTCACATTTACAGCTGCTGTTGTCAGCTGAAATCAGGACCTAAAAGAAGGACGAGAAGCTGGTAAATTTCCTCAGTACACACGCTCTCTTTAGCCCTTCACACTCGCTGGCTCTGGAGGAATCATCCTCACCTCAGTGCACACTGTACTTTCCAATCAGGATACCCACATCTCCACAAGACTGGAAACTTCTCGCTCAGTCACTGACACAAGAAACGTCTAACACAGCCTTAATCTGAGCCAACACTTGGAAGAACTTTAAGAAGTGCTTTTACGGTGAAGTGATAATGTACAGAACGAGCATTACAGCGTCTGAACATTCTTTACATCCTTCTGCACATGACTACATTCTGTCATGACTACATCAGGCAAGAGATTAAAGATATGTCAGTTCATGAATAAATGTAGATTTATATCTGCTTTAGATATAAATAGTTCTATTAAAAGGATCTATCTTACCAGTAGAAATTACAGAGAATTTACAGAACTGTTGTTCTGAAGTTCAGCATTCCATAAATATAGGACTTTAAGTGTACTGTTTTCCAATTCTTTCCTTTCACACAATGTAAAAGCACCTTGGGGGTGTGGCATTACGTGGGGTGTGTCCAGTGTGGAGGCGGAGCCCTGCTCATAGGGCGACACCTCGCCTTTGTAGTCCCAGCTGTCTGGGCTTCCAGCTGATGAGCCCCAGCTGGGAGGGTCCTATAAAGGCACACTGGACACCCGCCGACGTGACCAGCAGGGCTACTCCCAAAAGGGGGGGAGTTTTCACCGACAAGGGGAAAATTCACGAGTACAATCCAGGTGGTATAAAAAAACAGGAATCTAGCATGCTTCAGATCTTTGTGATAAGCAAGCAATTATTTTTTGTTAGTCTCACTGGGCTGCAGTGACTGTGGGAGGCAATGGGCCTGAAGGGAAGTTCGATCAGGGCTGGCAAAGTCTTGCAAGAGTTTTGACCTTGTGCTTGCACAAGAGTTTGGAGTTTGAACCTGCACTGAATGTCTCTGAGCTGGTAGGGGCCCAAGCCCAGGGGATTTCACTATCAAATTCAAGGGAAGAAAACAAATCTCCTAGATTTCCCCTGAGCTACTGTACTTGTCATGAGACACTGGCTTCACTTTCTCAGAAAAACTGTGCATGCCGTTTCTACTTATAAAACCCATGCGTACTGTAAATGCAGCCATTCATAACTATGCCAAAACCAGCTTGCCTCTCTCTATCCCATCTCTACCACTCTTGTGATTCCCAAATGCCCTCCTGAAGCTTTTTGTCATTTCAGAACTGTTCTAATCCATTGCACAAACAGTGTTATGGGCATGTGTGTATTTACTGTGGTGGCTGTTACTGTGATTAAACCTCCTGGCTTTAATAATCTCCCTGAAATCTCCTCTTTTTAAACTGGGCTCTGTATTTACCCACTAGTCTCTGGCCAGGCTTGAACCCAATGGGGGTTAGATGGCACAATTTCATTTTTTTTGTACAGTATTTTGAGAAAATCCAGCTTGATTGTGTGGTATAATAATTCAACACAGAATCAAGTGATTAACACTAATCTAATGTTTTAGTTGCATCATTGCTGTATTAAGTTCTTGTACATATTCCCTGCCCATATACTGCTGTCTCCGAGCTTGTTTGGTGAACGTTATCTAGTGTGCCACTGCAGGACTACTAAATTACTTTTGCCATCTTCCAAGAAGTCCTCTTCCTCTGAGTCATTATTACTCCCTTGGGATCCCATTTTCAAAATAACACAGAAATCTGCAAATCACATCACAAACCATAATGATTCTTCATTTATTCCTTTAATCCCGTTGCACTCTCTTTTTTAATATTTCATAACTAATAATGTAATGTTTTCAAATAATCAATCGCTATGATGCTCAGTAACAAAAGCAGAGCTGTAGATTGTGGTTCCGCAGGAATTTTCAGATTAAAGAAATGTTGCAAATCCATGTAGAAATGATAAGATTTGTTTAATACAATACTATTTGGTTTTAGATTGCGTACAGTATGTTCTCATATGATCTCACGTTTCTAAGAATGACTTAAGCCTTCAAATCCTCGCGGCGTCTGCACATGGTGTTTCCTCATTAATTCCCGTAGGAAAGGAAGGCATTGAAAATCTACTGCTAATAAAACACATCACAGGACAACAGTAATTATTCTGAATGGACAAGAAACAACGTAGTGGAAACAGCTGAAGCATACTGTTTTTAACCAGGTGATGAGGTGTGGGCACACGAGTGGGGAATAGCGCATCGCGCAGGCGGGTAGATATCGCTATCGGTTTACTATGGAAGCCCTGTGGAAGCCCGTTTCCGCCAGGGAGTAAAAACAAAAACGACCTACAGTATGGTATCTCAGAATTCCGACTTAGCAACTCAGAATTGCGAGTTAGTAACTCAGAATTCCGACTTCATATCTCACATTTGGGACTTCGAAATAGCCCGCATTTCATTGTCTGTCCTTTTGTTACTGTAACGGATTCGGGGTCTAGGGTTTGTGCCCTCGCCGCTCCTACCCTACTTCGTGGCTCACTGCATTGACTCGAACCCAGGTCTTGCCAGCTGAGCTAAAGAAGACACTGCAACCAGATCGGACAACCTGTATGTCGGCCGTTTCGTTACACTATATTCATGAATCGTACAGGATCAGAGGATCTATAGGCCTGAAGACTTGTCTTGTACAGTGCCCTGATAAAAATCAAATTAATTACACTATAATAATGGAAATATGTAAAAAGTATAAGTTTCAGCTTTTATAATTGTGAATATCTCTGGATGTGAAGTGTTTATTTCTGTATCTTATTTCATATTCTGTCTCTGTTTTATATTTCTGGTGTTTAAATAAAAACGTTTTTAAAAAGCCAACCATGCACTATTCCATCCAGGTACTATGGAAGCCTCACTGGCGGAAATGGGATTCTATAAACATTAGTGTAATTTGATTTTTATCAGGGCACTGTACAAGACAAGTCTTCAGGCCTATAGATCCTATGACCCTGTAAGATTCATGAATATATTGTAATAGAACAGCCGACATACATGTTGTACGATCTGGTTGCAGTGTGGCGACAGCACCATCCTAAAACACAGAAAAGTAAATATTTTACTTTTCTGTGTTTTACTTCAAAATCCAGTTAAAAGGACAATATCTTCCAATGTTAAATCAATAAAAGTGTTTTTCCACTTAGACGCACTTCAGAGCCATTAGTGAAAATCCCATGACATTGCAAGCAAGCCATCATTTCACAGGCACTCACAAAATGGCTTTTTAAGTGCCTTGAATCCACTTTTAGCAATATGCCAGACAAAATGACAGATTATGAATATGTACCACAGACATGTAGATAGAGAGGAAACTATTCAAATGCATAGTATAACAAAGGGCACAGTTGCATTCTTAAAAACATACAGTACTGTAAATGATGTACTGTACATCAAAATTGCATTCGGAAATGTAATGTACTTGAAAAATTGTAAAGTATTCACACATTTCAAGCTCTCTCCTCTGGTTGTAGTATTAATTTTTCATTACATTTTCTATAGTTTTGGGTGAACTGACGGAAAATAAATCTCTTGTATTTTTTTTCTCAGGCAACTTTCATGATTGAAATTGGTGTGATTTCTCAAAAGCCCTGTGAAATTCACAGATGAATTACAATGCCTGGAAAGCCTGTCGATTTTTACCCAAGCATCACTATGTGCTACAAACGTGGGTACTCTAGTTTCATCTTTCAGTATAATCCCTGTCCACCACAGTGCATTTACTACATCAAAAAATAAGCTGCTCTGTGTAACTTTAGTAAGAGTGATGCGGTCTCACTGTATCTGGGGTTGAAAAACTCCCTGTTTGGCTCTGATGAACCTCAATATCAATAAAAGCTCGCATGACCAGATTGCACTCTAGCAAATATTAAATTATCAGATCAAAAAAGGATGAAAAAATTCAGTTCTAGGAAACAGTGTATCTTTTCCATAAAATCCACAATGGCGAAGATTCTTATTTTTCTGTGCACAAGATTGGATGACTTACAAATGAACCCTGGCTGTTCATTCAGCGAAATGATCAAACAATATTGCTGCACTGCTCGCAGCATGCAGTAAACGTTAAAAGAGTGTAAATGTTCTACAATAACTTTAGACAAAAGTCCACACAGAATAACATGTACCTTCCATACATTGCGTTTATAATTTGTAAACCAAAATCTGTGAAGAGGCTGCAAGCTCAGAAAAAAGAGAAACTGTATCATTTCATATCCCCAAATAATTTCTTAAATTGCAGCTCTTAAATTTCACTTTAAAATAATGAACCAAAGACTAGAACAATGTCTTTCAACATGTTTTCATCAGGTTCACAATAATGATTACCATTCATTGCTACAATTATACTGAATAAATATTTAGCAGAATATTGTAAGAAGAGAATATATTTGATATTTGCTTCAAGAACTATGGAGCCTCATAGAAACTAGTCTTTAATCCATATCTTAAGTAAATGTAAATATAATACAAGAAACTCTTGAATATATTAGTGTATCTGAACTCTTAATGTTAATAATATATGTATATATGGAAAAATGTTAAAAATGTCATAACACATTGTTTACACTTACAGTATATTAAGGGTTTTTAAAATGATTAATTGCTTATTTGAATGATCAATTATTACAATTATGCCATTTGAAGAAATGTAACAAATATCAAGACATGTTTTATATTAAACAACATAGATTCTGTCCTGTTCTTGAATCAGCACAAGCTTTTGTGTTTTATACATAATTCAAATATAGATCATCTTTGCATCACTGTGTACAGATGTTATTTTCTTTTATGCTCTGTTCTATTGCAAAGCTGCTTGGCACCAAATCATTAAAAGGAGACTATCTGAACTCATGCCTTACATCTGACATAAAATACTAGACACACAATATAACAATCTCTTCATTCACTTGTGCAGTATATCAGAGTCTCTACAGACCATAACAAAACCAGTCCTTCTACTCACACACCCTCCTGTAACATATTCCGTAGCCTGCCGGTTTCTGTCGATGTGAGCTGTTAATAACGTCATTGACTAAATAAATACTTACTAAATTTAATTAGCATTAAATGTTCCTTTGTCTACAGCTGCTGAGAATTGATTCATCATTCAGTAGAAGATGTCTTTTATCAATTTAATTTTCTCATGTCTTAACCTTTTGATTGTGCCTCCGATGTTTCAGTGCATGTGGATTCAAGGAAAGCCCACCTTTTAAGATACTGTAAATATTGGAACTAAGCAGATAAATAGGAAATCCACTTTTTGAAGGTACCAAATGAACACCAGTCTCAGACCAAGGGGAATCCAGAGACAGGAGGGCCATTTCTAACAGGATTAAGCAAAACAATACCAATAACAGAGCTGACAGTCCACATAATGCATCAACTTCACATGTCCTGAGTGCTATTCCACTGTTCATCTGTATCTTCTGCTGTAACCTTTTGGGAGTTATTACTTTCTTTCCTGACCTTGGCACAGCAAGTCTGATCTGCTCAGCATCCCACCTGCACATTCCTACAGGATCTAACTTCCGAAGCAAGACAGACAAAGATATATCACATTGGATTAGAAACACACCTCTGTACATGCAATAAATTAAAGCCAAATGTAAAAACTGTCAGACTCAGTCAATCAGTCTGTCCCTCGGAGTACAATCTAAAAAAGGTTCTAATGTTAGCCAACAAGTCAAATGAGATAAAGATCTCAATAAAAATTTTACATCCCTAAACTGCTGGGAAATCTATAGCAATAGCAATGGTAGAAATGATGTCTCTTTTTAATGGGAATCATACTGTATCACACAACAAAGAGTGACTGAGGTCTGGGTTAGTACACTGATCTATTCCCCCAGTTATTAAAGGAATATAGTATGCAGGAAATCTCCAGACTTATAGCAATACATTCACAAAGTAAAAACACTGTAACTACTGTGTTTTTAGAGTAGAGTCTAAAATGTCTGGCTAGGGTTTAATATTTGTGCTGGAAAAGCCAACCTGGCTCCCTAGGCAATCTAATTACACTGCACCTACTGCCTTCTGGCTTCAGACACGCACAAGGTTGACTTAAGACGAACTAACCCTCCAACGCCTCTCATTTAACAGACTTGACCCAATATGAAATAGTCAGGTATCTACTCTAAAGAAACAAGCTTAACCAAAGGCAATTGGAGGCATCAGATAATTACATTGTTCAAGAGTGCTTCAAAAGCCTATTTCTTTCAAGCACACACAAAATAAAAATAGGCTAGCATGTGTTGCTCCAATATTAGCATTTAATGAAAATGGCTGCATGCTTTCCTCACAGCTAGCACTAAAAATCTTCGATGTAAGGTAAAACCAGAGAATTCATATGGACACATTTTGAAATTACACACACAAAAATAACAGCCCAAATCCCAGACTTGAATGACAATGTTTCAGGAATAATTCGAACACAGTGCTTCTGACTGGTGGAGAGACTTGAAACAGTTAAAGTATAATTAAAACACAGGCATCTAACACGCAATGACTGGAAACACATGAACGGATAGTTTTGTATACATTACCTGTAAAATGCATACATGACTAGAAGGTTTCCAACCACTCCAATGGTGCCAATCACTACAACAAAACACGCAATGATGTAATGGACTTGATCTGGCACGTCAATCTTCTTAACAAAGCTCCTGTGGGGCTCCATATCCAGGACCTGGTATGAGGAGATAACCAGCTTTGCGTTAGCCTTTTCATTCGGTGTTTCTCGGACACAGTATCCGGGCTTCTGACAGGAGGAATGAATAGTCACTTGATTGTTGTGATTTTACAGAGAGTGGCCAGCAACTCAGTTATTTGCAGTTGTGGAGATACCCAGGTCATATGATATGTCAGTTGCAACAATATTGTTTTAACTATTTGCTTGTGATCCCGAGAGGAATGCAATAATTAGCTGTTGTGAATTCCTAGACAGATCAGAAACGCTTTGTTTTTATATAATTTTAGTCGGTCAGTTATACATTCCTCCAAGGCAGAACTTACTTTCTTACTTTAAGTCTTCCATTTTCTCTTTAGGATTAATCCTATAACAAGACAACAATATAAAACAGCAATATAACCACTGGTCCATATTTTATTCAAGACATATAATCCCCCTGCACTTTGATACCTTACTCCAAGACAAACCAGGCTTTATCTCTGAGCCACCTAGTGGATTTTAAACATCTATTCCAGATTCTTAATAGCAACAATAACAAAAACAAAGCAGCCCTAAAGAAGGAGAGTGAATTGATTTACAGAAAGGAGTGTGTAGTACTGTAAGTCATGAAAGAGTACTGCACTGATTTTCCCCCTCACAGCTTAAACTCTGGCCAATTTCCTATCACCTTGGCTCTGTAACAGGCAAGCCCTGTCTTCCAACTTTATAGCATACTCAGCTCCCTACCTGTTACGATTGACATCCCTGCTCTAGAGGGCGCTCCATTTTACTCCTGTTAATAATTTCCTGTGATGATTCATATCTGTTCCAGTTGTGCCTTGTTGTGTCTCCCCCTGTTTATTCTTAGCTCCTCCAGGGCTTAGGGCTCAGCATTAGGGTACAGATGTCACAAGGCCCACCTAGCACCAGGATACCCTACGTCCGTCTCCTGAGGGCATAGGCCACATCCCTGACACCTCCCGTTTCCTGAGCCCGGGGTCTGGAGGATCTTGCCCCATTATACCAGGATGTCCATGTCGGTTGTCTGTTCGTGTTTTCCCCATTCCCGGGGATTTTAACCTTGTCACGTGATCTTTTGCTAATGGACTCTTGGACTGTGCCCTGACCCTCCTTCGGACCTGTTCGGATTTGGACACCACTCTTTGTCTCCCCCGCTCACTGTCTCATGGACTGTCACTATTATTTTGTGCACCATTAAACCCCTGTGTGTTTTCCCATACCACACCTCCTGTTTCCTCCAGCTCTTACCGCATCGCATAGGGTCTACTACAAAACCCAACACAGACTGCAGACCCTGGCCGTAACACTACCCAGACCTCCATCTGTAGCAAAGATCAACTGAAATCAGAGAACACAATAACAGACTAAAGTACCATCAATGCTTTCTAGCATTAACCTAGAATGCTTTCAAGCCATCAGAAAATTATATATACAATTTGAGACATTTAAAAGTTATCAAATGGAAAAACAAGAATATCAGGCTTCTGGTACTTTAATGTTTATTAGTGTATCTTTAGGTATTCATGCCTGAAAAGTCTCTGTAGAAACCCTGCTTTAAAACCAGTAGATACACAGTCACTATACAGTCCTCTTGCACTGATTTCAGACTGACCAGAGTCTTAGTCCAGTGTGACCCTCACACTCAAGGACAGTCACTGCAATGAAGCAAGGGAGAGATGAAAAACAGCAAGTCCATCACATTAAAATAGAGCTTGACTGCAGGGATGCGATTAAGACTCTGATTAAATGGGACCAAAAGATAGCCCAATGGCCAGCTCACCGGGGTGGTGTTGGGTGTAAGAGGATTTATTTCTTTTTACGTTAATGTGATAGAAAAGGACACATCTCTCCCGTAATGCTCATCTCTTGATGTCAAGAACTGGACTCTTGTCTTGTTTCATTTTGAAGTATATTAAAGTGTACAGCAAATAACATTTGGACAATTTCTTCTTCTGTACTGCACTAAAGCTTCCTAAGCTTGATAGAGTACAGTAACTCTCAGGGGCTCTGAGAGCCATTCACAGACTGGACGTCGGTTCATTTCATGGCTGCATAATTATAGAATTGTTTGCGCTGTCTTTTGCATGAACATGTGACTTTGTGCTTAATGCCATTCAATATTGTATGAATATGAAAAAAGTCTTGTTAAACCACCCCCACAGACAAATTTATATGAACTGTATTCTTGTCAGCAATTCTGTAATATGTGACCTTTCAGTCCTCTGAATACTCTCTAAAATCAAGGGTTGTTTGAGTATTTGATATGCTGCATACAGTGTGCAGAGCACATCACAAATATGAGTGTCATATCAAAAATACTTTGCTGGATCACCTTCACCTCCTTCCGTCTTTCTAAAAAAACAATGAAACACATGATATATGAAGTTCTTGCAGTAAATATTCTTGATTTAAATGACCCAATATCTTAACTGAGTTCTGTATTGCTTTCATTTCTTATTTTTTGCCTGTCCAATGAATTAACTGTGTAAAACACGTCACCATACTGTAGTATTATTAAAACTCCAACCCTTTTAGAAGTTTCTGTACAGAAAGATTTGATCAATATTAACTTATTAACCCATTTCAGCTGCACTCGCAGTGATGGAAAAATTGGCTTCTAATTATGCAGAAGATCTTAGCAACAAAATGTACTTTGTTAGGGGACAAAAGTCACGGTTTCTGCAAGTTTCAAATGTACTAAAACTATGATACTAGAAACAACAAAAAAAAAAAATGTACAAATTTCTACAATTAATACTACATTCTCAAAGTGTCCTGAGCAAAGAGAAAGTTTAAAAGAAGATTAAAGACAGATGAGTTGGCAAACATTATTAAAAACATAAACAAGTTAATTTCAAGTGTATTAAAAATGTTGATTGAGCATTTTAAACACTCAATTGGCTTAACCCACTTGGCAGAGGGGTGACATTCTGGCCATGCAGAAGGTGGAGTGGTCCAGAGGCAGCTACTGAGATTCAGATGGAGCGGGAAAGGGATGCAAATGTCAGATGAGAAGGATAGTAGGACAACTATAGCATTAAAAACCCGCATGATATATGTATAGTATTTAAAAAATTTAGGTGAGAAAATGATGTCAGGATTTCATTACAAATTACAATGACAGCTTTCATACCCCATTTAGTGAAGTATTGTTTACTAGGCTAGAATTACTCATCAGATCTATTGAACAAAGCTTCCCCCAGCACATGTTATGGTAATACGTTTTCCTGCAGCTCCACTGATATTTATACAGTTTATCGACGCACATCTGCTGTATGCAGTTGCAAACACGGGAAAGTTATTTTTAATGGGAACCAGATTTCTAGCCTAGTAAACAATACTTCACTAAATGGGGTATGAAAGCTGTCATGGTAATTTGTAATGAAATCCTGACGTCACTTTCTGACAATGACAATGACTGTACTCCTACACCACTACACACACATGTAAGCCGAAATTGTACTGTCCCCTCGATAGCCCAGTAAAACCGTACCGGTCTTAATATTTAATATTTATTAATAAACCATACTATTTTTAACCATACTATTTTTGCACTGTTCCAAGAATTACCTTGCACTGTTTTGTCCTGTTATATTTTCTCTATTTGTGGAATTTTGCACAGTTTTGATTACTTGATTACATGTTATTTATGTTATGTTATTACACGTTACTGTTATTGCTATTGTGTTACTGTCTATTGTCTTATCTTCTGTCCTATTTATATACTGCATCTGAGTGACTAATGAGAAACACTTTTCATTGTACTATGCACCTGTGTAAGTATAATGACAATAAAGTTGAATTGAATTGTATTTGCTCACAGACTGGCAATAGACTAATAGCATCACTATAAAAGGGACAGAACTGGGTACATCTGAGTGAAAGTGGCATTCATTTATGGGTATAGTGATGTCTGCATACACTAGAATCCAAGAGCAAACCATTCATGTCATTATTGTGTATGCTTTATTTTTTTCTGCAATAGGGAAATCTAAAAAAAATATCTTGGGTCATTCCATCAATCTTAAAAGATTTCTTTAGCTTGCATCCTAGGTGTGCCACCACTTAAAACATTGCCTTTTGAAGAAAAACAGTAAAATGAGTCTGTGTTTTTCTTGTTTTTGTTCTGCATATTTCCTTACTATTCTGAGTAAGACATAAAAAAGACATATAAAAAATCGTAAGGTTCAAACAGGATGTCCATGGCGTGTATATACAGTAAGGTTAAAAGACCTCTGTGCCGTAATCAGTAATATGGCTTGATTATCCCAATAATTCCAGATGCCTCATGTGCTACACATCCTGTAAAAAACCTGTCTAACAAAAACAGTGTTGGGCTGATGCATAATTTCCACCCCACTCTTCACACACATGAATGTACATGCTGGATTTACCAGCTTCTCAGTAATGTTTTTCCCGTGCTTTGCTTTTGCATTTAAGGACAAACACTCTAAAGAAGCAGCCTTTTTAAGCAGACAGAAAAGGCAAGTACACCTTTCTTACAAAGCCGTCTCAGCCTTCCATTAGTTTCAGGATGTTTAATTTCCTATCACAATAAGCATCAGAAGAAACATATCACTCATTATTAAAATATTTAGATTCTGGATATTGATTAATTGCTTTTGCTGTCACTTTGATTAATTCATCACTCATGACTGATCAACACTTCAGCGATTGTTGCATGAGCACTCAGTTGATAAGCGATTTAACCATTTTAATATCAAACCTGTTGAAAATCATGAAAGAAAAACACAGCAGGAAACCAATAAGCCCCACTTATCAAGACCTTTGCACCATCAGCTCAGGCAAACTGGCCAACAGTGGGGCCTAGTCCTGTCCTGCTGAACACTGTTCAGCAGTGTTTCTCAACTAGCGAGCCTCCAGACGAAGACGGGTGTGTTTTGGAAAGGTCACATACTGTATTAGAATATAAATGAACAAATTACTCTCTATATACATTACGGTTTATAACCAAAGTGTCATGTTGCACTTCAGCAACTTAGTATAGTGCAAGTTTTTTCAAGGTTGCATAAACCAAAACCAGAGAACATCTGAGAGTGGTTGAGCAGGAGCTCTGAGTTTCACTGTCATAAGTTTTGAAGGGTTGTATTTTATCATGTACTGCACTATGAAGATTAAACATTCCACATCTTGGTTATAATATTATAATGATATGCTTGGGTTGGTGATGTGTGTGTGTGGGGGGGGGAAGACGGAGGTATGCTATAAAATCACAACCTGACTCAAGAAGCTTCATTAATAAAGAACTGGGACCTGGGACTGAAACCTCTCCTGTTATTTTATCTCTTGCAGAAAAAAAATACAATTTGAAGAAAAGACAGGCGACATCCATGCATTAAAACCATTGAAACATATTACAATGCATTAAAAAGTAAGAGCTTGGTAATACGTTTGTGAACCATTTCTAATGTACTGTATAAATCAAATAAAAAAAAACATAAAGCATTTCAGTGTTATAACACTTATTGTGTTATACAATTGACACCTATTGTTTTATGTTCAGGAGTTAAGCTAAAAAAGCTGAATAATTCAGAAGCACTTAACAATGTGAGCTTTTCATTTCCAGAGTGCCAGACTTGTTTTGTTTTTACAATTAATAATTTTCTGACCTACAGTACATCCCATTTGTATTCTCCACACAGCTGTACTATCACTCTTTACAGATGAAGTACAGAGACGCTATTTGGATTTTCCTCTATGCTCAGAGCCTGCTGAGCATCAGTGGACAGTAGTTCGAGTTGGTAGCTCTGTCAGCATGCGTAGGCTGCAAAGGAGCCACAATGTTACAGCTGTAGAGCTGACGCAAAAACATTGTGTCTCTTTTCTTTTCCTTTAAGCATGGAATAAATCTCAGTGGACAGAAGTGTTACTGGGCTTCATATCCCAGCAGCCAGATGTACACAGATAAAGAACTCCTGACCAAAACAGAAAAACAGAGTGATTCACTGAAACTGCTCCTACAGTACCTGTCTGCTCTGCTATGCCCACGAAAACTACAGAATCAGGGATTCTGATTTAAGTTCAGATTTAACCTAGAAAAGCTCAAAGTCTGTAGGTATCCTTAAATCTTCACCTTCTTCTGGCCTATGTTTTGACTGAGCTGCTGTAAATTAACCCCCTTCTTGAAGTCTCGTGTTGTTGATGATTCCTGAATGCTAAACCTGAAGGAAAATATTCAGGTTGCATGCAGTAGCTTTAGTCACATCCTCAGTTCGAAGGTCCAATCAGCAAGACAGACCTTAAATCAAATTGCGCCAGTCCAGTCTATTTTGCCAAAGATAATCGCATACTCTCAGGCTTTTGTCACATGTGAAGAGAAACACTTTTATATAAACTGAAAAACTTTCACTTTAAAGCCTTTCCACTCAACCACATCACCTACAGTATGCATCACTCGGGACCAACCACCTTTCTTGTTAGATCTGCTCACCTGTGTAGTGTTCTCCCCTTCCAAACCTCTGCGCTGTATTTTGTTCTGTTTTGTTTCGAGCAGGCTGCTCGCTGCATACAACTATTTGTTAAATGGAACAGCTTCAACTCTAAACGTGGGATTATTAATATAATACCTCTGATTCCTCCAGAACAGCACAAATCACTGGTTTAGGTGGAGCTATGCTACTGTACGTGCTGAATTGATAGCCAATAGAACTGTAATTAACAGCAGGAAAAACAGTGAGGAACTTACATGCATACAGAGAGTGCAACTGCATGCAACCCACTTAATTTGGAATATTCCAGCTGATTATTGATTTTCAATGGGTATTTGTCACTTCACATTGTTTTCATTTCATTAATTTGTACAGAGTGCATAGAGACTTATTGTGCTCATAGATAACTGTAACCATAAAAAATGCTTTTAACTGGTTACAATAAGTCAGAACATTGTAGAGTATGTTCTCTGAAAAAAACATTTTCAGAAATAAGAGAGTGGGATTTTAATATGGTTAAATGAGTAAAGAAAAATAAATATGCTAGCAAAAAATATCTTTAAGCCTCTTAAAGATAAACCAATACATTTTAAAACCATGTTTTGCCAGTGTCTGACCATATACTGTACTGTAAGTGTAAAACAATTTCCTTTTCTGAGCATTAGAATTTTTGAGATACACTGAATAGTCATTACATCACATCAGTGAATTGCATTTCATTCTCAGATGTTAAATATATAGAACAGGGAATTCATAACATCATCTTTGTTATCCATCTTTATAAATTTCCATTTTCCATTTCTCAGACTACTGTTTAAAATGTCTGCATTTAAAAGCAAATAACCTCAGCAGTATTTCTTTTCTTCTCTGTCTGTCAACGAAAATACACTGCTACACTTGTGTTCCAATAAGAACGTTTTCAGTGTGGAGAGATGGAATTTGACTTTGAACACTGTTATCTCTAAGGATGATTTTACAGCAGTTCTGCTTAGACACTTAAGTGGGATATAAAATGATGTGATAGTCCAAATGTTTTTACTTGTTTCTGCAGGGATAGCCATTCAACTGTTTAAGAAGTAATATACTTGACCACAAAAATGGGATTATAAGTAAAGAAGCTTGGAAAACATGAAAAAATCTTTCATTGAAGTGCTAACACCACAAAGTTCAATTTGGAACTGATTAAACTACTGTATGAATGCAACTCTCAATGTCTGTTAGAAAAGATCTGTAATTGTAGGGGCAAAAACAAGATCTAACTGCTTTATCTAACAAATTAACATGCATTAGCTAACTTCTTAGAAACACAATTACCAACCAATGCATTTGGATTGCATTTCTTTTTTTACTCCACTTTTTCCTGGTGAACCTCACACCAAGCTGGAGGCTGTCCTGTAAGTGCAGGATTGAAGGAGGGAACAACTCCCAGGTCAGGATCCCAGCCCATCACAGGGCACACACACATGCTGTACCCATATACACATGCATACTGACAATCTAGAAGCCAGGTAACCTAGCCAATAAAATCCAAACACCCAACATCACAAACATGGAGATACCATGTTAACTCTACAATGAAGCCAGCCCAGACCCATTAGCATTGCTGCTTTGCGATCTCCATGGTGTTTGTATGTTCTCCCCAAATGTGTGTGGGTTCCTTCCAGGTGTTTGTGTTTGAGTCCATGTGTGCTCTGTGATGGACTGGTGTCCTGTCTAGGGTGTACCTCACCTTGCACTCATTGCTTTCGGGGATAGGGTCTAGCCCATCTGTACCCCTGGTATTGGATAAAGCTGTGAAAATGGGTAGAAAATAAGAAAAGGGTGGATGGATGGACTGTAAAAGTGACATCAAGCTAGGTGATCATAAAGAATACACCTATACATCTACTGTATTTCTTGGAGGTTATGAAGTGCTGTACATTCTGGGGGGTTACTTTACATTTTCTATATGCTATAGCAAGTGACAAGTGATTTTGGATTTTGTCATGGGTGGCTCCTGTCACCTCAGCTGAGGTAATATCACTACAGTTTAGTGTATTTTATCATACATCTGCCTACACCCTACAGACTGAGCAATTAAATGGAGAATAATTGCTTTTTTTGTTGCATATTTGTTTTCCAGGGCAAGATCAGTGGGAGTTCTCTGTTCAGCCATGTTCTCCACAGTGCTGTTTCATTCTTCTGATGGGGAAACACAAAGCAGAACAAACTATATTTTTACAGAGAAATCAAGCCGAGCGTGACAAAAACTAAAGAAAGCCTTCCTTTTACTTTTACTCTTGATTACCGGGAGCCTTATTTTGAGGCAATTTTTCATTCCTAGCTCTTCTTTGAAAGCTTGATCAGTATTTACAAAAACTAGCTGGAAACAGACCTAAACAGGGCCTGAAGCATTGAAACCCCACGTGTTTATACTGCATGAGCATCATTCGAGTTCAGCATCTCCTTGCCAGGGCATTCAAGAATGGTGATATTGTAGAGCAAAGAGAAACCATATATAATATATGGGGATGACAGTAAATATTGAGGCACACCATGAAGGATGCTTCTGTGGTCACGTCTTTATAATTAACTAATGTATCGGTATGAAGCTGAAAGAAAAGTATAGAAGTGCTAAAAATATCCAAAATGTACAAACTATAAATGAAAAAACAAATATGTGTTTATAGTCTGTTGTTTAAAGAGTCAACATATCCTGAGGAGGTCGGGGATCTGATCAAAGGACCCCAGTCTGGATTGTTAGTTTGAATATAATACAGGAACATGGAATAAACAGTGTAGCAAAATGTGAAAAACCTGTTGCTTTTCAGAGCCTCCAACATTTTTGTCCTCAGCACACTGGGGCGAGCAGATGGATGGGGTGCATGTTTTCCGCTGTAGTGCAAAAATCACACACACAGAGCTGAAGTTTGTGTTCACCAACCAAATGTCTTCATGACTATTCTTCTACAGAAGAAAAAAAAATAACACAGCACTCACCAATCCTGTTTCAGCATGCACTTCTCGTCCAAGTCAGAAAACCTCAATATGGACAGCTCCTCCTTCCACCGAGAAGCATCAAGCTCAACAGCTCAAGTCCCAGCAAAGCGCGGAATGGAGAATTCTCAACCGTGCTGCCCTGCAAGGCTGCTGAGGCTCCCCCAGCCCTCCCCCTCCCCTCTGCATCCCTCACTCCAGCGCCTGGAGCCCCAGAGCCAGCGAGGTGCGAAAGCACAGCCTCAGCCAGAGAGCCGCACATTTCTCCGCAGCTGAGACCAGCTCGGTGTGGGGGGAGATTTCTTATCAAACTGCTCTGAGCAGTTGGAAGCAAAGATGCCTGATGTGACTTGGCAGCACAGTCCAATCAGTGTTAGGAAAGCTGTCAAACCATTTTTCTACAGGATAGAAAAAAATGTATAGTATATATGTATATCTCAACAAGAACCAGAGATTAGAGTGGGGGGACATAGTCTAAAGGTTAGGCTAGTTCATGAAAAGTAGCACAAACAAGAGCTGCTGGGGACCTGCTGCTGTCCTTAATATAATTTAATTCAGACATCAGTTTTATGCCTAATTGATAGAGAAGCTCTGATGCTTTAATTATATTGCCCCATCAATGGTATGATGTTCTTGTGAATACAAGCTGAATGGCTGTTTTTTTCTTCTTCCATACACAGGTATTGTGTAAGGAATTCTGAATATAAAACTTGTGCTGCAAAATCAGCAGCACTGCTGAAAATGTTAGAAAATACTACAGAAATCTAACTCAAAGTTATTACATTTTGTTGGAGTTACTCCCTTCTGTGCTGCACAATTTGATTTATATCAATGGCTATATTCAGGAATACTGCACGGGCTCCCTGCGAATTTCAGAATAAAATTTAAAATACTCCTGCTTACCTTTAATGGCATGAACAGTTTATGGCACCTTGAGTGCCTGTGCCACAGTGGTTAGCATTGCCTCCTCGCAGCAATAGGGTGCTGGGTTCAATTACTGGAGTGCTATCTATATGGAGTTTGCATGTTCTCTCCATGTTACAGCTTCCTCCCACAGTCCAAAGGCATACTGGGCATTCTGTCTGTGTGTGCCCAATGATGGACTAGTGTACTCTCCAGTGTACCCTCCCGTGCTTCCATTGCTTGCTGTGACCCCCACATGACCCTAGGTTGGATAAAATGGTTAGAAAATGGATGGTCGGATGAATGGATAGTGCCTGGACACTAAAAAACCATTAGAATAGTTTCCCTTTCTTCTGCTTCAAATACCATTGAAGCAGAACACATTGAACAGCAGCAATATTTGTTTTATACTTTATCACCCAAACGTGTAAACAGGTTTCTAAATGTTAGTGCACTGTACACACTTAAATCCTATAACTTCAGTTCTACACTTTCACTTTCTAACAATCTGTTCTAATATTCTGTTTGCCTTTTGTATTCCTAAATGTATAACAATTCTGGGGTATTTTCAAGAAGAATGGCAAAGAATGGGATATGCAATATGTGGCTGTTAATTACATTTGCTTATCTCTTAAGGCTGTTTTGGGTGCATTTGGGATTTGACTAAAAAACTTCAGCTGTAGCAGGTCCTAACTAGTGGGACTGTGGAATGATGGAAGTATGGAATTGTGCGTGGAACAAACTACCTGGCCATTTTGTTGAAGCCAATTTTTCCCAAAACACTGGATGAGATCTTTGGATCAATTTGCTACTATTTGTTCAATGAATTGGCTTAATGGCTTCCTCTCATTTGTAATCTTTTTAAAATCCCTAACTTTGTTTAGTCACCAATAGAAATTCATAAAATACTGTAGAATTGTTATTGACAGTTAACTCAGAATATATTCCACTCACTCCAATTCTCCTTGAATATATTTTCTCCCAGTGGCTCCCATGACATATTTAGAGATATTTTATTGTAAGAATATTAAATAATAATTACTAGGTCATATTAGCATTTTAAAGAGAATAGGTTACCACATCACCTCCAGGTGGCAGCAGGACAGGCATTTAATAAAAAAACGAAATACTGTGCTTTCTAAGTTCTGTTCCTTTCCAGAAACAACAGGAAACAGACTGGTGATCAGTGTAAGAAACACTGAAAACATTGTAGTGTTGACACTTAGTTTCTAAAAAACACATAACCTTCGAAGCATACTGTGACAAGCACACTAGCCCTTTTGTTTTCAGTCTGAACACAAGGGTGATCAGCTCCAAACAGTAAAGACTTGGACACTTGTTATCTCAATTGGTGTAGACTTTTGAGCAACCTTCTGAAGGTCAGGATGGTGGTCAGGTACAGCTCCAGCAATGGAACACACTCCAGTCTCTGTTGGGGTCAAGAGAATACTACTGAGCCAGATGTATAAAGGTTTAAGCAGAAACTCATTATGTTGGATCATTTATGTGACAGAAACAATATACTTTTGAACACATCCATGTAAAAACGGTCAAGAATCAGAAGCCATCAGTAGGTTTTTGTCTTGTACACTGCACTCTTTTTTTCTAAAGCTGCACTGATGTACAGTAGACAGGACAGAGAACCACAAAACTGTCCTGGAGACATTGGCTCTTAATACACCTGGTTTTTCCTCAAATCATTCCCATTTCACTGCCCACACCACTTTTCACTCCATACACAAATACATATGAATCATAGTGCATTTGAAATATCAAAGACAGTTGTCTGATGTACTTTCAGTGGGGCACAGATTTGAAAAGAACCATCATTTATTGTGGGCTTTGCTGTATATTAGGGGTCATCGTCCTTGATTCCAGGGTGTTACAGAGTCCTCTGTTATGCACTTTAGACCACCTCTTCCTTACTTAATTTAAACAAGGTATTGACATAATTCACATGAAGATTACCACAATCTCTATCCAACAACCAAAAGACTGGATATCTCCATGATCAAGGTTAGAGACCATTGCTCTACAGGCTAGGATAGAACCTGTATTTCAGTTTGTTTATAAAGAAACCTATTTTAGCTTAGTCTTATTGGCCTTACTGGTCTCTCTTGTTGCTTCTGAACTGTGTGGTGTATATTGTCGTGAGCTCCAAAGAGGCAGTTCCTCAACTGAACTGATTACTGGTCTGAAAGAGCTACATCTGTACAACTAAACCTTTCAGAGCACAACAGTTCCAATTTTATACATGCTAGAATAAATACAGTATCTGTTATATATCTGTTAAATATCTGCATCTAAAGAAGTACTGTAATACTGCACGCCTTAGGAGATAATAGATATTTACTTATTTCACATTTTTTCCTTCTCCTTTTTAAACAAATCGATAAGAGCCCACAAAAAAGAAAAAAAAAGTGAAATGTCTAACAGTTCCGCTGTGCAACATACAGACTGCTGCCACTGTGGTGTCACAGGTTCAGACTGACATGCCCTGTGAAGAGCTCAGGATGTCACTTGGTCCTTTGCGCCAGGTCTTTGGGTTCTGCAGGCATCCTTAATCAGTGGCTAAAGATCATGGTACTGTAATCTGGACTTTTCAGGATTCCTGTAAAGTAGCTAAAAGCTGGGGTGAAATGCAGACCAGAAGACTCTATTGACCAGTTGTTCCATAGTGGTAAAGCAACCCTACAGAAACTGGACCTTTCTTCTCAATCCTGTTTCACAATACAGTTTTGTTTTTCATACAGGTATGTATAAAGCTGGACCACTCACGCAGAAAAAGAATGCCAGAGTACATAAAAAACCAGAAATTTGTATTCAGAAAAATAAAACATATTACTTAAAGGTGCCTTTTATTTAATGAAAAAAAAAGAATTCCCAACTCAACTAAAAGTCAAGTAAGTGTTTAATAAGAAATCAATAAGGCACATAATTGCCATTCCATGAAACTCAATAAGAGCTACTGTCTGTCAATACCAGCTGAAGGTTACTTAGGTGTGCCAAGGTGTCACAAAGTCTGCTCCAGATGGGAGTTCATCTTTATTTGTCACTTTCAAGAGAACAGCCTGCTGACACAGGAGAGCTGACTGAAGCTGATACTGTTATTATTTCTCCAGTGGCAAACATATTTGTGAACTTTATTCACAGCATACTTTTCATTTGAGTGTTTTCAGGTTTTGGTCATTTACACTATTAACTGTACAAATGGTGGTACATTACCTGTGGTGTGGACACACAATTATTGTCCTGGAATCCATCCATCCATCCATTTCCTACCACTTTATTCAATACAGGGTCATGGGGGAACTGAAGCCTTACCCTGAAAGCATCGGGCAAAAGGCAGGGTACACCCTCGACGTTTGATATTACAGTATATCAGTTTTTTACCCATAAATAGTCAATGAAAAAGCTATGAAATGTCTTAAAAATTCTTAAAACCTCAGTAATAATGTTAACATATTATGAAAATATGGCTTTCAGAAGTCAAGAAAATATTACATTTTAACAATCTGTCTGAAATTATTTTATAATAATATGTAGAATGCATTAACAAAAACACGAGCACTTTAATATGAAGTGTGACTGATTTCTATGCAAACTGCATGTAACCAGCACTCAAGAGTGCATTCTGTAGGCTACATAAGCTCTTTTGATCAAGGAAGCAGTTAATACTCTGGCTCATTAATGTCCATCAAATTCCTGTTGTTCATGTACTATTAAGACAGTTTGGATTTTGTGCAGGGGTATACTACACCTGATTTAAAGGAAGAAACACGATTTTCTCACATGAACGAATTTGTAGAATCCCTGTTCTACTGTACTCCCTGACAATGGAACATGGTTACTAGCAGTATAAAAAAAGTTACTAGCACCCAAAGAAATCTCCAATGATTATAAAATGTTAAAATACTTTGTTCATATAAACATTTTACAATAAGGGCCAGGACTGTTCACTCTCCTGGGCACCCTGTTACCTCCCTTTAAACTTTTAAAAACACACAGAAACGACGAGCTGGATTTTATGGATAAGGGCTCACATACTGTAAGGAGCAATTACAGTGTAACTCCGGACTGGGTGAGCTAGCTGTTACTATTATAAAGCATTGCAAAAAATATTCATGACAGATTCTAGATATTCTTACGTTCATCATTTCAATGCAGTTTACATTTTTAGCATCAGAGAACCACTAAATTCTAAAGAACTAAACAACCTACTGTACGTATTGTGCTCTAGCTGTGTAGATACTGTTTACAGTACAGTATGTGTGAATTGCATGTGTTTGACACTGAACAGGCTGTTTTTATGGTTCTCTCTGCTAAAGATAAGTAAAACCTTATCCATAAGGGAAAACATGCGATTAGAAAATCTGCATTTGTATTGTTTTAGATTTTATTTCATACTTTAAATGTGCCTTATGTCGCGACCGCCCACAATCAGAATCCAACCATACGCTGTTCTCGCAAACAACCCAGACTCCAGCTCTTTCCAATTCCAACAAACACCGTCGCAGTAAGTAATCAACCACCCAGACCTTTCTTTCATCACCGCACCCTCCACTTCCCAGGTTACCCTTACAACCCTTTGACCTCAATATTGGTTTTCACCTATCGGAACTCCCCTTCTCGTTTTTTGAGACATCCTTGCGATTTACCTGACTCCTGAACCTGTCGTTGACCAAGGCCTTTGATCTATAAGGAAGCCCGTTTCCACCAGAGTAAAAAAAAGGTGGGGAGAGCGCCCTATGATATCACACAGTTTCGACTTCATATTTCATAATTATGATTTTTTGCAACTTAAAATCTCGTAATTCCAACTTCTCGTGTTTACGCCTTTATATCTCACAACTGCAGCCTTTTATCTCAAAATAACGACCTCATTTCTGATACGACTTTATATCTCAAAATATCTACCTTATTTCTCATATTTACGATTTCATATCGCACAATTTTGACGTCACTTCTGGTGCCAGCAATGAACATAGCCAGGCCAGGTTGCTCATCTGGCAAAAGAAGCCCACCGTCCACTATTTCATTCAGTTACTATGGAAGCCTCACTGGCAGAAATGGGCTTCCATAAAAATTAGTGTAAACCTACATTAATTCGATTTTTATCAGGGCACTTGACAAGTCTTCAGGCCTATAGATCCTGTATGAGTTATGAATAGAACAAAAGGACAATTAAATGTAGGCTATTTAGAAGTCGCAAATTCGAGAAAAAAAGTCAAAATTATGAGACAAAAGTTGTAATTGCTAGATAAAGACGCAATTGCGAGATATGAAGTCGTAATTATGACAAAGTCATAACTTTGAGATATAAAGTCAAAACTTCGAGATAGCATAGCGTGCTTTTTCTTTACTCCCTGGTGGAAACTGGCTTCCATAGGATCTACAATTCAGATAAATACACTCAGATTTTCCTTCTAGAAAATGTTCTAGTAGAAGTTCTACTCCTGTACCCCTTTTTACTGTCAGTCACTGCACAGGGTACTAAAATGCATCTGGCTTGTAGTGTAATAGATTACTGAGCCTCTATTAATGGTAGATCAAAGACCTTCGTCAAAGACAGATTCAGGAGTAAGGTAAATCACAAGAAACTCAAAAGTGAGAAGGGAAGCTCAACTAGATGAAAACCACTACTGAGTGTTGAGGGCAAAGTGGGGAGGGTGATGAAAGAAAGGTCTGGTTGGCTGATTAGTTACTGCGATGGCGTTAGTTGGAATTGGAAAGAGCTGGAGTCTGATTGGGTAAAATTCGGGGTTGCTTACGAGGGTGGCATATGGTTGGATTCTGATTGTGGGCTGTCGTGACACCTTATGCTTCAAATGTAGGTTGTGTCATCAGAGATAAGACTTTGGCATCTTATAAAAGCAGCTGGCTACTTCTGTATTTCTTCAGTTAAAAGGAGGAACAAAACCTCAACGAAACCGCATACAGAATCTGTAAGTCAACACTCTTTTTCAACCTTTCAGCAAAAGAAAAAAACACCTCATGAAATATATTTAATGATATTGTCTTGTAGTCTATGTTTTTCTTACCTTGTGGTTTATAACCCATTTACTACCTTGATATTGTCTTAATTCTGTTACATTTTGATCAGGAACATAGGTCTGAGATTTGTGACTTAAGTTAGAAAAATATCTATATAATCAAACTTTCTATGCATTTGAATTCTGGGTTACAAATGACTGCAAAGGGAAACTAGCAACAATGTTGCTGCTTGGTACACCTGCAAGCATTCTATAATTTTTGGAGGATAGTGAATCTTTGGGACAATAGATTGGAATGGAAAGATTAAAAAAAATCCTCCAAATTACATCATTGCATCATACAGTAGTGGATAGCTTTATTGTTCCGGCACAGGCCACTGTTCTTGAAACTCACTGCTGTGGTCATATCTGTGCTCCCAGGCCAGGGTACCAGGGCTGTGAAGGTTTCAAGGGTGCTGACAGGTGCCAGATACAGCTCAGGTGCTTCCTTGATTCATCCTGACTCTATTTCAGGTGGCTTTAGGCATCCAGCTCCTGCTTTCCCTGTTTCTACTGCATGTTTCTGTTTCTCTGCCATCCCACCAGTACATACATATGTGGGGTTGGCCCCACTCAGGCTCCTTACAGCAGTACTGTAGGAGTGAGAGGGTGGCCTTTATCACTGCCCTTCTCTTCTATTGCCTCATGGTGGGGGTGGGGGGGTCTCTCTGGGGCCTCGAGGCAAAGGCACACTGGTAGATTCTAGTAGTTCTGAGGTTTAAATCATCCAGAAAACTCGCCCAACGTGCTACTAATTTAATTACACTGCCAAGATTTCTCAAGCCGATGACGTGTGAATAGCTTGCTATTTGCTTACATTCCAAACAATCATGCCTCAGTTGTTTCTCTTTGCTCCTTCAGGCACACTTTTGCTTTCGTGCAACACATGCACATGATTAATCCACCTTGCCCCTTAATCCACAGCGACTTCCTCATGTGCCCGTCAGTACTGCTGTGCATGTCTGGGTGCGGTGTCTTGCTCCAGGGTACAACACTGCTCCACTTGGGGTGTGAACCCACAGCTTTCCAGAGCCCTGACCATTGCCTGCTTCATTTCAAAGCTAATTCTCACATGTGAAAAGGCAGTGTGGTAGCATAGAGGTTAGCATTACTGACTGTGGAGAAACAGAACCAGATAAACTGGGAGGGGAAATTGCTCCCATCTTTGTCCTTTCTGCTGTTTGGCTCTCCCTGCCTTTAAAGTGGCGTGATGCCTGGGCCATTTCCAAGAGCAGGGAAACCCTGCACCTCCCTTAAACTCTCAGATGATTCAACAAGAGATGCGCTGCTAAGTTATTTATTGACCAGAGGGTGCTGTGTACAGTAACCTTCCTCTTTAGAAACTTTCCTTCAGACACCAGACAATCTTATTCGCTATGTCAGCAGAAGTGATAGTTCACTACCTATTAAATCTAATGTTTTCGGCTTGTATCATTTTAGAATTTGTCAAGTAGGAAGCCAACAAAAAATGTGAAACTTTTTAAAATGTTATTAATAGGGCAAATTAAACAATATTTATTATACTCCATAAAGTTGGAAATAACACATAGTAATCCCATACAGTAACTGTATTTGTCTAATTCTGTACATTATTTTTTCAGCACAAACATAAGTATAAGATAATTGTAGTATTTGGCATGCCCTGCCTTGCATTTCTTAAGCATCATGAAAATCTTTCGCACTGATGGTTTCAGTTATGAGCCCTCAGGCCTCTGAAAGATTTGCTCATTTGTTCATAAGCATGGATCGTTGATCTTACTTTAGTTAAGTGTGTGTTTCTTGGGAAAACCAGTTTCCTCCTCTGTTTCTTGAGCTTTTCGTCACATTAATTCACGCACTATAGAGCAAAGTATGCAGTCTTTGATATATAGTGGAGATCTGTGTCTTATTCATTGGTTTTAGGAGAAGCATGGCTTCCTACAAGCTCACTTACTTTAACATGAGAGGGAGAGCTGAGCTGACCCGCTTCATATTGGCCTATGCAGGGATCCCCTACGAAGACATCAGAATAGAATGGCATAACTGGCCTTCCATCAAGCCCTGTGAGTAGCTTGCGCTCTGTGTTTTACTTGCATTAATATATCGCAGGAATGCATTACTCTGAAACTCCTTACAATGCAGTTTCACAGAAATTTACATTAGAAGTTATGTTAGCAGGCTGCATTGTTTTGTCAACTAGTTTGTCTTCATTTAGAACAATTCAATTTATGTGCTGGTAAGGATTTAGTTAATGTGAAATGACATTATCAATGAATTAAGCTTGCAGTTAATCTTGGTTTCATTTTGTTTATGGAGAGGGAGCACATTGTCAATAACTACTATAATGTTTTGATTGTTGAGGGTTAAAGTTTTCTTGAAGACAATATCCGAGCACCACACATGCAAGATAAACTCTGCCAAACACATTTCAATTGCAAAAATCCATAAAGCACAATTTAAACTCTGCACAGGTAGCTGGGAACTCTTTATACCACCTTATCATCTCAAATGTGAAGCAATGTTGGTGGGTTGCAGGCTGTAGGTTTGACTCCCAGATGGAGCTCTGCTGTTGTCTCCTTGAGCAAGATGCTGTTCTCATGTAATACCCTGTTATATAAGAGGATACTAGTCATCATTGTACATGAGAATATATTCTTAGTGGTCAAATAAATGATTATTATTAATATAGGATTCATAATTATAAATATTGTAACGCAACGGGGGCTCAGGCGGGCGCCCTTGCCGCATCTGGTCGGCCCCTTCCCGACTGGAGGCTCGAACCCGGGGACTTCCGCGTCTCTCTGCAGCGACCTAGCCCCATGAACCAAAGAGAGATCTCTCCACAGCCCAGTAGCTGTGGTCCTGCTATCACAGGGAAGGGCAGTGACGTCACCCGCTCTGGTACGCCGGCTCTTACACACAGTGCTTGTCGGCCGTAAGCGTTACACTCTCCCCCGCTTAAATCGCCGTCCCCGGCGAAGGGCTATCCCACCCCACTTCTAACACCAATGTAACGCAACGGGGGCTCAGGCGGGCGCCCTTGCCGCATCTGGTCGGCCCCAGCACCACCCGAGGCTCGAACCCGGGACTTCCGCGTCTCTCTGCAGCGACCTAGCCCCGTGAGCTAAAGAGAGATGTTGTAACATCACAGATGTTGTAAAAACAAACCTTGCTTTACGTCTAAACAAATCCAATATAGCTTCATAGTATAATTTTAATTTTAAAAGGAAGCTTAAGAACTTTAGTTGAATCAAAGATAAAAGATGACTTCTTTGAGAAAAGCAGTTTTTCTTAACACAAAGAGAATTATTAAAAACGGCAAAAAAACCCATCAACCTTCAATATATACTTATTAGGAGAATAAATAGTTAAATTAAATCGAACAATCTTTGTTCCCTACCATCCTAAATCCTGAGATGGTTTTGTTAAACAGAGTGCTTCTGTAAAGAAGTGTGGTATCTAATTTATCTTTGAGTACAACGAGAAGAATTTTGGATCTCGGGCTACAGGGTTCCCATGTGTTAGCATCGTGCTGGCCACTGGGAGGTCCTGTCCAGACAAATGGAGCCTGAGCATTAGCAAGCACTACAGGTGTGGCATTGCTACTTTCTGAAGACATCAGAAGCAGGGTTTTGCAGCAGTTGAGATGTATAGTACATGCTGAAGACAAGGACAGTACCTTATGGCAGTAAGTCAGTTTAGAGGTCCGTCGATCCATCTTGTGTGACTTCTGGTTCCTCTGAGCACTCTGTTCAATAAGGCCGGTCTCATTTTATAGCAGCTCCTTTTCTATATCAATGTATGGTATGCTGAGTCTAGTGTATTTCTTTCTGCAAGAAACATCTCCTAAAAAAAGACAAGAAAATGTTAGAAATGAACAAATCAACAAAAGCAAAATCAGACACCAGAAATGAAAGATAATTGAAAATAGATACATCAATCAATGAGTTACAGGAGTAGATCCTGATACTGGTTCATAATGTACTGTTGTAGATGCAGATAACTAGGACTGCCATGTTTCCTCAAAACAAAACAAAAGATTTAATGGACTTAAAAGTTCTTAAAATCCAACAAGAGTGAACATCAGCCTAAATGGCAACCGCCCACACAAAGGCCTTTCATTGAGATCCTGCTAGACATTTTGGTTTTTCATCAATGAAGAAATACCAACCAAATGTGTTTGATGGGTAGGAAGGTTGAGTCTTGTTTTTCCCTCTTTCTTCTTCCAGCTATTCCATGTGGAAAGCTCCCTGTGATGGAAGTGGATGGAACCCTGATTAATCAGAGCCTCGCAATTGCAAGATATTTTGCTAGGGATGCAGGTTGGTAAAGGACAAGGGGTGGGTCGATATTTCTAATGTCTGTCCAGACCACTTCTTATTGTGTGTATGTTCGTGTGTGGCAGGACAACAGTACTCAGATAACTATGAATACCCTTTTAAATATTAACAGTTTGAGCTCTGGAATCAGCCCAGGAAAGATCACCAAGACATACTGTATTTTAGTGCTTTTTAGTCTTGGACTGAGAGGACTATGAGGGGACAGGACACAATTATTCAAAACCCAGTAGAATGAACAGTGAGGCAAACAAAAGACAAGTGGGAACCACTTCCTTACCCAAAGGGTTGTGGAAGTCGGGAACAAGTTATCCTGCCATGTGGTGGAATACCAAATGATTATTGCCGAGAGCAAATGTCCAAAAATTATGTAATTTAGGAGTAGAACACCATCGCCAGGTTTTATGCTAAAATAGTATTAATATAAGCAGGTTAAAGATGTTAGTATTGGAAGAGGGCTATTCTTCAAGTAACTTGTCAAGGAAAAAGACGGGTTTACTATTCAAACTGAGGTGAAAAGAGAAAGTCCTATCTTGTATATCCTTTTTCCTATAAACAGTCATACAAACAGGAGACCAGAGCTAAAACATTTCGATGCATGACTAATACAGTAGGTATCGGTAAGATCTGTCACTAATTCAGATGTATAGTACTGTAGTCATTAGTGAACCCCCCTACATCCTTCTAGTCATGGTGAAGCACAAGAACTGCATTTTAAAACCATGGTTATTTTTTTTCCAAATTTTTAACAACCTTTATAATTAATTATAAAAACAGTAGCTCTTGTGCACAAATAACTTAATCCAGAAAACAGATACTAAAAAATCTTTTGAAACAATTAGAAGGAAAATCAATTTGAAACACTTTAGCTGGTGCCACTATTCAAAGCACATCGATTTGAGATTCAACAAAAAAATAACATATTTGAGCAGAGACTGTCTCAGCCTTGGTCTTGGAAACCTTGAATCTTCTGTGAAACTGCAGAAGCCAAGGGGTACGAACATGTCCCCATTTTGACTCGGACACAAGCAGACAGGTGTTAGTGCTGTGACCTTTTGCGCGTTGTGCTTCCTGTAGCCATGACATACCTGTGAAATCTGCGAAGCAGAACGGAGGGCTGCGCTACTCTTTCATCTCGCCTCCTTCGCACTGTGAGCCTTCTGTGTGAAAATGAGCATTTCAGAAGTCACAGGAATATCTTCACTTCAGTATATGGAAATCCCCAACATATAAACAAGCGATTTGAGATGCAAAGACATAAATACACTGACGTTGCCCTTTCAAGTGAACTTGCCCACACTTTTGAATTGGAAAGGCCTTGGAATATGAACTAAAACATCATACTGTATCATTCCGCTGTAACAACTGCTGTACTTAGAAGAAAATGAGAACTTTTCTAAAAGTGTTAATCTCTTTGCAAATTACTAGGCGATAATTTTGAAGAAAACAAATTTCAGTGTGCTATTTGCTGTACGAGAGTCAGCTGCCCAGAATTTTCATACATGTAATTCGAAGCAATGGGTTTAACAGTAATTGAAAGTGACTGGAAAGTTACAACATACAAGATGGAGGTGTTCCAGCTGTCATAAATACTTTAATCGCTAACTGAAATCAGGATCTATCTAATTTTGAGCACTGGAGTACTGTATGCATTTTTCTTGGTATCTGTGCTATTCTTCTTACTAATTTCTGATTGTATCAGAACTCCATTGAATCACAAGTCTTTTCGCAATCTAATTTATCATGTTCCTGACAGATGGGCCCCAGAGGTGATTATCCTCTATCTTGACTTGAACTACAATGAGATATGATGCGGACTTGTTTTGCACAGAATGCTAACAGCAGCCATAAGCTGACAGAACATCAGTTATGTCCAGATACATTTTTGCCTATGATATTTTTATTAACAGAACAACCTTTTGCAAATACTTTTCTTCTCATTAAAACAAGTTAGATTTTGTTGGAAGAGTAAAAGATAAGCTTTGTAATTGTGAAAAAAAAGTCGCATCAAACATTCGGAATTAGAACACTTTAGAAACCATTCTTAGAATGCTATCGATACTATCATTTCTGTACAGATTCATTACCATCTCAGTTATTTTAATAAATCAATCATTGCTGGCAACAAAATTCAGTTTCTAATATGAAGTACTCTGGGATCTTTATTATCAGTTCCTGCAGTGAAAACTGGAAATTGGTACAGCAAAGATTCTGAGGTTGCAAACAGGAGATAAGATCAGAAGGTGCAAATGCAATTAATAGAATCATCCCATGTCAAGCAACACCTTGAGGAAAATAGGGTTCGATTTTCAGCAAGACAAAGTCTCTCAACACACAGCCAGACTGCATTCAAAGTTCTAGAGGTAGAAAAGAGTAACATATACAGTAGGAGTTTAATATGGAGTTGGCTCACTGGAAGTATTCTACTTGAATATACTGTAGCAGAGCACAGAAAAGAGGAGTGCAATCAGAGTATCTGTGTTAAAAGCGATGGACAAAACGCATGACAAGGCTAAAGCTTTGTGACGGAGCCGACAGCATGCATGTGACCAGCAGGCCTTCACCTTCCCAGAGGCCACACTGACCCAGGCTGCCCAGAGGCCTGTCCTTTGCAATGTGTGAGGTTTTTTTTTCAGAGGGCAGCGATGTGACTTGTATTCCTTTGCACTCTGTTTCAAATCCATAAAATGGAATCTCAATAAGGCAAGCAATTTTGTTGGGACCAAACTTGTATAGAATGCCAGTGAAATTCACTGTTTCCAATTACTCCTTTGTAATGGAACCATTTGTTAGATGTTATGTTTGAACTCACTATGGGTGGTTGAACTGACTGTTCTTTTTTTGCAGGTCTGACTGGTAAAAGTCGACTGGAAGAGGCACAGACAGATGCAATAGTGGACACTCTGAATGACTTCACAGTGCTCATCCCATGGAATGAGGAAGATGAAGCCCTGAAAGTAAGCCATTTTATTACTCTCACATGTCCAGGACCCTTTCTGCATAACTGTGTAGCAGCCTGGTTGATGCAAGTTATTGTAAGAGGAGCTTCTGTGCTCTGATAACCCAGATGAGGAAAAAAAAGAAAAAAACAGACCAATGATGAATCATATCTGAAACCATAGCTCTTGCTAAAAACTGCTATTACTCTTGCTTAAGCAATACAAATGGTAGTTCTTTCACTGAATTCTTGTCAGATTTCCAGCTCTTTGCGAAAGAGCTATCAGACATGTTCTCCACACAAATCCAAGCCTCATGGTCTCAGCTTCTGAGGAGGAAGCTGCTGTGTCTCTCTGAAAGCTGCAGCATAGCTGACTCTCAGGGCAGCCGCTTAATTAATAATAATCATTACTTACACTTATAAGGCGCTTTTCTGGACACTCCAATCAAAGCGCTTTACAGGTAATGGAGATCCCCTTCACCACCAATGTGCAGCCCAACCTGGATGATGCGATGGCAGCCATAGTGCGCCAGAACGCTCACCACACATCGGCTATCACTGGGGAGGAGACCAGAGTAATGGGGATTATTAGGAGGCCTTTTTCTTTTCGAGAAACACCATTAAAAATCTCAGGACCACACCGAGTCAGGACCTCGGTTTTACGCCTCATCCAAAGGACGGCGACTGTTTATAGTATAGTGTCCCCAGTCACTATACTGGGGCATTAGGACCCACATAGACTGCAGGGTGAGCGCCCCCTGCTGGCCCCACTAACCTCTTCCATCAGCAACCTTAGTTTTTCACAGGAGGTCTCCCCTCCAGGTACTCAGAAGGTATGAGCCTGGTCCGCTTCAGTGGATTGCCAGTTGAGTTGCAGGGTGATACGGCTGCTGGCTACACTGTAGGTACTTTATACACTGTATGTGTGCAAATTGATTTAAAAATGGTTTATCAGTCAGATTCTTTTATATTTAGACAGAGCAACATTCAATTCTTCTGTTCCATTCTTGTTATTAATGCAAATGCAACTTAAAGTCACAGCAAAAAAATATGCAAGGAAATCAAGAACAAAAATCTATGCATCTTTCTCCAGCAAAGCCCTGCAATCACAATTGACAATTGAGCCTTTGTCTTGCTGAAGAAGACCATAAATACATCTTTGGTTCCTAATGCATTGTAGGATTTCCCTTGGCACTCAAAGTGCAGAAAGGCTTTTCTCATGCTGGGAACCCAAGCAGTGAAGAGATCCCTACAAATAATAACAGGGAAGGAGGGCATACATAATTCTCTTTTCTCCAAAAAATAGGTGCTGTGTGTGAACATCTTAAACTATTAATGGAACATTTTTTACAGACCACACTCTGATTGAAACTTTAAGTTTTCCCAGCCCGAACAGCATGGCAGTGAGGTGTAGATGGTGTTGCAGTGTTAGTACCTGAACGTGTGATGTCGGTTGTTAAGCTTCTTCTACACTTCAGACCACTGAAGCATGGCAAACTGGGTTCAGTGAAAGATTCCAGTCTTCAGGACACATAAAAGATGGGGCCATTACCTCTGTGGCTCCAAAATAATATTTTGTCCTGGTATAGACAAGCTATCTAGCACTTAGTGATGCCTAATTCTTTTTCTTATCTTTTACAGAAAAAGATGATTGATGATCTCTTCAACAACCAAGCTCCAATATTGCTCCAGAACTTAGAATTACTGCTGGGAGACAAGCAGTGGTTTGTAGGAAACTCAGTAAGTGAGCATTTCTTTATGGCTGGGAGTAATTATGAACGCTGCCCTTTAATGGAATTTTAAAGTTCAAAGTCAACTTACAATTCTTACAGGTAACAAGGAGCCTTACAGCCTCTGACTCTGCATCTGTCAGTCTGAACAGCTGGCTAATCTGTAATGAAGCAATGCAAAGAGACCTTTGCATCAGTAGATGGTTTATTTCACATCAATAACAGACATTTACTTGTGCATATAATGTCTGTTTTTGTGGCATTTGGCAAAGCACTAGTTTTGTTTTAGAAAATGTTCCTTTTTTTAAAAAAAAGGAAGGACAGAGTTAAAGTGATAAACCTCTAATTTTTCTTTTTACAAATATCAAACAATCTGGGATGGCTTCTTTTTAAATGATTAGGAACTGATGAAAGAGTTACCTGTGTTTACAAGTATATAAGCAAAAGTTCCTTAACTTCAAAGTGCACCCTGTTCATTTTATGCATGTTTAAAAATGGCAAAAAGTATTTGAACTGGGGAGCTAAATGTTTTGCATTTCCTGTCTTGTGATCTGTGGTTGCCTCCAGTCCATCGTAATCCAATAGTGGACAAAGAGGTTACTGAAACAGTTGCGTGATGCACTTGATCCTACAGCAAGAAGAATCTAATTCTACAAATGAAAGTGATTTAAATTTTTGAAGGTTAAGTACTGTACTGGCAGAAATCCCGTGGACAGATGATGGCTCTTTAGTAATACACTGCCATCTAGTGGTAAGGTGTGGTCTACGTATGCGTTGGCACATGAGACTCATTGAGCATAACTTTCTTTGAAATCAGGTGTTTTCCATCTTGTTACTGCCCAAGGCTCATCTTGATGTTAACTAACATACTAGATGCTGAAACAATCACCTGATAATGAATATCTCACAATTGACAACAGACACGAACAACTCCCAAGTACGCACCTATTTCTGATAATTCAGGATACAGAAGCTTTTACTAACATTAGAAAACTATCAAGCAGAGGGGATGGGCTGAATTGCCTCATTAGTAACTGTTTAACAGATATTACATGAATTTTTTTTTTTTATCTTTATTTCAGGTTACCTGGGCAGACTTCTACTGGGACATCTGTTTCACAACTTTTAATGTTCTGAGGAAAGGCTTTGCAGACAGAAACCCCAGACTCCAAGCTCTGAAAGACCGAGTAGAAAACATCCCTCAAATCACCGAATGGCTCAAACAAAGGCCATGCACAACATTTTAAGCAACTCTCCACAGAGTACTAAATCAATGGCATTAAGTCCTGCACATTCAGTAAGATAATTGTATCAGACTTGAAATGTCAAAATGCTTTGCCCTTTTTGATGTGCTTCTGATATAACCAAATGTCATAATAAAATGGTTATTTTAGGGGTATTCACATAGATCCTGTGCCATTACGTGACTTCAAGGAAAATAAGCAATGAATTAATCCTTACTTTCTTAATTCTCCCAGCTGTTGCAAGGTGTTACTTTGAATGTCATGAAATGTGTCCAATAGACTGCCCCAAGCTAAATTAATGTGATTTAAAATGAATGGAAAATGCGAACTAATGCAGTACTTCTTAATAACTGAAATCGCAGATAGCTTAAAAGTCAAACTCCTGACTCTTGGGTGTCAAGGGCCCAGGTCAAGGATCTTCTGAGGACCAACACATTTTTTGTTTTTTTTTCAGGCCCTTGCTATTTGATTTTCAGACATATAGACACCAAAGGCTCGGGTAGAGTAAATCAAAGCATCCACCACCCCACAAAATCTAAATTTGCTTTTAACATGAGCTTAAATTTGATGTAGAGCAGACTAGCTACAAAACAGTATGGGCATACACTGCAGTAGAAGCACATCACTACCTGCCCACGAGTACTATAGGAGATACAATTCAGAACCACATCAACAAGGAGGAATTCAGTTTTCTGGGCATCTAATATAAAGGCTGTTGACTTCAGCGACTCCACTAATGGGTTATTAAGAAAATCCAGAAGATGTACCTGTTTTGTCTGCCAGTCAGATGTTTCAGACCAAGAACAGTAGCTGCCCCACCAGGAAGAGGATACAACATTTATGCAAATTATGGTCAGTCAGAAAAGTGGTTCTGGAGACCAATATACAACCAAGCACAACAACAGGGAAAATTGGGGGGGGGGAACTATCCATAATAGATTATATGAATCTGTAGTTTTAGGTTTTAGCCTAAAACTAACATCTCAACTGTGTAAGTATTAACAATGTTCTATTTCAAGGTATAAGAGGGCTCAGAGCATCACTCTCCTCTGAAATTTAGACAGTGAGGAGAGTGACTTGTAGTGTGACAGTCATTAAAATATACTGAATGTACACTAGGATTTTCATGCTAAATCAACTTTCAATTACAGTAAATCAAATACCCCCAAAATGTTAATGTTACTGTTTTATATTCTCCAAAAATTTCACATAAATGGAGCAGTGGTCTTTTCTTAGAATTTTGCTTAGATTTTAGTCTTAAGAATTTCAGCTTCAAGGTTAAAAGTTCAAAAAATGTTACTGAAGGAAAACCCCCAAGCCATTTTCTGCTCCTCAATTAAATAGAGCCAACACCCTCACAATGATTAGATCACTGGGTCCTGCAATGGCATGAAATTCTTTAGCCTATCCTGCACACAACACTACACTCTGTATTACAGACTAATACATACTCTGTATTACTCATTTGTAACTTTACTGGACTATTCAAAGCCTTATGCTGTAACACTGTAAAGTGGAACTTTACAATGTTACAGCATAAGGCTTTGAATAGTACAGTAAAGTTACAAATGAGTTTCTTTTATAAAAAACTACTTTTAGTACATGTAAGGCAGAATCCTTTTATTGACTTCTCTTTAAACACTGTAGCAACAACAACCAACAAAAAATTCAGTGAAAACACATAAGGCACTGAAAACAATGTTTAATTTTACATTATAAAACAACTGTCCTGTGCTGACCATTCTTCCAGTAATGCCAGTACAGGAAAGTATTTAGAAAAGCAGCTTTATCTACTGGTATACAGAACAGTATTCATAGAAAGTGTCAGACAAGGAGGTAAATTCAGTCAAGTGCTTCAAGTACAATGCGTGTTGGATGTCCTCTTCAAATCACTTTTACAGGTTTTCCAAATCCTAAAAGGAAGATTTCAAAGCCCAAGTGTGGCTTTTAATAATGAAGCCATGTCTTCAGGAATGATACCCTCTTCCCCTGTTAAAAGACGAAAGTGTTTAAGATGTTACACTCAGGCAGAAATGAAAGACTAGTATACCCTCCATAAATACTACCACAAAGCACAATACTGAGGCATCTTGTCTTTACTGATGGCTGAAATGAAAACTTAACACTTCTTAAAAGCATATTGTTCATTATATTCTATACATATATTATATATAGTTAACATACCAGCAGCTTATTTCCTAATTACTAAATATATTTTCTTGATCCACAAAATAAACTTAACCTCAATTGTGTCCATTTTTATTTTTCAGTTATTAAGTGTAAAGTGCTTACCCCTCCACATAGTTATATAGCAATTATGTACAACTGACACTAGACCCTACTTTCTTTATCGACAGCTTCCAGAAGATATGAAGTACAAAGAAAAACATTTAACAGGACCATTAACAAATGCTGCTTATGAATCATGGCAGTAGAAGATGAACTGGACTGTGCTTTCTGATGGTGCTTTTGCATGAAACTTTGATAGTTTGTTAATCATAAGATCACAGTCAGTAATAAACCCAACTTTCCTTTTAAATTGTTCATACATGTTCTACAGCAACAATTGTTTTGTTTTCCAGTAAACTCCTTTTCATCCAAGCTGCATAGACGTTTACTGAAAATGGACACTCGGTAAATCCTATTCTTGGTTAAATTACATGCTAGTTTTCAAGAGTTCATTTTTACTAGGCAGTGTGTTGTGTTGGTACACAACATAAAAAACTAGATCCGATGTGGAATACATTTTATTGCACTTAAGGAAACAGTAAAAAGTTTTATTTAATCTCCCTCCACTGCCTCTCAAAACGTCAAAATTAAAGGCTTTTCTGTGAGAAAAGACTTAAGAGTGGAAATGGGTGGAGTGAACAGAGATTATTTTAGGGGTCATAATCTGTCAATTTTTGTTTCCTTTTCCTAATTATCAGCCTGATGGGGGTAACAGTATCTTTTTTCATTGAACCTGAAACTATCTGCTCAGTGCAGTTGCTACGATTTGTATCAGTGGATTTACAGTCTATCTGCCAACACATCACTCTGAACCTACATGCTGATGTGACGTAATTGTGGCTATGCACAGCTGCACACCATAATAAACCAAGTACCTTCTACTGCTGCGGTCATGTCTTGTTCAAGCTTCAGCTTCTTCTGGCTGACTTTCAACATGCAGTCCTCAATCGTGTCTTTGCTGATCAGCTTTATTACTTGCACCGTCCTGAAAAAAAAACAAAACAGTTTGAAGATCTGTTTTCAACTACGGTCAGTGATGGGAGTAAAAGGTGTGGGGCCGGCTGCTCTGTGCTCTCACTTGGTCTGCCCCACGCGGTGGCAGCGGTCCTCTGCCTGCTTGTCATTGTAAGGGTTGCAGTCGATGTCGTGCAGAACCACGACGTTGGCGGACGTCAGGTTGATGCCCAGCCCTCCCGCCTTAGTGGACAGGAGGAACACAAAGATGTCCGTGTCCGTGTTGAAGTCGTCGATGAGGTGGATCCTGCAGTACAAAAAGCAGCACCATCAGACCCATGAAAAGGAGCAGCTGTTTCAGATCCGAACTTGAGGGAAATCTGCATTCTTCACAGACTCCTGGTTTCTCACAGAACTGGAACTGCTTCACCCAAACCTTTCCTCAACTACAATGGTTAATGGCAGGGGGCTCTGAAAAAACAGTCCTCATCATTCAGCACAGCCTCACAGCTCTAGGATCCTGTGTTCATGAAGATAGAGACTGGGAGATGGGAGGAACCAGTAGCACCTGGAAAAAATCCTGCAGCTGTGAGGCAGTATGTATCTTCCGCACCACTATGCTGCTCCCCTACAACACTGTTGTAGTTATACAGTTTTGCAAAGTACTTAAAGGAAGATAATTAATCATTCAACAGAACTAGAATATAGAATGGACAACCAGACTATTCTTGTGACAAAATGAAAAACAGATTAGGAGACCCAAGTAGACTGTGGAATAATAAATCATGACATTTGTATTACCTGGTATGTTGACACAAAATCAGGACTATATATACTGTATGTAAAAGTACAACAATACAAACCTGTCAGCCATAGGAGTTGAGCCATCTAATCTCACATATCTGAGATTCAAGTGCTTGAGCAGAACTTCCACAATGTCCAGCATCATGGTGAACTGGCTGAACAAGACAACTCTGTCGCCCTATGAGAAAGAACAGGGTTAATTAACTCAAAAAAAGGCTTTACATTTTTAAAATGTGCTTCTCTGCATTGTTAAATCCACCAGTGCTAGGTTGAAAAACCCAGAGGTTTCCTTATTTATTGCTTTGTCTGCAAGAAAACTTCAAGTGTGGTGTACTGCGTTTAAAAACAGTCAGAAAAATAGTGAAAGCTCAAGTGTCTTTGTCAAAATAGCTGAAACAATTTAACGCATACATTTTCAAGCATTTCTACTTAAAAAAATATTTAGAAAAAGGGTAATGTGGAAAAAGGTTTCAATCTAGCAATACTTTATTCCCCTTTAAAGTAAGTCACACAAGAGAAAATACTGTAAAGATATACAAGTGTCTAACTTGCCTTCACTTTGATTTTAGCAAGTATATCCTCAAGTACTTGGAACTTTCCAGAATTCAGAAGGATGTTTGTATCCAGCTGGAATTTACAGAGGCTCTTGTACTGTTTGCAGAGGTTATGGAGCTCAAAGTCTGACATGACCTCCATGTCTTCAAAGATGAGGTCAGGATTAGCATCGTGATGAGTTGGTTCCTATGAAACAAGCAAGACTAGGGTTAATATGTGAAATTTTTGGCGTTTTATTTTGCCTTCGATGATCAGTCGTTATTTTCTGCAAATGCTTTCATGATCAAAGGATCATCAAGGTGATGTGCTAGGGTAATGAACAAATATATTTTGTTGCACACATCACAAAGTGTTTTGTTACTGTATTATGTATATATTTGCTAGTGGAATTAATGATAATTTAACTGAAAGCAAATACATTAGCAAGGCGTTTCATACAATTAGTTTAATTTTAGATATTGGAAAATTGTTTTTACAAAAGCTTTTTACTTTAAATCCCAACCACAAATGTCTTGCTCCTAAAGCATCAGAGTGTTGGGTAGCATTGGGTAGAGTTGTGTTTGAATTAGTGGTACAAAATATCATTAACCATTTCATGTCATTGTTAAATTGAACAAATAATAATCAATTTTAATCAGAAAATAAGTTGTGGTTTCACTTTCATGATCAAGAATGCTTACCGACTCAGAAAGTCTAAGGAGAAAAAAAAATCAGATTTGTGTTTTAGCTCAGTCTCTTCCGATTTTGAAGAGGTTAATCCAGATTGCAAGAAAACTGCTTCCCTTAAAAGGGAACACAGTCAAAAACCTTTAAAAAGTATTTGAATTCTACCCTGAAATCTGCTGCTTTTCAGAAAAGGGATAATCAAAGAAGTGACCCCTTTAAGCAATTCAAAACTATAAATACAAAATACAACACAGAAGGTCAATTTGAAAGCAAGACAAACATAAAATCAATGCTATTTACCTTTAGCATAAGCTTTGACATCTGCCGGAGTTTGTCTTCTGTGTAGTACTGGCGATGCAATAAAGGGTGGTTTGCCATCTTTCTGAGCTGCATCATGACATTGCAGAGCTCCTTCTCTGGAAAGATAAATGCAGCTCTTCACAATCCCAAACAAATCACATCCTCCTCCTGGCTTTTCCTCCTAATGTACATTATCTCCTATTGTCTTAGAAGGGAAAATGTACTGTAGTAAAACCTCCTTCACAGTAAACTGTTTATTACACATTTAAAGAGTTCTGACTTCTCACCAAAAAGAGAGTAACAATGCTGAGTCTCCCCAAATCAAAATTTATTTTGGGAAAATACTTCACTTCCCTAGAATTTACAATTCAGTTTTTGGTGTTTATTTTTTGTAACGTGATGCACTGTTAATCTTGTTCAATTCCATTTCCCAGTTAATAAAACTAAAACTCTGTGGATTACAAAACAAGTCCTTAGCACATTACATCTTGTCCACTAAGTCGGGTGATTTGTCAATCCCTAAAGCAGAGTTTACAGTTTTGCCAAAACTGAGGTATGTGTAGAACATGACAATCCCAAAATTACTATAAAATAACTAGGATACTAACTGTTGGGTTAGGCCCCGGGCCAAAAAACAGGTCACTGAAAAAGACTGGATGATATAAAAGCATCCTATTTACAGAGAGCAATAAACGTATATTGCTAATCTGGGATCTGCAGATTAGTGAAGATGCAAAGTGTAGTAACTGAAAGTAAGAGGTGTAGTTATAAAATACATGCCAAAAAGAAGGACCACTACCAATACCTGATCAATTTTGTTGTATCACAGAGGATTAGTGAAGATTGGCTGTAAAGCTGTAATGCACGCTCTCCTTTTTGGCTGCTATATTCCTCTTCGCTATCTACCTTTTTATTTTGGACCCAAGTTTTGGTTTTAAGTTTACCATGAGCTGTTGGTCATACGCTGGTGATTACATCCTTATATGCTGGGAAAATACCAGTCTAATTGATTGCGGATTCATCTGATCTCCACTCAGTAGCAGACTGCTGATCTAACTGCACACTCAATATGTTCAGATGTTTGCATTGAAATTAAAAATCGTTGGCCTGCACGATTAGCATGCAAAATTAGAAAGACCTATCTGACCCCACTGGACTGTGGCCTCAAGGCCAGATAACACATCTTTCTGAACCAGCAGTAATTACCAAGTATCATATCAGCACTGCTGAAACTCACTTTCTCCATTTACAGATCGCTTCAGCTTCTCAAAAAGAGCAGAATATAACTTCCCTTGCTTCTCAGTCATTGCACAGAACTCAATCTTTTCTTCTTTGGATGGAAGCTGTTTTAAGACCTGTAGGAATAAAACAGGGCACTTACCCATCCAAACACTGCTCCTCTGCAGGGTACATAGAGTATATCCTTTTTTTTTTGTACAAATACTTGAAACTGTTATATGTGTAGTCAATACATTTCAATACAGGTTTTCATCTGGACAATCTCATTTTGTTTTTCAAATACTGTAGCTACTTAAGATTTATTACAAAGACCAGAAATTGCTACGTCAATATATGCAGCTCTTCAGGCAATCTATCCTTATTTGCAGAAGATAGAATACACCTTCAGTTCTCTTCAGTAACTTCATTGTCCTTAATGGAACAGATTTTTAGTGAACTGCACAAATGCATTTTGCTATTTTCGACCATGTTTGTCAAGGCAGAGCAGTATAAACCGAGTCCTGGCAAAACTCCAGACCTCAGAATTTGCCTTCTTTCACATGACAGACAAACGGTGCCAAGAAACAGTTGGCTCCACTGTACCTCATTCTTAACCCTTCTCAGTATGAACGGCTTCATTATCTGTTTGGCATGAGCTATCCTCTCCCGCTCAAAAGTGCTCTGCTCCTCAAAAGATTTCTAAGAAAGAAAAAAAACAATTTCAATGCTGTAAAGCCTCTCATGAGAAACCTTTTGCTGTACCATAATTAAGAGATTAAAATGTTTAACTCATAAACCAGTGTCACGACAGGTAATGAAAAACAGTAAATCAACAGGTCTTTGCATTTTCATGACTTGATTTCATGCCTTGTTTTTTTCTAATATTACAATACAGCACTGCACCTCCAGAGGTCTTTACATGCCCTCAGGTTCGACTCTGCCCAAACCATTAAACAGACACTATTTCTCTCTCCCACACACACAATACAGGACATCATCATGATTACCCTGCTACGAGTTACTAAAAGATTACCTCAGCTTCTCCCTTGTGTGAACACACAGAAAACAAACAAACATGTTAGAAAGCTTCTGAACTCTTACAAGAAGAGAAAGCAGACCACAGCAAGGAGAAAAGAAAACAAAGAAGCAAAGAAGAAAAGACAACCATAAAAAAAAAAAACTGGAGGCCAAGACTTGGCGCACAAAACCTGCTCACTTTTCCAATCAAAGCCGATTTGTGATTCAATTAACTCAAGCCATTCTCGGACAGCGGCCGGCACTGCCCCACATACCATGGAGAACATCCTGGAGATCTCACTGGTGCTGCTGGAGAACATGTGGGGCATGACGAAGTTAAGCAGTGACATGAGCTCCAGCAGATTGTTTTGCAGGGGTGTGCCTGTCAGCAGTAGACGGTACTTGGCCTGCGCCAAAAAGGGACAACACAGGTACAGGTGTGAGGCACTGAAGAAGGATCAAGCAAATACACTTTTAAAAAACACACAAACATCACAATGCATCTGGCTTTGCTCATGTGCGACAGAAAGTACATCTGTCTGTCGAGACGAAGAAAGAGAATGGCCTATTCACTGCTGTGTAAAAGAATTGCCAGGACTGAAAATGTGACCATAGTAATGATAAACCCCTTCTCCTCCTTCGAGAACAGTGCTTACATTTATGGTCATGAGATGCTTGTATCGCAGAGAGTTCATATTTTTCAACATGTGGCCCTCATCAAAGATGGCACTCTGCAGTTTCAAGCGCCTGAACAGACTCCGGTCATCTGCGTTGCTGATTGTGAGATTGTACCTGCATACAGTCAAACAGAAATTTAGCTATGTGTTGGATAACACCTTATACAGTCTGGTTGATGGCCTGTTCACCAAGCACCAGGTGCGCTTACATTTAATAAAGAACTGGGTCTTGTCACTTTAAAAAGAGCAGAAACAGAGAGCCACTTATGACAGAACCCCAGCACAGCATACAGAAACACATCACATGACTGTCAGTAAAATACAGGGCCAGATGCAGACAGTTACAATGCTGAAAATCATATGCATTATGCAGTGCCTGACAAAGACAGATGAAATTAATAGTGCAGGCATTTAATTTAGACAACTTCTCATTTATTGGTAATATTCATTTCAATAATAGCAGGGCTTTGAAATTTAAGTATGAAAACGATGCAAAAAAAGGCTATTTGAAAAGAAAAATAACTCACAAAAAGGGGGATAGTTCCATGTGGCTTATAAATTCAAAAGTGCACTGAAAGCTAAGTTCGGCATTAAATCAGTCATCAAGAATTCAGAACCAACGTCTGGTAACACTCAGCACCCTTTAGGACACTGTTTCACATCAATTGGAAGTTGATGCACAGATAAAACTTCATATCAGTTCAAGAACATTATTAAAGACACCAGAACTATGACACAGGAAAAAATAATATACATCATCAAGGAAGTTGCTAGCTATTAATTTTGGGATTCCTATAAAGAAAGCCAGCCTACTTTGTGGCTCTGTGCAGTTTTCCTTCTCAGCACTAGATGGCCCCAAAGCAATGCTACAAACAGCAATGAGCCACAGCATCTGCAAGCAATGTAACTCGTTATGCAAGGGAGAGTATAATGCAAAATTGAAGAATAACTCAAAAGGGAAGATAATTCCATGTATTAAAATATTGAATAATTACGATTTTTTTATCATAATAAATCCTAATAGGGAGGTGTCAATTTAACAGAAATGCAGCTTGCTTGTACTCACGTAGAGACAATGATATTGAAGTCTACTTCCTTATTAAGGATATCGTGCCTGAGATACCGGCGGTCTTCCACTGACCCTGCAGCAACAATCACAAGCCTGAGAATTAGTTTGTGCTTTCTGGACAACTCAGACAAAAACAGGACAATTAAAACCAAGAACACAAATAAAGTAGTGCTTACACCAGACAATGGTTTAATCTGTACTAGAAATGAACTATTTCTTTCAAAATTGAGATGTGTAATATAAGAACCTCCCCCCAACAACTTAATCCACGAAATAAAACTGCTGTTGATTATTGTGTGTCTATAAGAACTGGACAAGCAAATTTGTTATACCTTTAAATAAAAAATAATTGATTGCATCTTCATAGCACTGTTCAGCTGAAAGGATCATAAATCACTTTACAGTGGATCACAGACCACAAGAAAATGAAAATGTTGATTTTATGGCTCCAGTGATACTGACTAAGGATCTATAGTATCTCAGGAACTACATACTGTACTGTACTATAGTTTTACAAAAGCTTGTTCATATCAGGGCAAAAGCCAAACCACAAGTGGTGTAAAACGACATTCAAAGTTACTCAAGAAATAAGTGTTTTAGTTCAAATTCATTGTTTCTCCTAAGGTGTTGAGTTTAATTAATAAAAAGGTATGATAAGATCTGCTATAAATACAGGGTTGTCAGTGTTAATAGAAAACTGCACAATCCTCTTTCACAGAGTGGAGGTGTGAAACATTTAACAGTTCACTATTACAGACCCTTGCCAACACCAGCAGCTGTCTCTCCCTTAAGGCAAGCCAATTACTTTGTGATTCCTTTAAACTTATCATAAATTACTACTCAGTTACAAAAGAGACAACTGCAAAACAAGCCTTCAATTTCCTTGTGACATTCAGAAGGGGCAGGATTTTGCTTTAAGCAACAAAGTCAGGGTGCCTTTCAAATACAGCTACAGCAAAAACAGTAGCAAAGCAGAAATGCTCTTTCTGGTTTCTGGACAAAGAAGCATCCATTTACAGTACATTATCTGAATGTTGGAATGGGACTCAATTTCCAATTCCAACCAATGAAGATCTGACTCAAAAACACATTATTTAGGAGAAACAGGTACTGTCATCAATTTGTCATCAAATCAATTTGTTTGAGAAAAGGACTTATGCAGCCAAGTTTAAATTTTTGCACTAAGAATTCTCAATATGGGCTTTTATGTACTCCTTTATTTCCATTTAATTGAGGCAGATGCACACTGCTAAACCAAAAACTGTTAACATGTTTACATAATTATTTCAGTGGGTCAGCAAGGCATTGTTTTTTGGCTTTAATGAGTGATAAGACAATTGTTTAAATGTACAAATAATTGACACAAACTACACTACAATACAATACAACTAAGTAGAAATAAACCTACTTAAAATACTTTGTCTACTAGCACTCTTAAATGCCCTAAAATATATTTTAGTTTTAGGCAGAGCAGTGGTTAAGGCCCTCTGCTACCAGGAGGTTCCAGGTTCAAATACTGGCTTTGTCAGTGCCTCATAGGCAGGACATCCTGCAGATTTGTTTCCAGGCTTTCTGAACCTGATCTGTTTCTACACATTCTTCTAAGCCCTTGTTAAAGACTGTAGATGATGCAGGTGACTTATTTCAACAGAAATGCTTTTTTATTTGCCTTTTCAATTTCAGCATCTATACACCCAATGAACTTAAAGGAAGGAAGCCTGTCTTCCATTTACTGCAACAAAGGTATATAAGCTGATACACAGTGTAAATCTTCCTATTAATATTCAGCTTTACTTACTTAAAAGGCAAATTAAGTCTACATGTAAATGCATGAAATACTTAATTTTTTGTTTCCAACTGCCAAGCCTGTATTTTGTGGTTTGTTGTAGACTTTTGTTGACGGCTGACGTGAAATACTCTCATTTTTGCAACACATTATTAATTTCTTTAAGCAAAGAAAGTGCGACATTTCAAGGAATTTAAGGAACAGAAATGTTATTTTTGAAAATGTTTTCCTTTGGTGTAAATTGCATACTCTCTCTATGTAGATTAATACAGTTTTTGCACTGTTTATGGAATATGGGCATTTACGTACATAAATTCCATTTGCGAAAAGCAATTGTTTACCACTGGCAGTAAAATGCATTGATCAGTAGTGGTTCCGATTACTGCATATGCAATAAAACTGTTACGTTTTTTCTGTGAAATACTGAGGCCAAAAAACACTCTCAAAACACTACACCTCTGCACCATAATGCAGTCTGTTAAAGGGGCAGATCTACAGTGTTGTTTTATCTCAATTAGTGAGCTTGCAAATCACAAAATTACCTGCACACAAATGCGCATCCTTCCTATGTGAAAACAATGAAGTGTGTTATGCTCCTTCTATCATGATGTCTGTTCACTTGGAAGGGTGTGCGTTCCTAATTGAGTCCTGAATAAACTATTCCCTCGCCAAGTGTTGCAGTTATTTGTGGCAGGACAGAGAACAGGTTAAAGCCGTCTAGAAATTCAATGATTAAACACTACATGCTGCATATCTCTTTCCCAGAGAATCGTGACCTTTCTATTTGGACGTGAGGAGGTGTAACGCTGGCAGAGAACTGACCAAGAAAGTTGCAGTGCCAGTACTGCTGATTTCATTACCCATGTCAACAGACCATGAAAACAGCAGGGCACTTCTCTAAAACCATGTTTCCTGGAGTTCTTCTTCAGAAATGCTGAAAGAATCAAGGTGTAGGTCTGGTTATCTAACAGGAAATTACAAGGCCCTTTGTCTCACCGTAGTAGACCAGAACTTTGAGGGCAGGACACCACTGTTTCAGCTCTCGCACCCAGTTATCTGGACAGAAGGAAATGCAGAGTTACATTTTTAAAAGGATATGCTCATCAGGTACCCATTTAAGAAAAAATGTTTATTTTTAATTTTGAAATTGTGTAGAATCACAATAGTTTCAAGTTAGGCAGGATCAGTGAAATGCTATGAGTTCCATGGCAGCTTACACAGAAAAATAATCTGTACTGTAAACAGAGAGTAGAGTTCCTTAAAAAGCGACACTATATCATGCACTGTGGATTAAAACAGATGATTGCTAAACATGTCTACAACACATTTTTGCTTTTCTCATTATTTTAATTTGAAATTGTTTCCCATTTTCATTCTCTATATCCTGAACAGGTGCTGAACGCCCTGCTAGAGTAGTGCTGTATTTGAGCAGTAGCGATTCAGATATGCCTAATGGGAACAGAGAAGCTTGCAGGTATTTCTTACCTAAGGTAGAAGAAGGAACAGTAATGAGATGTGGTCCATGGTCTCCCTCCTCATACAAGTTTGCCAAAAAGGATATTGCCTGAACAGTCTTCCCCAAGCCCTACAACAAGTTTGGAAAACTGTTACAGGGCCTGATTTCCAGAAGCATATAGAATTAAATTCCAATGAACGAGAGGGAGGTCACCAAATAAGAAGTGAAAACATACACCCAGATAATGTACAATCAACAAAGGTCAGTAAGAACTAATGTGGTTTACTGCGTCTTCGAAGTACAGTAATATTTTCACTTAAACACCCCCCAGGTGCATTTCTATTTGACGTGAGGAAAACATGTTTGTCGATGTGTAATGCTGGTCTTGTTCCTACAGGCAGCCCGGCAGATCATGGAGAGCATAACTGCTGAGGCAGGGAAATTCCAGCAGGGGAGAACCGAAGCAGAAACTCAAGGCAACAGGATAAAGCAATATACCGATAACCACAGAGCACGGAACAATCTTCTGCACATTCTTTTCATTTTAAAGGAACAAACATACATGCCTGTGCAAAGCTCAGGGACTTTTCTTGATTATAGATAGCTGTTTACTATTGGGATGCTAATAAACTGCCCACTTTACTCTTCACTTATTTACATGAGATGCAATCTATTTTCTTCAAGCTCATGCGGAGAGGCATCTATAATTTCTTCCTTCAATGTATGGATCAAACTTTTGGAATAATATGCATTTGCAGGCAAACACCCTTTGACCGTGCGCCATCTGTGCAGCAGTGCACCCCACCTACTAAGCTGAAACAGCAGATGGCAGACAGACTTGTGGTAACTGAGCAGGCCAGAGTGTCAGTCATGTATCTGGCACAATCTGAAAAGCAGTGCCTGTTTGCTCATTCGACTACAAAAGGAGACCCAACTTTTGTTAACGAAAAGTGCATCCAAAACTGACAGAAATACAAAAGATAAAATAATTCAGATACCATTAAGAGATCACCTCATGTGTTAACACAAAATATTGCTCTTGTACTTACGTTGCCATTTTTTACAAGACAAAGGTAGCAACACAGACATGTAGAAGAGTATAGGCATCTGGTTAATTCTAATATAAAGTCCCCAATCAAACTCTAAAGCTCCCAATTAGGATCATAATGGATAATGACTGGTTTCTTCAGCACTTGTCTAACAAGCTTTTAATAATTGCACACCTGAAGACTAAACAGCAGAAACGTTGTGTTCCTTCTTCCTATTTTGTAGTGTATAAGTAACCTTTACTTGTTCCTCTGCAGCCAATGCGTGCTGACATAGCTACCAAATCGAATATCTTTCATTTATACCAGAGACGCTACCAGAGCGTCTCTAATTATATCTTTAATGTATACAGTACCACAGTACCATTGTTTAACCATGGTACTTAAAAGCACGGTACAATCCTAAATGTAGACATATCTAAATACGGCTTACGCGCCAACACAAGCCCTTCATGCTGTTGAGACAATTTCAGACAATTTGTCAGCTTACCATTTCATCAGCTAAAATGCCGCTCAACTTGTTTTTATGAAGCAAAACTAGCCAGTTTAACCCAATAAGCTGGTAAGGTTTCAGCTGCATCCTGAAAGAAGAAAAAATGAATAAGTAAGTCAAACATTAAGTAATGTGTTCACTGGATGAGTGCTGGCCACTGGAAAAGTAGAGAAAAATAAATGCATCATAATCACCCTCATGATTGATTGGATTTCCGGCTTTAATACACATTTCTGTCAGGTTGTAAACAGTATTCTAAGTCTGACCGAAACATTTTTGTCTTCTGGGCAAGTATTTAAATTCCTTTTACAATTATAAAGATTCTGATCGCTCAGACGGGTGCTAGTTGATTGAGGGAGGGCCTGCAAATGTGCCAGCTCAGGTGCTTCCATTGTTTGGCACATTCATTCCGAAGCTGAAGATGCTATAGGAGGATGTAGAAACGGTAGTTGGAGGAGGTCCAATTCCCAACAGATCTCAAAATTCAGCGAAGAAGAAAAACTAGGCTGATGAATGGATTGTGAGGGACAAGCCACAGCAGGGGTGATCAACTGTGAGGTGCCATGCAGCTCTTACTTTTCTACAGTCACTGAGATGCAATAGTAGTATAGCTCATTCACCCTAAATAGACAAATACTTAAAACTTTTTATTTAATCTGATAATAAGCTCACCAGTTATTTCCTTAACATATAGGAGTGTAGAAGGATAATATTCCTACTAGGTATTCCCATACAAAAAGATTGATTTTAACGCTGAAGATTATTTTACTACCCATAAACCCAAAAGGGAAATATAAAATAAAGCAACTAAACTCAATTAATCTAAACAGTTATTTTAATTATACAATTATTAAAACTCTGCACATTTGGCACTTGTTTTTAAAAAGCTAATAATCTATTAAAATGTGACTGGATTTATGATGCAAGTGCTGTGCCACATTTTTCCTACAGCATTTCAGCAGCATTCATTTAACCTGTTGAATATCATTCCTGCTGAAAATTAAGAAAGAATGATATAGAAAGGATACACTTTGCTTATGAAGAGCACTATGCCTTCGTGCCATCAGTGTATAGGATGCTGGACTAAGTCTCCATGCTTGCTGCTTGTATTCAGGGCAAAACACTGCAGCCAAACTCAGTCCATCAAAGATAAGCCATGACCATCAGTAGACACCTTCATAAACCTACAGCTTTTATAGTGATGCCTGAACATCTCTAACAAAACGAAGAAGAGCTATATTGGCAAATAATTCCTTCATGGGTGGATCTCCTTTAAAACATCTGTCCTTAATGTTTCTTTCAAATCAAATGGATTGCATCAAAAGTACTGTCAAATTACTGGAGCTTATTTGCATGTACCACTTGCCAAAAGACATAAAATAACATCCACCCTCCTCACAAATTATGCTAGTATAAATCAAAGTGTTGTAAGTGCTTTGACATGCTCATGGATATTTGGCTTCTGTTCTGAGTAACAGTGCTGTCTCAAATCATCACCTGCCGCTGAGCGGTTTAGGATCAGCCTGATTTCAGCCCTGTGGAGACACACCCCTCTCCCAAATTCCTACAGCATTGTACACGGGAAGAAGGAACCCATTCAAGCAAGAAAATGGAAGACTTAAGCAAGGTAGGGCTAAAAACCTGGGTGAAAATTTCAAAACTGCTTTTTGGGCAGCACAGTTCATTGTAGATGTTACTGAGATGGACTCTTAATTGAAACACTACCTCTGGTTAAGAAGAGCAGGTTGCTTGAAGGTGTTGAGACCACACTCTGTCACCCGCGTCACTGCCTCAGTCATCTTCTTCGAGATCTTCTCGCATTTTGTCATCAGCCCCAGGACAACGTCTCGCTCTTTAAGCACATCTTTACAGCCCCAGATCAAGTCCTCAGTCAGGCCATTTGCCTTAGTAAATGTTTTGATCTAAGCATGGGGAGGAAAAAAAAAAGCAAATCGGCTTTAAGCACGGATGAAAGAAAAGCAATCTTTACGCAATCATCAGTTACAACACACTTCAAAGGGAATGCATTAAAAAAATAATTCAGGGGGATCACAAGTTCGATCTTGCGCTGCTGTGCCCGATTCCCCAGGTAGCAGCTGCAGCAGCGCACAGTTGGCTGGGATGGACTGGCAGTTGAGCTGGCCTGGGTATTCTCTGCTTGCCATGCAGCTGTCTGTACTCCATGATTTGCTACAGTGAGAGATGCATTGCTCTTCCAATTCGTGCCAACACTCCCACAATCAAGCAAAGCTCGCACTGCACCAAGCTGCAAGCCAGAGGAATGTGTGCACTGTCCTGCTACACCACTGTGACTGAGGAGCTGCCGCAGTGAGTGAACCTGCTCCAGAATGTGCAGAGTCCTCTAAATAGCCATGATATAAAACAGAAAACTCCTAAAGCTATGATTCCAGACTTTTTCCCCACTAATAACTGTCAACTCAATATAAACTGGAGGAAAAGTCCTGACGAGACTCAAATGTGCCACTTCACCATTGGTCATCGGTATATTATAAAACCATGGTGCTAACAACACCGAACTTTTAAGCCAACAGATCAAAGATGTAATCTAAAAACTAAAAAGAGTTTGGAAGTGTGTAAATCAGCACATTAATTCCAATTAATTCAAGATAATTTCACTCCAGTTGCACACTCTTCTATTGTAATGCTGCAGGGTTCTCCTCATAAGAATTAGAATTTCCATATCCACATTCTATATTCACTTATCATTTGTAATAAATGTTATTGGTTAAACTATACTCAATGACTATTCTCCCATATATATGGAACAAGTCTTTCATACAAAAACATAAGTTCCTAATGAATTAGGATGCAGGGTGTGAACAGCTATGTCTACAGCTCCACTCAATTGTTATAGTGTTGGTAGTTCTGAATCGAATCCTTACAGAGGGCTAAATCAAACCACTGAGGAAGTATAACACCTAAGAGTGATTTCTCCAGTGTAGGACTGCTGATTCATTTGCGTTCAATTTTAAGACGGCTGACAGTTTTGCTAAGCAATGGCAGTCAAACGATCAAAAACCCATATGTTCTTCAATCGCACAATAACAGCACATGGAAACTTTTCCATTGCTGAGGGCTTGGTGGAAGAGAAGCCTACAAGCAGTAATCAGGGATCCATTGAAAGCAGGCCCCTGAGCTGTAAGGCTTTCACTGTGGTTTGGAGACATAGTATATAGCGTACATGACTGGGGAATGTTCCCACATGTGCAGGAAAGGAGCAGCCTGCGTTTCACCTCTTTGAAGGGCACAAGGGGGTTTCCTTTTCACCGGGTAACCACACACAAGGGCAGCTGAACTTGTAATGCAACAGTATGTTATTCCAAGTCTCTACCAAGCCTAAAGCAAGCTGGGACAGACAGCTAGATTACAGGCAGAGTAACAGTAATACTTTGAATGTGGGGTAGACGGATTACTTTTCCCATTGGTGCGCTTTGAAGACCAAGATGAAACCGGTGAAACAGGAGTGTACTGTACTTCGTTCTGCTACTGAAATGAGTTGCTCACATGTAAACCAAGTGACCAGCCAGGACTCACCATCTAGGAGTTTACATGGCAAAACACAAGAGGTAGGCGGGAAAAGAGCAGAGAGAGAATTGCAGAAAGATTAAATCCCAAAACAAGAAGTGCAATTTTTCTGGTACTGCCAGACTTCCCATTTACTGAGCCCTTGTTGAACTGGCCCTAAATGCGCAATCTCAGTGTTCTGACAACCAAGTACAACCCAGTTTCCTATCAGCAGTCCCTTATAATTACAGGGCATGGTCACTGACTAACATGTATCCCATTATTGGATGACTTAAGACAAACTTAAAGATCCTGAAAAATTATGGAAAAGAACCACTTCTATGGAGACTCTTCTTTTGTACGAACCCAGACATTAAAACAAAAGTCATGCTCTTGGCCTTGGGGAGATGGCAGAGAATCTCTTCCAAGAATCCTGTTTTTGTCCGGTTTGTAAAGAATACATTATAATGTTGAGGGACTGAAACAACTGAACTACAGGTGTTTCCATGGAATGGTTAACGACAACAGGAAACAAATAACTGCTACCATCAGTTTGTTTTTCCAAACAAACTTCCCGTGAAGAACAAACAGGCATGAGTACTTCTGCTTCTTTGTAATAACAGAGAAATGCAAAATGTGCAAGTTATCTCCCGGAAATCTGTCTGGTTTCCAAATTATTTCAAAGGTCTTTGTGTGACTCAATTCAAGCATGGACTTTTAAAACTCAGTCAACCTTAACACCAAGATTAAGGACACTGCAGCAGAAGTGTGACCCTGTGTCTGTCTTTCCAAGGAAAGATGCAAAAAGACACTTAAAAAATCATTCACTTTATATAAATTTATATATTTTTTGCTGTATCCTTGTTGTTTACTGGAAATGTAATTACTTTGACAATTTCCCTTAGTAAAGAAGAATTGAGCTGAATCAGTGACAAAGTTATGTAAAACCATACCATGTCTTTTCTCATTTGTAAAAAAAAACATAAATAATACTTGCATTCATATTTCAGATATTCTATCCCAAAAATGTAAACAAATTTTAGTTTCTGCTTTCATAGCTTTTTTAACGTGAAAATGTGACAAAGTAGTCGTACTAAAACAACTGGGATTTCTCCCTTTCACTTTCTAAAAGTGGAACATCACTCCCGAGATATACTTTTGTGCTTTTCAAGATGTGCAGAAAATACAAATGAATAAATACAGCATCATTCTTCATTTCTTAGGTAAATGTGTGCGTATGGATTTACACACAGAGTGTGGCTACATTACATAAAAGACTGCTATGTCACTCTATGAGCCCCATCGCATTTGCAACTGCACAACATTCACACTTTGTCGTTCAAGAGGCAGTGCAGGCTAATTGTTAGTCCTGGGTACTGAGTGTGGTCTGGCACACTGTCCAGAAGTCAGTCAGTGCACTCACAACACGAGAGGCATATCTGGATTTTTATCCCCAAATACAGGTTTGCTCAACACCCAATTCAAAAACAGCCAGGTGCCGCAGCACCCTAGCCTAATATTCTCTTGTATATCTTTATAAGGAAAGTCATCTATTTAAGATAACCCAGAATTCCATCCTCTTTTAGGACCAACAGCATGCTTAAAAAAAATGTCCACCCTTCATTCAGTTTTCCATAATTGCAAGGAAAAATCTAACATTTATGTAATGCCTACAGCAAAGCATGTATAAGATTAAATCTTCTAATCTTTAAATACCTCTTCATTGTACTGCCCATCTGTTCTGTGGTGGAGTTGTCATGAACTAGAACGTACCCTCGAGATACTGCAATCAGTGTCAATTCTGTCATGTCAAGCAGCTGCACGAACACCAGGTCTCTACACACTACACTATGCCGTGCGGAACAATATGCTGTTTTTACTACTATTTTGTTCTTTTGAAAAAATGAAGGAAATTGAAACACTGCACAGAAACTGATGGCAGTTGTTTTTAAAAAGCATTAAACCTTCACCCTTTTTTGTAAAAAGTGTTCTGCCCCACAACAATGGGCACACCAAATGTGTGAGAATCGCCCAATTTCCACTGTAACCATGGCCAGGGTACAGCCATCAGTCTCCTGCAAGGAACTGTGCATCAGGCCCTACATGTCTCCGCAAGGCAAAGCTACCAGATACAGAAGTGTATGCCCACCTCAACCCTCCCTCTGCGTGTTGCAGTTACATAATTAAACAGTATGTGTAAATAAATGCACTACATATGCAAAGACAATGATGTCCACATATACACACATTCACCCTCACAGGCATAACCAATCCCCTGTAATGTAATACTGTATTCATTAGAAGTTTAAATATGGCTAAATAGACTGCAACAGCAGCTCTTAAATTACCCAATTTACCCAGAACAAGGTGCAGTGTGATTACAAGCAGCGAATCAACAGATGTTTAGCAATAAGTTAAATCCTTAAGGCAATCCGTACTGTATCACTCCCTCCTTCCAAGAACCTCCGCTACCAGATTTTAGTCAATGTAATGTATATGCGTGTACAATCAATACGTCTTTTATTTGCTGTCGTATTGCTTCTTAGCTTTTTTAAATACATTTTCTCACTATCTGTTTTAGATTTCCCCTTGATCATTAGCTTAAGCTTAATAATAAAAGATCTGAATCCGATCTTTTCTGATGTTTGCAGCAAAGCATATGCTCATTCTACAGAAAAACAGGAAAAAATCCTAAATGAATCCCTGTTAAAACTAGTCTCAACTTCTTTTGTCCTTGTTCCGTCTCAGAAGACTCATCTGAACAGTTTAATGAGGATGAATGCCGGCCTGTTACAACACGCTGGGGTTCCCAATACTCTGGAGCTGAATGCCAGAGGAGCTGTTTTTCCCAACATTCGTCTAATGGCATTCAACAGCTCGGATCAGCAGATCATAAAGCATGGTTTTTCACTGCACATAACACCTAGTCTTTTTGTTGATGGCACTTCAGATAGAGAGCATTGTTTGATTTAACAGGGAGCCAAGATTTATTTCACAACAAAACGTTTAAAGTAAATGCAAAAATATACATTTTCTGCCTTTGAAAGAACTAAAACTGAAAAAAGTGATGAAATACTTGATGCAACTGAGTATATGCATCTGTCATTGCATTCACAAAAAGAGTAAGAAATACACCTAATATTTTAAGCACACACATGCTGTATAAAACAAGTTTTCCATTCAAGATTCTGTTTTTGGAGATATTCAACCCATCTCATTAATGTTCTCTGTCTCTCGTGCTTTAAAACCTATTTTTGCGTATATTCAGTCCCAGAAATTAAGACAAGGATCAACAAAAGGCCTGCTCTTTTCCACAAAAATCCATGCCTATGCAAAGTGCGTATCAGGAACAAGACACTTCAAACTTCATGCAAATCAATTTTTACCTCAGGATCCATTCTTTTTACATTGCCGAAGTAACCCTTCAGGACACTTCTTCCACAACCCTTAATAAAATTATATAAAACAAAAAACTGCAGGTAACTTACCTGTAAATGCAAAGATTGCCACTCAGTGTAGGGACTCTCTAACTACATATTAACCAGGAGGTCACAGCTACAACAGCTACCAGATATCCAGGGTTCACAGCAAACACTCGGTATGGCGAGAACATTTAGGCTAAAGAAAAGTTTTCTAGATATAAAAAAGAATCCACTTTGCTTTCTATTATTGTGCATGCAGACACCCATGCCTGCAATCTCAAACATGGGGCTGCTTTGGGATTTCCATTTCTTCTTAAATGCCTGCTGCAATCTTGAAAATTCTGCCACATTCTTGCCTTCTGCATGGCAATACTCATCTGAACAGACTGGCTTTGAACTCCTTAGCAAATGAATCTCTTCTTTCCCCTCAGTGCAGTGATATAGACCAAGTTTCTATGCTACCAGGCTGAGTGACAGTGTTAGCAGCCAATCAGATGGGCTTTTTCAAGACCATCATCCCACAGTATATTCAAAAGTAGGTCATATGATCTTATTTGAAATGCCATTGGCTCAGGATTAGGTAGTGTTGGAACCTAATAAGGCTAAGGCCTCCCATTTCTAATTCCCTAGAGATATAACACACCTTTCCAATAAAAGTGTCCACAAAATTAAAAAAAGAAAAATATAAGCTTAAAGCAAAAAAAAAAGTGAACTTACTAGGTCCTCCCAATTTTTAAAGGGACGGAGTTCTACTATCTTCTGAGCCTTTTTAACAGAGCACTGGGATATCAAGGAAAGCTCATCTACTGATGCATCCTGGAGGAAAGTCAATATTTTAGCTTTGAATTCCTGATTCAAACCATCTTCTGCATCGGAGTCCTCCCCAGAGGACTTCTCATAGTCACTGCTGATCGATTCCTCGTCCTCTGAGCTGCTGTCCTCCACTCGGGTCACTCTTGCCTTGTTCTTCCCCGACTCACTGGGCCTGCAGATCCAGTTCTGTTTTCTTGCCACTGGTCTCTCGCCAGCAGAGAGCCAGGTTTTGATGTCTGGGGATACAGTATGCTCCTTTGTCACCTTGGGTTCAGGTGAACTACTAGAGTCTTGGTCTGTAAAGAGAATAATGGGGAGAAAAACAGTAAGGGACTTGGCCTTCTGCTTTATACCTAAACCATTCCTGTATTTCATTTTCTGTTTTTGCACACAGGGAGTTTCACTTTCAGGGGTTCATTGGCTTGAGAGTCCAAGGCCCCTGTTGTTTGATTTTTTTACTACACAACAAGATGAAGGAAACAACACACGCCTAAACCAAGCAAATGTGCTGAAATGACAAATCTTGAAATAGTAAACCATCTACAAGGTGGAAAAGAGTCCAGGGCAATGGACACAAGTGGTTCAGATGTATTTGCGCATGTCCAGTGTCATGCAGCTTGTTGGCCACTTTTACACGTGTGCCTAGCCTCAGAAATGTAGATGAATGTGTTGAAAAGGAAGTGGGAAGGAACAGCTGGAAATCTTTTTTCCCATCTGTCACAAAAAACACAAGGTAACTCATAAGCTACAACCCAAGTGTCAAGGGTGGGGCCATTTCACTGTAAATTGCAGTGTGCTGCAGGAGGCTGGAAAAAGGGCAGGTGGAGAGGACTGAAGAAGTCTCATTGATCACTGTTGATCTGCAGGTAATTTTAAAACAGCAGTAGGACATTCAAGTAAAATGTGTTGCCTTTCTCTTCCTTTTTTGTTACAGTTATTTTCCTTGGATTATAAACATTTAAAGTATTTATGTTAAAAAAGGAAATGGTGAGACTTGTTATTTTGTAACAGAACAGCTGTCTTCACAAGGTTGAAACTTTTAAAAGGGTAAACTTTTTACTACTTTACTTTGTGTAACAGCTACCTTTGAATGTTTTGTGTATCAGCAAAACACAAAATTCAGGCAAAAACACTACACTAAAGATTCCAGACATACAGTATGTGAAAAGTATTGCTATGCTTTACAAATGTTGTAAGGCTGCTTCTTGGAACTTCAACACAGTGTAAAAATGCTAGACATCATAGAACACAATACTGATATAATAAGGCTTTCTTTCCTGGATTTCACCAAAAAGACTGGATCCACTCTTCACCTTAAAAATAACAGTTCTTAAATGCACACATTTCTCCTACTTCAGTTTGCATTTAAACAAACAGCAAAACTGAAAAGACACAAAATTCAAAAGTACTTGTTTCCAACTATACTAGATCAAGGATGGTGAAAAATGGATAACTGTAGTGTTATGGGGAAATGTATAACATAGAACAACAGGGAAACAGCTTAGCAATTCGACTACCTATCTCCTGTCTCCCTAGCAAGCTCATCAGGGAATCTAAATAAATGAATCCTTGCTTCTGCCCAGAACCTACAGCTCACAATCAGGCCACCACAGTGATCTCAATATAGAGTAAGAAAAGTACATCTCTTGATCTGAATAAATCTCCTTGAGCCTTGCAACATTTTAATTGTTAAAATCAAAGCCTCCACGTGTGTAAGTCAAAGCACTGTGATCTTAAAGGCTCCCCGTTACACTCCAAGACATCCATTGGTGTGTAGTCCATTTCGTAATGAAATCAAAAAGTGTCTGGATACAAGGGTTATAGAGGGATACAGATAAGTGTGCTAAGAGCAGTGACGGAGTTCTCCAAAATTATGTGTTCTACCTCTTATAGTTCTTTACACATGATGGCGCACACTGTGAATTGCAAAAGACACTTCGAAGCAAATTTCACACACTTTCGAATGATCTGGGAGTTGACAGCACTGATTTGGCATATGCAAGATCCCAATGAGTTGAACCCCAAATACAGGTGACAGCTGCTTGCAAGATGTTCAGAGGAGAGGAGAATAGGAGACATACTGTCAGTGCCAGTGCCACAAGCAGATCACTGAAAGAAACATGTCACCGTCTGAAGGAGATCGCACAAGGACAGAGTCCCTTCTCAAAGAAAAGCAACCACATACCCAAAGCTAAATGAAACAGCTAAGCACTCTTCTGATGCAAAGCTTTTGATAGGGCGTTCACGATTAGTTAATGATATCACACAGTGATGCCATGACTAGAGTGATTGTGGAAGAAAAACGTGCTCTTCAACACGTTGATACACGTCCACTCTTACTAAACCCACTCTGTACAAAAGCAAGAATGAGCAACCCTTTTCAATGAAGGCCCTAAAGCAACAGTTAACCTCTAATAATAACTGATTATCTGTTATTGTCTGAGATGAGCTGCAGAGTTCATGTCTGTCTTTAGCAGCCGATTGCTTCCAAGTAGTTTGAAGTATGAAAAGGAGATTTTAACTGTGAACATGTAGTTTACTCACATGTCAAAGGTCTAATGAAGAACTTCATTTCACATCAAGCATAACCACTTACAAATGAAATGGTGCACAACCTACGTTAACCACTGGCTGATTGAGTTAAATTTAATTTCCCTTACAGAAATGTAATATACAGATTATACAGTTTTTAAGTGGACACCATGTGTATATTTTTCAGTTTTTGTACCAGATGCAGCACTGACATTAATATACAACTATTTACTTGTACAGAAATATACTTTCAGCAAGCAGTCAATAAAGGTTATTTTGACATTTATGGCATTTCTATACCGAGAAGCCAAAGACAACCATAGTTACTGGTGACAGTGCAACATTATTACTTTATAAAAGAAAACTGCAAAGGATTTAATAAAAAATAAAAAGCAGTTATCACATGCTTCAGTTATTTTTTATTCATAATCTGTGGCATAGTAATTAAAGGTCTCAAAGCTTTGCATTTAAACCTAAAAATGAAATTTGATCTCTTTGTAAGAACTCAAAAGCTCTGCAAAATCTTTTTGTAAAACACTGAATGGAAAGATAAATTCAAATGATTGCAAAGGTATAGCAACTTTCATACACCGTGCTTATCGAGCATGGACTTGCTAGCTAACAATTGCTGTTGTAAGACTTCTAAAAGCTTGTCCACAGGAACCGAGGAGCACAACCATTATACCAAATGTGCATTGGAGGAAACAAGTTGTTCAAAAAACACCCCTAGAAAGCGTTTTGAACTGTATCTGCAGTTAATGGCAGAACTGAGAAGATTTGACTGTACTCAGAAATGAGGTTCCCTTCCACTGATGGTCATGTAACATGTCAGGGTTGCCCGACGCTGGCCAGTGTGTCATTGCCTCAGTGCTCTCAATGAACAGGCTCACCTGGGTCAGAAAACATTCTCAACGCTTCCAGGGCATCTTCAAAGCACCACTCGTGTTCCTGCAGGACATCTCTCAGCTCCTGCAGAGCAGCATTAAGAAATAAAGATGATCACATCGGGTAAAGGACAGTGCAAGCTGGCTTACTTCACAGTGCCTCCCTACATAACACCAGCTTGGTTTCTCTCATTAACAGATTTGTATACCTGTGCAGGAGACCCTCTATGCAGCACTACTCTCCTACTTAGTGCCTAATTCTAATGCCTGAGCCCAGGCATCAAGGCAGCCAGAAAGACAACTGTAATACAGAGGTTTATTCTGCACAGTCAGTTCTAGGATGGTGCAAATTCACACATACACAGTTACTATCTGATTAAAATTAATCACAGGAGCATTGGGAAGCATGTGGGGATGTCACAACTCTGTACAACTGACTCATCTTGGCCATAAGATTACAGATTGGAGAACATGACCAACTGCACAAAATACATTTCAGAGGAACAAGGACCGATTAATGAACCGAAAACATCATGTCAGCATTTCAATGGGTATAGCCTTTACTTACTGGTCTTCCCAATCTTTATCAATCATTTAGTTTCTGGTACAAGTAGAAAATTAGATAAAGATGCAGCAATACAGAAATAGTATGAATGATAAGGAAAAACAGACTACAGATCAAAACCATGGAGAGGGCAAACACATGGCAAATTGTTTAATCTTGAGAAGTGCAAAGTGAAAATAAACATGAATGGGTTTGGAGACCTATGGAGTCTCTTCCTGGTACTCCTCAAGAAGCAATAAAAAAGCAAACAAATATAAAAGCCTGGAACTGACATCAAGTGCAGTTATCACATTTTACAACATACTTAACCAAACTACTTTTGGAATATTAGATTCACTTTTGGTCACTATACTACAAAAATGATATAACAGCTTTGGAAAGCATTCAAAGGAGAGCTACAGTACATGAATGATTCCTGGTCTCAGGATCACATACAGACAGGCTAAAAGAGCTAGATCTTTTCAGTCTAAACCAGAGGAACCAAAGAGAGGCTTTGATCCAATGATATGAAATCCTAAGGTGTACAGACAAGGTTAAACCTGGGGAATGTTTCATACTTAATGATGAATCAAGACACAAGGTCACAACTGGCAATTAAATGGAATTTGACTTAGGTCAGAGAAAAGGAAACCTAATTGCCAGCTGACTGAACCTCAGACTGAGCTCTTTCAAGGAAAGGCTGGATGAAATTTTATATTTTAGATTCTCTTAACTATTAAACACCAAAAAAGTGAGCTTGGCAAAACAGCTCCCCTCACCTGCCACTTATTTTATGTTCTTTATGCTTTTCTTAGATTGCTGAACTTTCCTTGCCTTTGAAAAAATTACCTTGTGAGAATTTTTGCTCAGGCTTGTGTGGAAAGGAAAGGAAAGGAAAGAAAAGAGTTCACTATGCAAGAAGTTCATAAAATCACAATGTTTCAAAGCATGGACACTATACATGTATCTATACACAATGCCATATAAAGACAAGAGTTTTGACAAAGTACCAAGCAAGAATAGAACAGAGAGAAAGATCTCCATAAACTCACCTCCTTATCTAAATTAGGGAATTTCTTTTGAAGTCTCCTCAAGGTGGCTTCCTGTTTCTCCCATTCTTCCATGGAATTAGCGGCTTCATTTTCATCCACCTCAAAAAGTGAGGAACAAAAAAAATCAGCAACGGTCAATATGCAGCTTAACAATGTGCAAGGTGTTCCTGAAACGCAAATGACAGCAAGGTCTCCAGTGAACTAGTGCTTTACTTCTAATAACAGGCAGACTTCGAACCAACGGGGTGAACATCAACCATTAATGTTTATCAGATCCACTTAAACCAGACCTCAAATGTAAATCTAATTATTAAAAGAGCACCAGGACTGGGTAGCTGGGCCTCTTACATTGAAAAGCTATAGTGAAGCACCATGTCATAGAAAGGAAAACAGTATTCTTAACTCACTGCTGTTTTCTTCTTCTTGCTTGGTTGAACTATGTCCCTATCCTCAGAGCTGCTCTTCGAAGAGTCTTTATTCTTTCTCTTCCGCGCATTATCTAAAAAAAGGATCAAAATCAATCATTTCATCTCACCTTGCACAGCATACTAAACATCTTAGAAGTAAAGAGGCATAAATAGCCAAGATCATTTGAGGATTCATTTGAGTTATTGAGCCTTTTCCAGTCAAGGAGTCTTTAAAACTGCAAACAGAAAAATTGTTAAAACCATGGCTGTGAGAGGTGAAAGAGGGAACTTGTGCTTGGAGAGATCTTTTATCCTCACTCATGTTCTCTGAAAAGATCAGTCTGTCTTCTTTGTGTTTCACCGAAGGAAACAGCAGGGCACTTTCTGTAAGACATGCAATAAATGGAACTGCTGGACAAATATGATGTACTTGGGTGATCTTGATATGGTTCATGTGTTGATGAGATGGTCAGTGGTATTACGTATTTTCCCAGGCTCACCACTCAGCTCATACTACTGACCACCTGAATATTTCAAGGTCATCCAGAGGGTGTCACGTTCATTGCATCTCTCACATTGAATTGCTCTGTTGTTTATAATGGTGAAATATGAATATTGTATATAATGGTATCTCCACAACACTATAAATAAAGTACCAGTTGGTACTGTACGTTAATGTGCAGCAGATGCATCCAAAAAATATGAACCATTCCACTGACAAGTACAGCAACACTATACAAAAAGTTTAACAAGTAATTCTGTAGCTTCATGATCTGCAGGGGCTACCCATACTACCCAGGCATCAGTCAAGGTGCAGGAAGTTTAATCTGCTTTTCATACATATATTTGTCTAAATAGATTCATACTGACCAAATACTTATCATTCATCTATTCTCTCCCCCACATGTGTGGTCCATTATAACAGCAGATTGGCAACATTGAAACCTGACAAAAATTATATGAAGTTTAAGGCAAAACCTATGTTGTCAAGATGGCTTCAGTAGTTACATATAAAATCCTTATCACTCAAAATGAAACACCGCAGAGTATTCTAATATAATTGAGAAAAATAAATAACCTGGTATAATATTTAATATCTTTCAAGCAGAAGGCATTACAGAAAGTTCCACATTCATCAGATCCACTGCAGTTGAAAACAGAAATTTAGCTTGTGAAGACCTGCTCTGTGAACATCTGTCAGGACTTGGCAAGTGATCTGACACTTTCCAGAAGAAAATCGTTGCTATCGGGGAGGTGCCAAAAAGGCACATCAGCACAACGCCCGCGAGAATTGATCGCAATTTTTTTCTCTCCTGCCTGTTGTGCGTCAATCAGAAATTGAAAAACAAATGAAAATCCAGAGATTCTGTATCATCAGTCTCATCTGAAGTGTTTAACAGAAAACACAGCTCATCTGTAGCTTCAGGGTTTACACCTCTGTCCAAGCACACCGTGTGAAAGGCAATATCGTGCAACTACAGCTCCAGGTGAAAGGGCTGGCCAGTACACGTCTCCACTGCATTTAACCCTTTTCTGTGCATCCGCATGCATCACTCTGGATTACCACCAATTTGTGAAGAACTACATTGTTTCTTGTCAAATCCCTCAGTACATGAAGACAAACTGTGTTACACATACAACTGTTATCCACCCAAGGGACTTTGTCTTCCATCAGGCTGGTAAAGTAGCAATCATACTCATACACTCTAATGAAGGGCACAGCTTCAAACAGGTCCAGTGGTTGGTGCTATTAGTTACTTGTTACAGCTGGTCAGCTGATTGGTTTCTGACAACAGCTTTTGTCACTGTCCCCCTTTTGCTGTCAGGGATTCATATTTGGGACTTTTACATTAATGTGAAAGAGTCCTTCACCTGACCGGGCAAAATCCCGGCTCAGCACAGCAGCCAGCCAAGGTGTGGTAAGGTTCACTTGCAATGAGCCAGTGAGGTGCTCCTGCTGACTGACCTGTCTGAGCTGTGGTGCTGTAGAGACACAAGCACCATGGCAAGGGAATACTTCACTAGGAATGGCAGGTCTTCAACAGATGCAGGAAAACAGCTGTGACATCATCTCATCTCCCCTATCTCTCCATTAACTTTTTCATGTGTACTCAAAGGTCCATAAGACGCTTGGTTACATCAGATTACATTGTTCCACTTGATTCATTCTATAATTTTTTTTTTTGAACCTCTACATCAACCACAATTGCATCAGTTTCACCTGCACTAGGGCCTGGAAGTATTTCTTAAAATCCCATTTTGTTAGTTTTTGGGCTCAAGTAGTTTATTGACACCACGGAATTTCATCAGTAAAAAATGCAAGGATTTCTCTTCCGAACTCCTGGAGTGAAATGTCCTTTTGGAAAACTAAGCTAACAAGCTAACAGAAGGCATACTATCCAAACTCTAAACAGCATGCTTGCAGAGTTGCCAACAATCCTTATTTCCATTCTTTGCAATCCTGTTCACCACTGCCATGAGCTGCAGTGCTTGAAATATGAATATGAACATGGAGAGCTTAGAGTGATGTAGCTCTGGGCCTGACCCACCTCCCTTCCTTTCCTGCTCCTAGTTACCACTCTTACCATCCCCCTGATCGAGACTCCCAACAGGCCAAACAACGGCCTGTTCAAAACACAGATGACAGCATTTAAAACTGAACCGCAGCAGAAGAGTAGAGTCAGATGGCACAGAATTGTAAGAAATTTGACTTGTGAAAAAAGGATAAGGTTATGATGAAAAAATTGCCATGGTGTATGCCACTTTCCCATTTGAAGTAAAAGGCAAAAAACAATTCTGTTTTTTGCAAACCAACACCCAGAATCTCTTATTATACAAACTATACTCTTACTTACATTCAAAAACACTAAACAATTACCTTCATCTCCGAACAGTACCATGCAAGAGGCCACTGCTCCATCCAAAGTGCTAGTGTTTTTTAAGACCTGAAATAGGAAAATATTACTCTTTCACTCTTAAACGACAGGTAACAATTGCAGGTTAAAGGCTATACAGACTCAGCTTAAAAGTAAATACATACTTGCAACATCATGAAATCACTGCACAACATTCCACACATTAAAGAGTCATTCTAAGTGACTGTCACCTAATTAAAAAACAGTACTTCTTTGCCCCTTGACCAAAGGAGGATATAGACTTTATTGAGGAATTCATCAAGCTAAAAAGGAATTTGGCTTTTAGCCATGCCATGTCCCTTTCACAACCTGCATGGTGATTCCCCCCAAGCAAAACATTTTTATAACATCACCTAAGCAGAAATTAACCTTACTAGAAAGGTGTGCCCTTTTACTTTTTTTTTAAAAAGACATGATAATAAATACCTGTCTACCCTCCCTATGGATGCCCTTCAGGTGTTAGTGAAGAAGGCACTACATCCCTGAGATAAATGGTTTTATCATGGACTAACTACGTAGTATTCCAGCTGTGACTGGAGTTCCTGAAGGGCGGAATTCTTGCCTTGGGCTGGTTACGCATAGAGCATAATTAATTTAACAATTAAAAGCAATAAAATGAAAATCAAATACAAACTTGATACAGAGGCCTGCTCTGCACCGGGAGTCCTGAAGCCTCTTAACCAGCCCACACTGTTTTCTGCAAGAGTAGGATCTATACTCCATCCAATGCCTCACCTTTGCTGGTGGAGCCATGTGAAAAAGGGGGACTGACCCAACACTTCACATTTCAGGGGTGCTTGGGAAACTAAGACTCAGAGATTTTAATGTAGAAGGAAATACAAAACAAGGAGTGGAAAGGTCACAACTAAACCTACATGAATGGATGCTAGAATGTATTATCGAGAGTGACAGATCACAATCCTTAAGAAAGTGGGCCTCCAGAATGTCCTGTACCTCTTTCAGCTGTTTACTGTCTTTCTGCGGGAAGATCTCCTTCAGTTTTGAGAGCCTCTCCTCAGTAGTTTCTACATCCACCTGGTCAGAATTCTGAGATGCCTCATCTTCAGAGTCTTCTAAGTACAGTTTTCTAAAAAAAAAAAGATAATAAGACCTGATAATAGACATTAGTAGTTATATGACTTGAAGTGGCTGGCTAGCTGAAGGATATGCTAACAAGCTGAACACAGATGATACCAAGGTCCACTGTTTGCCTTGTGTCATGAGCAGGTACACTGGCAGGCAGAGTAAACCCAACTGAACAGAATTCTGCTGAAAGAAACAGAGATAAGAGTTAACATGGGTACAACAGAAGAGCCAAAACCTCTTCAAAAAGGACACAATACAGCTTAGTGGAAACAAACTCCAGTAAATAAACTCAACTTTTTACTTAGCCCCTAGACCAAAAGGCTAGACGTGAAAACAAACTGTCATTGCAAACTATGAACTTTGCAAGCTATCACTCATTGAACTGCAGCATAAGGAGGCATTCTTTTTTACATGACCACAGGGTCTTTGGCATGAGAAAATCATAGCCGTTATCTGTGAGAACTAGTAAGTGGTCCCACGTGGTGTCCTGATGGGTCAGCTCATTGTGGATGTCTCAGATAACCAGGTCTACATGCTGTCTCAATAAACGCAAAAATAATAAAGTACCTCATTAGTGTTCCAGTGAGAATCATTTGGCTCGCCTGCCTGTTGGTTTCTCTGAAACCAACAGAAGGCTGATGGTTTCCATTCCCCTGCCCTTGAACAACTCCGTACTGGGAAAAGGTACCAAATGCTATCAGATTATTTATTTTTCAAATTTGGAAATGTCATTTAATGTACTATTCATTCATTGAAACAGTTTCAGAATTAGAAACATACATGTGGGAAAGGTGAGTATTATAGTGTTATATATCTTAAGCTGTGTGTTGAACGTGGCTGTTTTAAATTTTTCTATCCAGCTGAAAAGTCTTGAATTCCTTACATTACTGAAAATTTCCAGTAGATTATTGGTATTGTACATAAAACTGATTACAAAAACTAACAATTTCAGTAAAACATGATTATAATAAAGAATCTGAATTTTAGACACCTCTGCTTTTACACACAGTGCCAGTGAACCAAGCAGTCAGGACCACTGCTTAATGTCTCATCCAAAGGATGGTGCCTCCCTACAGCACATTGTCCCTGGTCACCACACCAGGATCCAGGATTGGAAACTGTGCTGTAGTGAGAAGAGCACCACTGGTAAACCACCACCCCTCACAGAAACAACCCACATTTCTTTTGAGATCCCTCATTCCCAGGCCCGGCCCCACTATTGACAACATTTCTTTAAAAAGTACATTTTAAACTATATCTGTATAAGAATCCTGGTACTTATATGAGCAGCACATTGTAGCACTTTCAGAGGCCTACAGTGCGAAAAATAAATATAGAGCACACTGGAAACACCTAGGGAACAGACAGCAGGGAAGGTGTTATACTAAAAACATTAATATAATTCCTACTTCACAAAAAACTCAAACCAGAGCTACAGATATTATTCATTCAACTCCTAATCTTCTATACTGTTCAACAAATAAAGTCTGCAAAGTCAGTTGTTTCTCTCCCCTCCCACACACACTCTAAATCAATATTGCTTTCTGAGGAGCCAGCTCAGGGGAATGTTTCTACAGGTCTACGAAAGTATGTGTGTTACTACAACTGTACAAAATGAAGGCTGATTATTTGCCAATTATTTCCATTATGCACAGACCACATTTTAAATCAGAAGTGTACAAAAGAACCAAGCTGTGATTTTGAAAGCTTTAAGAAAAAACCCTGCGTTTTATTGTTCCAGCCAAGATTCTTCTGGCTAGCTTGATCATGTTATAGTTTGCCTACGGACTATTTTATTATATATTACTGTGGAAAGAAACGTTTACTAGGCTAAGTGAAATTTAGAGTAGGGTATCATAATACTCTTTCTTATATTGGCAGGAAACGTGAACAGCTCAGGTCTATGCATTTAAAAACATTAACAAAGCTTAATCAAAAGCGTGACAATCACCATTAAAGAGATATTCCATTAAAATTATATTTTATTAGGAGACTATGTAGAATACTCCAGTTAGTGCTCAGATAATTCAAATTTGTAACCTGAGTACTTTTAAAATGCTAATTATAACTCTTGATGAATGTGTACCCATTGCCCATGGGGTAATCTCCAATACCCTTAAATGGGATATGAATATCACCAGCATCACAAAGAAAGCACTGCAAAGAATGTACTTTTTTAGCGTCAACTGACAAACTTTGGTGTCTCCCAACCAGTTCTGAAACAGTTTTACAGAGCCATTATTGAGAGCATTCTGACTCCCTATGTAACTGTTTGGTTTGGCAACTCCTCTGCCCACTCCTAAGGCAACCTCACTGTTTCATTCTTTTTAAATACTTAAAAACAGGATTAAGTCACTACTTAAGAAAAACCCTGAGTTTTAGGACTGGTATTCCTTGATAATCTGCACTTATTTTTTTCAAACTTTTACATGCATTAATGAGTAAAGCAAATTCATTGGCGTAAGATGGAAAGTTTCATTAGCTGTCACCTGGTCTACATTCACGATTTATACAATTCCAGAGCAAAGAAGCAGGCAGAAACACAAGTTTCCACCTGTTTAATAAAGTTCCCTGAGGAAGACTCAACCGGTCTATTAAAACCAGTACCACCCGGTATTTGAACAGCTTCTTTCCTAGGGCTGTGTTTTTGCTTAACCAGAATTCCTAGTTATATGTGCAACAGATTCATAACTATTTGCCTTGTTTGTGTATTGTATATGTGGAATGTTTTTGCAGCACCAAGTACACCCGGGTAAATTCTTTGAGCAAGAAAAAGGACCTTGGAGTCACAGCCAGGCAAATGGAAGAATGCTGGGTCTCATTCGAGGTCACTGCAAGAGCAGGCCTTGCTGCGCTACCCTCCTCTACAGCCGAGCTGCTGGTGTTGCACCAGGGACCCGGTGACAAGCACGGATTAGCACCAGAGATTGGTCTGCAATTCTGCTTTGCACCCGTTGTTTGCCGGATCGGCTCCGGCTGCTCCACGACTCTCAACTGAAAGAAATTCATCGACCTGCTTTCTAACCATTTGTCCGCGTGCCTGAATTATCATCTGTTGTTTTCCCTTTTGTGCAGACAGTCCTTGTTTTAAAACAAAAACCCACTTCAAGCATCTTGTTCCAACTTCCTCAGCATACAGAACTTCAAACATTCTCTCTTCAACCTGATAAACAAGAGTCTATGCCCTAATACCTATATTAAAGGGGAACTTCAATGCTATTTTATATTCTCAAGAACTCCCTCTTTCACCTGTGGCAAGACCAGAGGATTACCGACACAATTGGTTAAGAAACGAGGACTGCAGTTCCCCTTTAAGAGCATTTACCAGATGACCAATTCATGACTGATAATTGAGGACAGAACTTCTTGGGACGACAATGTATCAAACTCCCACTGTGAGGGTCTGTCTCACCCTGCTTAGGTCCAAATGGCTACATTTCAGGCTACATTTCAGGTGACAACAGAATGAACTGAATAATTAAATACTGGAACCCAACCCAGAAGACTCAAATCTTCCCCGACACCAGGGTTTTGCACCCCTTTACCAGACAAAATGGGGCGATATTTTAAACAGAATAGTCATACCAGTACATGCAGTGGCATTATTCTTTCAGAATTTTAAGACATTTTCTATAAAATGTATTCCCAGAGGTCCCCAAAACTCATTCACCATGTCAGCCCCTTTCATTTCATGCCTTTCTTAGAGGAACAAAATACCGCCAACAAGTTTTTTCTAATCATAACTCTGGCAGACTGGTCTCTTAAGGACCCTATTAACAGCCAACTTGCAACTAGAGGGCATTAAGGCCACCATTAGCTGTAAATAGTCACAGCAGGTGATAATTAGTTCATTAATAAGATGCTTGGTAGAGGTTAAATCCACATTGGTGCCTGACGCTGCTGAAGAGGTCTTTTTGCTGTATAATTCAAAAGTTTCTGCAATAAATGCTCATTTACTTACTTTGATGTCAATTGAGAGTTTGTGTTCAGATGCCCAAAGCCACCTTGTTAGAAGGTGGGGTCTGTCACAGCAACAGATGGAAGTAATAATGTAACACAGCCAGTGCCTCGGGCTATCAAGTTCAGGCTGATGGTTACTCATCAGTGCCAACATCTGAAGTAGGACTTACAACTGTTTTAAGACAACATATGGTGAAATGAGCAGATAATATCTGCTTCACATGAAACTAAAAAAATAAATTGCCAACTTCCTTCACTTCAGAACAGAAATACAAAGCATTTTTAATTGCCACCATGAATGCGTAAACTTCGGCTTACACCCGAAGCCAAAATGTTGAGTTTTCTTTCTTCTCTTTTCAGCATGGAATAAATCTATTACTTGTTCCTTTGCAGCCTACACATGCTGACACAGCTACCCACCTGAAGTGCGTAATACTTAAACTATTTAACAAAAATAAAAAAAAACAGCTACAAGACTCAACCTCAATAAAACCCTGCCATGATTTGCAGTTTTACATGATCTGATGCAATTTAATCCAGATACATTTTGTAATTGCTTCAGTACTTGCTATAATAAACCAGAATGTAAATTAATTATTTAAATCTTTAAATGCAGTAGGTAACAAAAATCAGCGAGTGGATTATTCTTCTTGATGAGAAGGAAGATCTGAGCCATAAAGGATCACACAAGATCTTTTACTTAGTTGTGCGATGTGAAGTAGCACTGATTCTCCAGACTGGACAGAAATCAGCACATGAAGAAAACACCCAAGATAGAAAAATGGTTTGAGTGTGAATTGAAGGCAGGTGTCAAACACACACAAGCCTATAGCAGTGAACTAAGATTTGATCTTTTCTGCTTCCCAAGAATGAAGATGGTATTATATGCAGTGAGTTAAGGACATACTTCCCTTGGACAATTATACAAAATGGTCACGCATAAACATGGAAGGCATTTGCCAAGAATACAGAGAAACCATAATGAACTGCACTTACTTTCTTTTTTCCTTTGCCACAGGTTTGGATTTTATGGAAGGCGCATCTGAAACCGTCGAAGGCAGGTCGTCTGCTTCCGAGTCCGAATCTAAAAACTCCACTCCTTTAATCTGCTTATTAGAAGGTGGGCGCTTTGGTTCTGGGGTCTCTGGAACCACAGTAACTGTGGAGAAACACAGGGTATCAGCTGGTGGAATAATAGTGTAGATTGTGACAAGGCAAATTTTCCCCCAATCTTGGTCACGAATAAACCACACGATGGCTCCCAGTCACCTAAATTTTAAAGGTTCACGGGCATCATTTCTGACAACTTCAAAACAATGTGCTGCAAACATACTGTAGCTCAGAGTATCATTTTGAGCACCTGAACAAGATTTGCCACAGCAAAGGTTGATTGAAACTTATTCAATCAACATTTTTAGCAGTCTGCTGTATCTTTTTGCTGGCATTTAACGGATTTCTCCCATAAAAGTGCTAGTCTGAGCATTCAAACGGTGATTAATTAAAATGTTATTGCATACAATGTGTACAGCAGCCCCCATCATTTATAATTCAACAGAATGGGGCATCATCGAAAGGGGTCAAGGTGACATACACAACCACTGACACATAGTATAACCGGTAGCACCCTAGATTGTAATTCTTATTAGCAAAGGCAATGTGAGGCACCCCAGGGGCTTGATACTACACTTGATCTTAGCCAAAAGGCCAAGAAAGGGCTTGATAATAATAATAATAATAATTATTATTTACACTTATATAGCGCTTTTCTAGACACTCCACTCAAAGCGCTTTACAGGTAATGGGGACACCCCTCCACCACCACCACCAGTGTGCAGCATCCACCTGGATGAGGTGACGGCAGCCATAGTGCACCAGAACGCTCCCCACACACCAGCTATCAGTGGGGAGGGGGATGACAGAGAGATGGTGAGACTACCAGCACAGCTGGAACAGGACTGGACAGGAACGACACAGCTGTGACACACGTCTCAGCCTTAGGGTTTAGATTTCAACAAATATGATTTTAGCAAAGACGGAATATTTAAAAAAAATTTTAAAAATGCTGGCTGTTTCGTTATAGCTCCCTTTATGAAACTGTGAATTAACACGTCAGAAGAAAAAACCCCATGAGCCTCAAAGTACCCTGTTAAAGAAGAGCAGGTCACCAGCAGAATTTAGTCCTGGTTGACTAGGTTTTGAGTCTTACATCCTACATTTAAATCTAGATATTGATGATGGCTCCTTATTTACAATATAGCAGTAAACAGTGGCATTCAAACAACCGATTTTCCACCTGTCTGTGCATGTGCAGGCACAATGCTTGTCAAGGTGACTTTCAGACAATTACTGTAAATGAGAAGTCCCCTGACCAAGACTACAGGTCACATACTGACTCAAGATGTGTCTGAAGAATGTGGGAAGAAAAAGAGGTACCTATGGACAGCAGCTGGGCAACATCCTCTATCAGGACATTACATGTTGTATATGGACAAAGCCAACCCAGTGGACTCATCAATTAAACAACAACATAAACATTTCATTGCACTTGTGGATATGACAATCAACTCTACTCTACTCTCTACTAAGGTTAGGAGTGTGAACAGAGAGACTGTGAATTTAGTTTCCAGAGCCTTGGTTCAACATCTCATCCAAAGAGGGAAGAGCACCACCTTCTCGTCCCCCAACACCACTCACAGCAGCGACCTGGTTTCCCTTGGAGGTCTCCCACCCTGTCCTGGCTAGCCTCCTGGTTAGGTCAGGTGATAAAGTGGTGAGGATGCTACCACAAACACTCGATGTATGGCAAAAAAAAAACTCCGCATATCAGCACATACAGTACGTGTGCATACTGCATACACAGATATATACATGAGAGGCACAGTTTAAACGGGCACGCTATCTCATCACACGTGGTACATATCCCTGCAGGTCACAGGTCAACAGGTAGGGCTGTACAGCGGTTCATACAATAAACCTCACCTGAGCGGCTCCCCCTCCGCGTCCGCGGAATGACAGCGGGCCAGTGTACACTACCTCGATACCCCTACCCCCCACCGCCTAGTGACCCCAGCCTCCTCCAGTCGGTCACTCCGTTACCTGTTTTATTCTCTTTCTCAGAGTCCGGGCTTTCGGACCTGCACTCCTCCGCCAGCACCGCCGAGTCGGGTTTCCTCTTGTCCTTGGTGAAGCGAAATCGGTCCAAGTTGAATAAACTCATAATGGCCAGATGCGGTCTCCCTGTAGGGTTTTCTCCACTATTCGGCTCGGCTCTATTGTTACTTATATCAACAGTCTCACCACCTCTAGCCGCGGGTGATGAATTTATTTTCTAAGGGGAATAACCGATTTAATTATTTGATAATAGACTACTAAATACTGGATAAAGTTGTTGGCAGTGATACCACAATAAATGCCTCAGCAGAATTATAAACGAAGACTAAAAACCATTTTGCGGCATCCTTTCTACTATGCGCATGCACAACTGTTTCAACAGGAACAATAAAACAGTTTTCATCCCCTTAACGAAACATTAAAATCGATCCCCTATGATGACTCTATGCACAAAACATGTTTTATTTATTTGTTTGTTTTCAAAATTGGTTAATCTCCTGGATTATAAAACCGGTAAGAGACGCACAATTTCCCGCGAACCGGCTCTCTCCCCAGGAACAAACAAAATCAGATCCCATTGGAGAACCCTGAATCACGGCTAAACCAATCCAGACTGAGAAGAAATAGAAGTGGGAAGATTGTTCGCAACTGGTTACCGGCGTCCATTCTGATTCTACATGCTCGGTAATTAGTAACAAATACAGCAACTGCTGCTCTTTGGATCCAAAATGGCGTCAGAGATAACGATATTTATACTATATATATATATTTAAACCTATAGCTCCTTTTCACATGTACTAAAATTGACCATATGTTGTATGTACGTAAGGGAGCTAAATGAAAGAATAACAAAGCCCATTTCCTTTTCTTTTCTGTAACAATTACGCTATTTGTAATTTACTGACGCAATTTTGCCCGAACTGATCTGATTTAAAGAGTCTTCGTTTCATTGTCACGCCCTCGATTACTTTGTGAGCATCTGTCATACTATTCTTCAATACATGCACACTGACCACAGCTGAATACTGACGGTCTTTCACCTTCCATGTTATTAAATCCTGCAACCTGCCTTGAACAAACCTGGAACACAAACTTAGGTGAAGTCAATCAGGTTTCAGATTTTTGCAAATTGACTGACAGCATATGACACCTTGAGATTTATTATGCCCCTTTTAGGTGTGACACTGCTTCCTGTAGGCTTCTACCACTCTGCACACCTTATTTGATATCTTCCTTACTGTATGTTTTATAGCTAATACAAATTAATATAACAGACAAGAAGCCACAGATTTCTTGAATTCGATAGTGTTGAATCTTGAAAGAGAGACACCCTGTCTTCTCATAGCAACAATGTAGATGCTGTACCTTCAGCTCACACTGAAACGTTATTTGAAAGGAAGATGGTTCAGTAATTATTATAAAGTTTGAATTTCAATCAACATGCGCACAGACTTTTGTCAACTGGACCTGAAATGCTTCTCGCAAACGGAAATTCTTGTGCCTTGCCGTGCCAAAGCAGGTCCTGCTTTGGTCTTTTTCCCCCCTGAGGATCTAAAAAGACCACATTAAAATGCACCAAAAAACATTTTCTGGTGTTTTTGTGAGTACTAAACACAACAATCACTGTTATTTATCCAAAGTACAGACACATCCCTCATATACAATCTGTGTACAGAGACTATAAGGTGTCTAAGACAAAGTCTTTTATTAGAAGCTCTGCACTCACTGGTAAGTTAAAGGCATTGACTAGCTTTCAGATACGCACCCTGTCATCTCAGTGTGGCCCTGAAGAAGACACGGTCAGGCTCTGAGCATTTCTCTCAGATCAAGTGTCCACTAGGTGACACACTTTAGTAACAAAGCTGTCATCACTCTGGCCTTCATGTGTGTGCTTTCAGGGAAAATAAAAAAATATGTTATTTGACAAAAGAATTTATAAGCATCATACAATAATATTCTAATGAATATAAGCTAATACATGTGTATGCTTTTACAATAGAGTACTCTTAGTACTGCAAGCAGAAGACATTGAAAAGGGTGGTTGTTCAGTGTCATTTCCCTACATCTTTTCACTTACAGATTTTGTGCAGAAAGTAACTGTATTAATGTAACAAAAGAGAAACTCAACTATACATTTTACTAATATTAATTGATTTAATTACGACTTATATTCAAGGCCATCAATGCTTCACACAGTTTCACATCAGGAGATTAGAAGAATTCTGGAACACATTCTAATGTGTCCTGTGAAAACAAATTGTTGATCCCATTAGGACTAATAGTTTAGAGTTACAAATGATCACAGAGAGCCTATCGCTTGGCAAAAGCAGGCCTGCGGATCCTGCCAGAGAATCAGCACCTGTTTGCTTATGTTTCAGTTAGGGTGCCCTGCTAACAGCGTCCACATTAGTCTTGGTTCAGAGATTGCAATTTAAAAATCACACTGAAGTCAAGGTCTCACCCACAAGCATCCTCTGAGCTGCCTTTCACGCTAATGCAGCATGGCACTGGAGCCATGAGGTGGAGTCCTCAAATGTTCCTTCCTTCTTCGAGATCTTAATGACATAAGTGGCTCAATAACTCCATAATCTAGAAAAGTGGTTTAGGGTTTAGGTACAGAAAATGTAGGATTAGTGTAAGTTTAAAGGTTTAATATAAATGTACTATATAACACTTCTCTCAATACTTAAAAGAAAAAATGCTATCTGCATTGTATTTTCTCTACAGTATGTCTTTTAATAATCAGATTTAAAACACTTTGAACCCAAATAAATGTACCCTGCTGAGTCAGTGAAGTTGGAGCAGGACTGGAGAAGCTGGAGTCCAAATATTACACAATTATATAATTATGTTTAATATTTATGTTCTATACTCAGCATCAACTATCATGTTTGAACAAGGATTTTTATTTTATTTTTTTAGTTGGTGTGTCATTAATTCTCAGTGTAATTCTGTCTTGCACAGGTAAAGAAAAATGCCGGAATGACATTTATGACATGTTGCTCTTTTGTCTCTTCTGGGAGTGGTGTACCAATTCCTGTTAATATTGGTGAGTTGAGGCTGTGGGACTCTTGTGTTCTGCCATTAAGAAAAGTCTGTGATTCAGTAAACACCTGGGCGTTTGAATGAGCTTCCAGATTGTCATTGTAAAGGGAAATTCTTAATTTTAAGTTCAAAAGGGATAAGGACAAACCAACTTCAATCTAATTTTCAGTGATTACTGATGTTCACCTTTGTTTCACATTTCGTCTCCGGTATCCCTCCTCCACCCACCCTTCCGCCTGTGCGGCTGCCCCTTGTTCACTCCTCCTCCTGCAGGGGGTCCCAGCCTCCTCATCCTAAGGCCAGGGTTTTTGTTGTGAATGTTTCTTGTATTTAATATATTGTATATATTGTATTTAAGTATAAAATATTATTTTAAGTATTTTAAGAATAAAAAGCTTTGGTTGAACCAGCTTGGCTGGGGGCTATTTTATTCTGTAGAAAATCTACTTCCATTCATATTTTTGTATAAAAATAAGTGATTGCTACTGATTGCTTGAATATATACAAATACGTGTTGTTGCATGTTTGGGAAGAAACTGCAAATTAAGCTAATTTTTGGCACTGTTTGAAAAATATAATACTTCTTTTGGGTTAACCTACACAACTAAGTTTAATGCAATGACAGCCACTCACAGTCTAAGAGACCTTCAATGCCTTAAGGCCTTGAGAACTTCTACGTTCCCGATGGTGCACCACACAATGATAGATGGTGACTCAAATTAGTCAGGCAAGAAATAACAGCACAGTTCATGACGGTGCAGACAGTCCCAGTGCTTTTGCTGTGAGAATTTTTTTTTCTTTCCTAATGAAATCCAAAACCAGTCAGATTTGTTTAAAAAAAGAGACACCCATCAGAGCACATGTAAATTAAGTTTGCAGAAGAGTGGCAATCATCCTATCTGGTAAGCCCATACTGTTCCACTGAAGCGAAGGGGATTAAACATGATTTTAGCAACGGAAACAGAGATGTGGATTTCAGGCACCTCCCTACTAACCAGGCCCAAAGCATCTGTGGTTCCACAGAGCAGCATTCAGCATTTTCTGGTAGAGTGTGAAGTCAACACTGCCATTCAGCAGTCACGAGTCTAGAAAGATCTCTGCCTCAACAGAATAGTTACCTCTTAAAACTAATTGCCAAGTTGTGATGTACAGCGTGATACACACAAGAACCTTGCAAAAGTGTTCTCTTTTCCACCCCTACCCTCCACTGATAAAGATTTTATAAAACTTGTCAGACCCTGTTTTTGATTCCTTGAAGTCTTTTAGATGCAGTAGATGTAGCTGCACTTGACACAGTGGGAAGATCAGATGTTATTCTGTGAACCTCAGACTCAGGGCTTCCAGGAATGTGAGGTCCTATGGGTTAGCAACACAAATGTGCAGTGGGTCTCCATCCAAGAAACAATGATACCTATTGATTAGTACACCATTTTACTTTTGTTTTCACAACACACTACTCTGAAAGTGCGACACACTGTCACGTTCATAAATGGGCTCTATTTAGGACTTTTGTCAAAAACCAACCTTTGCTTTTCTGTTAAAAAGACACAGACCCATGAAACAAAATATCAAAGAGCTCCCTGTGGAATTTATGAGGGTAAAGAGCCCCATAACATCACTCTGCAATAAACTTTTTTTTACCAAATAAACTTAAATTCAGCCCTGTGTTACACCATAACTACAATCAACATAAAATACGAGTATGTTTCAGTTAATAAGGCTTCAAGAGATCCCACATAGCTGAAGATACCTTCAATATTAAGGTCACAGTAAATGCAGAAAACTGGTCCAAAGAGACACAGGCACACAAGACCCAGGGTCAATCCAGTGCCAATTTCCTGGAAACAAGATTTTCTGCACTTTGCTATCTTTTTAAGAGACCAAAGAGATGACCGTCCTTTATTACATATTTGGATATGTAACACAGTAGGTAATTCAATTTGAACCGCATACAACGGCACATTGAACCAGAGTTCATCCATGTTTCTAGGTGTAAAGTAATTAGAAAGTGCAAGACTCCATCTCCATCACAGGACATACAGCTGGATGAACTGGAACAACTGGGGTAAAGAAAGCTCACCCATAACAGCAGGGACTCACCAGTTATTAGTCTAGAGATTTATTCACCATACTATGTTGTCTCCCCATGCAACACGATGCATAACTAATGTTGATAAATCAGCAGGAAATTAAGGAATGTGATGTGAAATTACTGTGTCTATTTACTGTAGAGTAGACAGGGTTCATAGTCTTATTTCAAAGTTTCAGAATTCCTCCTTCATTCCGATATTTACAAAGGTCAACAGCATTATTAAGCCAACTTGATTTTGGTGACACATTTAATTTCCTTTTTATTTTATTTATATTAATAAAAGATATAACATCATATAAGGACATTTAAAATGTCTTATCCTTATTACATTTAGATGGTCTCAGACAAATTCAGCTTTTTTCAGACAACAGAAAATTAATAAAGATTTGCATGACAGAAAAAAAGAATATATACTGTATATAATTATTGAGAAGACTTTTTTTGCACTCGCTAGGTGATGGAAATCTCCCCAAGGCTTCTTT